GTGGGTGTCAATTGTGTATTGTTATTGTGAATTAGTGTGAAATGAAATGTTTTTAGTTGATAGTTTGTTTGTATTGTGAATAAGTCGTTTGTAAGGTGCCGGTAATTGCTGTGATTTGTTCAGAGGGGTTTGTTCCAAGTTGGTATACCAACTTTCTAATGTAAGCCTTTCTATAGTCAGTACTGTAAGTAATGCATTTTGCCTAGTCCCAGTCAATGTTGTGCTTTGTGATTCGGTGATGTTCGGCAATGTGATTAGTTTTGTCTTGTTTCTTAGTAGCTCGTTTGTGTTCAGTAAGTCTTATGTTTAAGTTCCTGCCAGTTTCCCCGATATAGGAGGCGTGGCAGTCGGAGCAGTTTATTTTGTAAATTGCACCTTGTCGTTCGTTGGGTTGTTCTTTGTCCTTTATGTTCGTTAGTACTTGTTGTAACGTTGTGATTGGTTTATGTACGACACGTAAGCTGTATGGTCGTAAGATACGCGAGATAGTCTCAGACGTACCTTTGATGTAAGGTATGGTTGCTGTTGTCATTGAGTTGTTCGTTTCGTTGGGTTTGTAAGTGTTGCGTTTGATAAAGTCAGAGTTATAGTTGTTTCTGTCAAAAACACGATTGAGATAGTTGTTTTCGTTTTGTAGAGCGTCCGGTGAATCACATATGATTTTTGCACGTCTTGTTAATGTTCTGATTGTGGTGACTTTTGTGATGTAGGGTTGTAAGATGATTGGTCTAGTAGTCGGTCAGTATGTGTTGGCTTGCGTTAAACTGTTGTTCGTAGTTTTTGATTGTCATGTTTTACCAAACAGTCGAGAAAAGGAAGAGTTCCGTTTTCTTCGACATCTTTGGTAAATTGTATGTGGCTGTTCTGTTTGTTGATGTGAGTATGAAAGTCATCAATGTCGTCTGCATGTAGTGCTGTGATTGTGTCATCTACGTAGCGAAACCAAAAAGGTAGTGCATGTTTGTAAGTCGTGAGCGCCCGTTCCTCTATAGATTGCATTACAATTTCAGCAACTACAACAGAAACGGGCGAGCCCATTGCTGTCCCATGTAATTGTTTGTAGTGTGTTCCTTTGTATTGGAAGTAAGTCGAGGTGAGGCAGAGCTCCAGTAGCTCCATAATGTCTTCTGTCGGTAATGGCAGTACGTCCGTGGTGTTTGTAATGAGGGTTTTTGTACAAGTGAGTGCCAGATTAAGTGGAATACTGGTGAACAGTGATTTCACATCAAAAGACACTAGTATATAGTTGTCCGGTATTTGTATAGTGCACAGTTTTTTAATGAAAGTTTCAGTGGATTGTAGCTTGTGTTTTGATTTGTTTGTAAGTGGTTGCAGTATGTCAGTCAAGTACTTTGAAAGTTCGTAAGTAGGCGAACCACAGAATGATACAATTGGTCGCATGGGTATTTGTGGTTTGTGAAGTTTTGGTAGTCCGTATAGTCTGGGTGGTCGTGGTACTGAACATCTGAGTCGATAGTAAATACGTTCAGATATAATGTTAGATTTTCTCATAGAGAAGATCTTTCTGTTAAGTTTGCGTACTAGTGATGGTGTTGGGTCTCGTTTGAGTTGTTCGTACGTTTGTCGTTAACAAGGGTGTCCATTTTGTTAAAGTAATCATTCCTGTCCATGACCACAGTCACGCGTCCTTTGTCTCCTGGTAAAATGACGATGTTGTTGTCGTGTTTTAGTCGTTTGAGTGCTTGTTGTTCGTCTTTTGTCAAGTTGTTGTCAGGTATGGAGGACGATTGTAAAGTGGAGGCTATCCTGCTTCTGATAGAAAAGTCAGATCCTGTGAAATTGAAAAAAACAGTCATTTCTCACTTACACATGACAGGTTCAATAATTAATTTATGATTATCTCATTTTCAGAAAAAATGATCACAAATAAACAGAAGAGATAATTAATGCAAACATAAATTTGTCATATCGTATTCTGAGTTCTTTGACAACAATTATAAAAAAATGGAGCGTAAAAATATTCATGACTACTGTGTCTTAATTTAGAAATTTAGAGACAGATGAACTGGGATTTTAGAGACAGATGAACTGGGATAACAGAAAACTGCATGTAGTAAAATCAATTGAAAGGAAAAGCAATATACAAAACAAAATTACAATGTAGCACATGAATAAACATTTAAAATAATTTTGTCTTCAGTTAACTAAATGTTATCAATCTCCATGAAATGAACATCATTTACTGACTATCGACCAAAGAATGTTCATACTACGTCACTATTTATGACACACGAATAAATAGTGTCGTGAAGTGTCGGCAATATAATTTACCTATAAAATCAAATATTACAGTGTTTTTGCGTTACCTTCTGAAATTCTGGTATAAGAATGGCATTTACAGATTTTTTGCAAGAAACATAAACATAAAATACCCTTTGCAGAGTTACTGGTTTCGGCCTCAATGTTTTTTTCTGAGGCGTCACGACAAAAAAATCCGATTTGCTCTTAAATAACAGGTACGATAAACAATTATATCAAATTTTTACCGTGTATTCGATCATTTAATAAACTAATTTAAAGTATTTAACCATCAACAACAAAAGAAAGTTTTAGAATAAAAAATATCTGTGGCAAATGAAACGTTTATTTTTCATTTCCACAAAACAAATTAACATATGGTCATTGATGTACTTCTATATGTCTTTTAAACTGACAGCTACCCAACTATATTGCAGTAAAGAGGTCAAGAGGTCATAGTGATTCCTCCCAACATATTAGTTACAACACATTTTCAATCATGGAGGGCAGTGAAAAGAAAATTTTTGGACTTTATAATATTCACATGAATTTCCAACATGTTTACCTCGTTCACGTTTTAATTTGAAAGACATTTCCACTACCTCTGAATCTACACAAACAAGTCATGGTTAAGTTATAGGTTAAGTTGCTATTGAATGTGAGCGTTAATATATTGTACATTAAACTCGCTCAGCCGGGTACTCGGCTCCATATAAACAGACCCTAAGAATACAAATTATGCAAGTATTTAATTTACGTGTCTTTCCATCAACTGTAAAACAGGAGACGCAAAAAGATTGAAACAAGTTGAGTTGTAATCACTTTAACACAGGATAAGAACTTTCTAGTAGGCATAAATTTAACAGTTCGAAATTGTTATGAGATCATCTGGCAATTGCGATGAAATATGAGTTATGTTTGATCCCATTTATCTATGCTTCAAGACCTGACATTTAAATTCTGTTTAAACAATATTACTATTTTGAAGCATTGAATTCATTGATTGACAACTTGTTTTGTCATGATACTTTGAGCTCCTGATACTAACAACAGAATTGTCATTATTTGTGGGGGTTAAACAAAGGTTTAAACTTTTTGTAAATAACAAATATGATAAAAAGGCAGTGCATAGTGTGTCATCACAGACATGATGTCTGCCACATTGTTTTGCATAGCCTAATTTCTTGGACAAATAAAATAACTCACTTTCAATGTTGCAAACAGACCAGTGAGACCTCTCCCAGAAAACTGTACAGCTCAATATTAGTGCAAACTAGATAGACAGTAATGATTAATTATAAACAAACATTAAAAAAACTCATTGCAAATACATTTTCATTCAGTGACTGTGTCCGCATGAATTTAGCATGATAATAACGGAAACCAACAATTATATACTTTTTCGGAGCCCATTAGCAGATAGTTGAGGTATTTTTTGATTGCATAACAAAATAATGTGTTAATGAAAACTATTAGTAAGAAATAGCTTTAGGTGAACTTATGTAAGGAATTCTCTTTTCAATAATTCAAAAATCAGGTGCACCTTTACGTGAAAATACGATCTTTGGCCGACTCTGGCCAGCAAGGGTGCAAATTTTTCCAAAGTATTTTTTCACAACAGAAGAATGTTTTCAGGAAAATGGACATGAAATTAAATAAGCAACTACTTGATTTAATAAAGTTAGATATAATTACTGGTAAACAAAATAATAGCACATAATAAATGCTTAAAATTTCTCAACTAAATAAGTCTTCATTTTCAACATATCACAAGTGCTTGATACCTTCATATCAATCACAAACAATTTACACATAAATTCATTCACTTTTCCTTGAGCTTCGAAGAAATAATCACAAACAAATTGCAACTTTATGCACTTCTGCATATTTAACAACCCATAGAGATAATGCATTGAACTAGTAAACCAATTCTTGATAATGAATAATGCTGTCTCATTTTCTCACAATAGGTTAGGTTTGTATGTAACCAATTCATTCGTAACCATATGTAACCAAAAAAAGCGAAAAAAAAATTTAAAAAAATACTTTTAGAAGTGGCTTATTTAAACAGCCCCGACTTCTTTAATTGGTTATTTATGTCTCTGGTCTTTAGCACAAATGGCCCTATACAATACTCATCATGTTTGAGACACAACACATGTAGTTTTACAGTTTTAAATGAAATGAATTGTTTGGATTCATTCAAATAATTTATATCAATCGAGAAATAATTGTGCTTTTCTTGTTTGTATATACAACGACATCATACTATACACAACGCCTGGCTATTCATGTTTGACAGGGGCTTACACGTGACTTTACGATTTTTATGAGCTACATAAACAAATTTTACATCGACGGGCCATATACATTGAGTTCTATTGAATAAAATTGTTCATGTATCGTCTGTTTTATCATATCAAATTAAAAAACGAATAAACACGTGGCGGAGGAAATAAGAAAGACTTATTCTAAACCATGAGCATTTCATATCTTTACTATGTCTCTAAAGTTAAACTAGAGTATTTTGTATATCCTATAATTCTCCTTAAGTCGATATTTATTGATAAAACTTACTATATAAATTAGTCTTCGTTGTAAAACGTGTTCCTGCCAAATGATGTAACTTAGCCAGTGACGGGAATGGAGTATTTGCCGGTTGCCAGTCTCCCTTAAATTTGCGCGGTTTTTGCAATGCATTCTGGGATCGCCAGGGGGCAAACATTGTGTATCTTTATAAAAATATCTTTTAGTAAAAAGTTTATATTCAAATTATAATGGGAAAAGGGGATCACTGTGCTGTTTATGGCTGTGATAACGATAGAAGATATCCTGAAAAATATATCGTTTCCGATCACGTTGGTATTCTTCGCTTTTTTTCTCCGAAAAACGCGAAAGACAAGAGTGCTTGGCAAAAGCTGATCAACAGGAAAAACTTCAAAGTCACTACGAATACGAAGGTTTGTTCTAATCATTTTCTTGCTGGTTATCGTTCCGAGGGCTGTCCCAATCCAACTTTGTATCTAAAAGGATACCAATCAAAAGAAACCAGTAAACGACTACCGCCGAAAGATAGAAGCAAATCAAATATTCCGAAAAGAAAGAGACGAAAAATTCTGTGTGAAGGCAGTACTGAGAAAAGCTTTGAGCATCAGGATAAGGCTTTTTTTGCTGCTGAAATCACTGCTCCTGAGCAGTGTACTGAGCCAGAGTCTGTGCACGAAGACAGTCCACATATAAATTGTACAACAGACTTGGATGTTACACGTTATGATTATGATGATAGCTACAGCTTTGAAAGTGATAAACATGACCTCATTGACTGTTTTTGCCAGGGCAATGTTAAAACGTTGAAAAGAAATTTATTTATTGAACAAGCTATTTGCCAGAAGAATTGCTACCGCTACACTGGATTGTCACTAGAAAAGTTGAACTTAGTTTTCAGTTTGATTAAAGAGAAAGCAAAGAGTCTAAGGTATTGGAGAGGTTCTACTGATACAGCCACTGCCCAGTCTATTAAAAGAGGGCATGTCTCAAGAGTATTGACACATTGGGAAGAATTCATTCTTACTCTTGTCAGGACACAAAAAGGATTTGATGTCATGTTTTTGGCTGATACATTTTCTGTTTCAGCTAGTCATGTTTCCCGGATTTATACAACTTGGGTTAAATTCCTGCCTAACGAGCTTTCATTCCTTGTGCCTTGGCCAAGTAAGTCTGAAATCAAAGAGAAACTACCTAAGCGATTTCAGAAATTTAAAAACTTAAGGATAATTATTGATTGCACAGAATTTTTTATACAAAAACCTAAGATACCTGGGAGCCAGAAAATCTCATGGAGCAGCTATAAGCATTGGAACACTGCTAAACTATTAGTTGGCATTACCCCTACTGGTATTTTTTCCTTCATCCCACCCCTTTGGACTGGTTCAATATCTGACAAGGAAATTGTCACCAACTCTGGTCTCATAAACTTGCTAGAAAAAGGTGATGGTGTCATGGCTGATAAGGGATTCCTTGTTAGAGATCTACTTGTGGTTAAGAAAGTTCACCTTATTTCTCCTGCCTATTGTCGTGGACCAATACTTTCCTCTCGTTGAACAACTCATACTCGGCGTGTGGCATCATTAAGATCTCATGTCGAAAGGAATATATTGAAACTAAAGCAATTTCAGATTTTGTCAGGAGTTATTCCATTAACATTAAAACCAGTTTTGGACAACATTTTGTTTATGTGTGCCGCTTTATGTAATTTAGGAAAGCGTGGTATAATGTAATCCTTACATAATCTAAAATAAATTATACTTAATATTTTTATTTTGAAAAACTGTTATTTGTAAATATAAAATTTTATCATTGTACATATTTCAATAAAAGACTACTAATAATATAATTCTTATAGAAAAGAAACACAGTTTTAAATACATCACTCCAGAAGTCAGCATCAAATGGTATTTCTACAATATCAATTCCTTTTTCTGTATATACAATAAAATCACATTTGTCGATTTTACTTATAGCCATACCCATTTGGACTTGAAAGTAATGTAAATGGTTCCTTTTCAACACTTTCTTCCCACTATCATTAGTTTTCCCACCAATAGCTGTTGAGAAAAATGCAGATTTGGGATCCATATTCTTGCATGTTAGAGGGCACTTAATTTCAAGTGTCCTTGAGCCACAACATTCACATTGGGATATTCCATCCAAACTCACTCCCATCCATAAATTTTTGGGGTCAACAAGCAACCCAGGTTCTTCTATTTTAACTTTTTCATGCTTCTTTGTACGCAGTCTCTTATAAAGATACAGAGCCTCTTTTTCTTTGTCTAGTCCATATTGCAGGTAAACCACTGATCTGATAATAGACTGGATATAGCTTCTACAGGAAGCAAAAGTGAAGCCTAATTATATATGCAAAATCCACTTCCGGGTACCACGGCGAGATACAAATTACAATAGAAATGTATGAATGTCATAGAGTCCTTAAGTGTGACGTCACGTTACCATGGAGCTAAAAAATGCAGTTCTAAACAAAATATCTTATGCGAGCGCTTTGGACACGCTTCCTTTGTTTTGAATGTCTAAAGCTTTAATTATCCAGTGTAATCCCACAAAAGACAATAAAAAAAAACAGGAATGGTTAAAAGGTAATCCAAGGGATCAACTTTTGTTTAAGAAGTGTAAAGGACGCGGGTCAAACGGGCAAAATGGTTTACTGTTTTGCTCCTACATGTGGCCATTCGTCGGAGGGCAACACTTGCAAGTTCTTTGCTTTTCCAAGCGCTACAATGCTGAACGACGAGTACAAGAGATGGTTCGACTCATAAGGTATGAACTGATATTCAAAAAGAATTCCTTATTCGGTGAAAATTTGATGAATTACATGATTTTAAGTGAGATTTACGGACTCCATTCAGGTGAAGAGTTGACATCAGGACATGAGGGAGAATCATCGAATACTGAATGATAGAAGCTTCAGCTAGTTGTCTTTTTAACGGTCGCTTTGTATTTTCCGTAGCCAAAACCTTAAATCTTAGTGCTTTGGAAGGTATAATCCATCAATTTTGAGGATCAAATTTTTATCACTTTAATGAAAGTACGACAGAACTACACACAGCTTCACCTAACCCAATTGTTTCATTGTAGTGTGGCTACAATTTCTAACATTGTTATAACATTCACTCATGTTTTGCATGAAATTTTGTTTGACCTAATGACGTCGATTCCATCCAGGGAAAAAACAAGATCTCTGCACCCTCCTCTTTCAGGCAATTTGAATCCTGTCTGCACAGATATTGAGCTTGCTGCACTGGGATTGATGAGTCAGCAAAATGCAACCTTTCTATCATACAGAGGAATGAATTCCTTTGAAGTAATAGTTGGTGTTGCACCAAATGGAGTCATTACTAATGTCAGTCGGCTGTATCCAGGTTCTATTTCAGACAAGGCCATTGTGCAACAGTCTGGACTCCTTAATCACTTGACAGCTGGAGATATGATTCTGGCGGACAAGGGTTTCCTTATCCAGGATGTTGTACCACATGGTGTCTGTGTCAATATTCCACCTTTTCTGAATAATGGAACTTTCACAGAGAGTGAGGTCAAGAAAACAAAAGCCATAGCTAAAGCACAGATTCATGTCGAAAGAGCCAATGCTAGGCTGAAAGACTTCAAAATTTTAGGTGTCATTCCTTTGTATTTGCACTGCTATGCTGACATTTTGTTTCAATTCTGTGCAACACTTGTAAATTTGCAATTTCCTCTCATCAAAGAGGGATGCGAAGATATGGTTTTTGAGTAGTTTTATGCTTGAAGACTACATTGGACAGTTTTTTAATAATTATTGTTGTTCAAATAGAAATAAAATAATTTGTAGACTGAGGCTTACTTAGAAGAAAATACAGCTAGAGGGGGAAGGGGAGAGCATTCTAATATAACAGTAAAGGGATGATTTTACCTCCTAGGGATTACAATATTTATCATCTGGTACAGCCTGGGTGTACATAGGGTGTCAAATTAGATCACTGCGAGAATTCTTTTATCATGTTTAGGAGAACAGAAGTTAAAAGAAGTTTTGACATATGTTTTACAATGGATGTCTTTTTGGGGATAAAAATAAAAGCAAGTACTGCCCACACATCCCATCACTTTTATATGGGAATTTTCCTTTCCCCCAGGAAAACAACATTAAATGATGTACCATATTTCCATGTCTTTTAAATACCATGTTATCCTTGTGTTTATTAATAAAAATGCAAATATATGTATAGCCTGTTACCACAACTCCCTCACACCAAACTAGTAGTGGTAGGTCAATTTGAGGACTGAAAACCGACGAGTATCATTATTTTTTAAAACAAATCGTTCATTAAAAAACCTTTTTTTATTTCACTACGAGAGAAAATCACGCCCTCGTGTTCATTTGGGCAACAAAAACAGTGTAAAACTTAATCTTGACATTTGGCATTCACCGTCACTTTATAAACCTTTTGTTTCATTCTTGCGTGTACTTCTCCTCGTAAAACACTCTGCTGGTAAGTAAATGCTTCAATGTGATCTGACTTAAGTGGTTTTCCCCCTTTTTTATAGATTTCTTTTCTTCTGAGAAGAAAGAAAAAAGCGAAGCGATGGATAATGTCCCCATTTTGAATCGAATGGGCGCTTGTTTGGAACTGAGATTTTTAGCACCATGGAAACGTGACGTCACCACTTAAGGACTCTATGTCTTCATTTAATAGAAATGTATGGCGGTAACGTTTACAAACATGGGTTTTCGAATATTTAAGACATTTCGCGACTCCTTACTTACCTCAAGTATTAGTCATGGATAAAACAGGTTATGCGAATTGATTCGACATCAAAATGATTCATATAGCTGTAAAATATCGACCTTAGTGTTGATTTAAAAGTTGCACATGCGAGAATGTATTTTGTCCTATTGTTGCCAATGCAAGATAGTTCACTGCTCGCTTTGCAATTTCTGAGGCAGTTATGATCTAGTATACGTTTCAGTTCTTTAGAAATGAGGTGAGTTACTTTTTTTATCATTCTTTCTTTATGTTGAGAGATTGTTGACATTTTATTTTTGCTGTAACTTTATTTTTTCAGGAGCAAAGTACTACTGATGCTTAAACAAGACAAGTCTATTTAGTTTCTTTCGCACTTTATCTTTAGTTTCCATTTCTGTAGTTGTTTTTCTCAAATGGTGTAGTCGCACTTTGCGCTAAATTATTTAAAGAAGTATGATTTTCATTGACATTAAAATCTAACAAATGCGTTCTACACACATTAGGACACTTTAGTAAACTTCTTTTGAAACATCAAGGTAATGTAGCCAGCCAGGTATGAATTTGCAGGCCCTTTAAGAGTGCAAAAGCTGGGTGCATTGTTTAATCTTTATAATCATCTTGGTTTTGGTTTGTCCCTTAGGGAGATTTAAATTATTAACAGCAACATATGACTGTGTCCACGGTTTATAATTATAAGTGTATCCAATTGTATCCAGTATATCAGTTTCACATTGTCTTGTGCTAATTCCTTTACAGCCATGAATACTGCTTCTCAGCAACAGTTTATTGTCTAGAGCTGTAAATTGGTCAACTGTTCGATTGTTAAAGTGACACTTTACAAGTGGAATAAAGCTCTTGTCTTTCTTATTACTACAAAACTCGAGACTGATGATCAAACTATTGCTGAAAAGGATTCTAATGTCAACTGCAATTTATATTCAACCATCCCTAACTACATTTATATCTTAAGAATAATTTTAATCTTTTTGGAAAAATATTTAAGGCATTAATATTACATTTATACTAACTACAATCTTCTGGAATTTGCTTAGCTCTTAGAAGAGGAAAATGAAATTTACTGAATGTAAAAAGGCAGTAATATTGTACATGGCTGGCTATATTGCCCAGATGGTGCAAAAGAAAATAAACTGCCCTGTTTGTCATGAAGCAGTCGGTTCAAGAAACCATAAAAATGAGTCTGCTTTCCTAACTTTAAAATACAGGGGTAATTTGTTTAAGCCAACGGCAAGTGTTATAGTAATATGCAATGAAACAGAGAGGTGCTTTCAGAGAATGTTGGCAGCTACAGATGGAAATTTACTGCAAGGGAAAGGAATTCCTGATGGTACTGCTGTGTCTGTAATAAATGGTATAGATTTGAGGACCACATTCAAGGATCTCGATGCACACATGTTGAATACTACTGTTCACGAAAATCATATTTACTTATTAAGACCATATCTAAATGTTACAGCAAGGTGCGACTATACCATTTGAGAAAAACAACTACAAAAATGGAAACTAAGTCTTCCTGGAAAGAAAACGTTGCCCTTGAATTTGACTGTCGTGTACATTTTGCAACAAATGAGCAAGTTGTAGCATCAGTTTTTTCTTGACTCACGCTTTGACGCTTTAAATGACGCTTTATATAGGTCAGTGAAGTATACGATGAAACACGTGACTTGCGACACTGTATTGGAATTTCAGGATTCCCTTCAAGCTCTTTTTCTAACCACTCATGAATGGAATCTCCTCTAGTTTTGCTCGAATCAATGATTTTTTTCACTCTTTTTTTACCTGCCTTTATTAACACTTTGCTTGTGTCCTCACATTCAAAAAAAACAATCATCCATCTTCAAAAGTTCCAAAGGGACTTCCAATTTTTAAATAACAGTAAAAAATGTCCACATTAAATTATTTTTTTTAATAATGTAGAAATAATTGTTGAAAAACCCTTTTCCGTAGTTTTTGCAATAAACATGATTGTTTTACTAATGATTGAACTACTTCATGTAAGGTTTGTAAAAATATTTTGTGACTTAAGCATAAACCGTATTGAAAAAAATAACTATTTCTTGATGTTTATGCCCAAATACTGATCGTTTACCACAAAATATATATTCTATTGTTGCTGTACCCTGTGGCGTAACATTTCAAACAAAGAGCATTGTTTGTTTTTCAATATGGCGTCCATTTTTAATAGAAGTACGCAGCCAAAAGCTCCATATTTCATTTCCCTAAAGGGTTCTAAATTGGCACCCTGAAAATTACAAATCGCCGTGTTACATAAATACAAAAACTCTAAAAATCTGTTTGGGGTCCTCCAAAACAAAGTTTAGCCTTTGGCAATTAATCAAAAAGTAATTAGAAATTAACAGGAATCTAATCCAATAGACACCAGAAATATAAAACATAATCATCATTTCTAGCCTACATCAATTGACTAGATATGGTTGAAAAACTCAGCCGTACGTTAAAAACGATTACAAGGTGGTAATTTTTGTTCCAGTGCTGAGTTCGACACATGGCGATGTTAGAACGTTAAGGGGCTTTTTACATGATCCCAGTTAACAGGGATTCAGTGAGGCGTGAAATGATTTTGAGGGATTCATAGGGCCAAAACTTCAAGGTTAAAAATTAGAACTGTTTGTCAAATGCCGCAATTCATTCCTGTTGTAATTCTCAAATTATGCCAAATTGATTGTTTTAATTTTAAATGTTTTGCGTAGTTATTAAATCAGAATATCGTGAAGTTTCTCGGGAAGATTTATCTGATGACAAGTATTGAATTGTTTCCTTTTCCCAAAATCATTTAACGCTTAGCTGAATCACGGCTACCCGGGCTTCTGCAATCAACCCCTAATTGGAGCCGCAAATTCAACCCGATTAGTTAACACTGGGTTTAAATTTCAGCACCAGGCTTGAACTCAGCACAAGGTTGAAAATTTGGCTTATAATCGCGTGTTTGATATAACAAATGATTTGTATTAAGACTGAGCTGAAGTTTCAACTCACTTAACGGAGCTCAATTCAGCACAGGGTTGAAAGTGCTCCATGGCTATGCAACTGGCTGCTGTATATTTAATTAGCTTATTGGTTGCCGTTGACCATTTCATCATTCCTATTGGTCAGAAATTGCAATTAACTGGCTGTCACTATGGTAATCACATGAGTAATAAGATATGCGCGACACAAAAAATTTCAATAGAGTGACTCCACTTTATATTCAGTATACTGTGGCTGAGCTAAGGATCAACCTTCAACCTCACGGTTCTTATCAAATGAAAGAGACGGAAAACATTATGTTTAATACCTTTTTTTCATAAACATTTAAATTTAAACCATAAGTTGAGAAAACAAGTTCAGTCAGTGTACATAGTCATACACAGCAACATTAAAATGTTTCATATTAAAATTGAAAAGTTAATTTATTGCCATCGAGCATCTAGGTTTAACACAATTGATACCTTGCAATCATGAAAAAAATGACAAATTATTTTGATAGCTGTTGCTTACTAGGAAATTCAGGTTTAGTTTTCCTGTGACCTATTGACTTTGTGCACCAGAAGAGGAAGTTCAGGAAAACGTTGCAAGAAATACTTTTTATAATTCCCTTGCTTCACATATTGTGATCGATGCGGACGAGGCTTATTTTGCCAATGTTCATCAACGTTTCGTATAAATCTTAAGCAATCTGCCCATGTGGACTCGTACTTTAGAGTTCTTAAACTGTCGTTTACTTCAAAGTTGATCAAATCTTTGACGACTTCATCATCGATACGCTTCATCCATTCTGTGGAACCATGCAACTGCTTATGAGCGTCTGAAGAATTTTGACTTTGTGAATGTTTGACCTCCAGTTGGTTCCCCATATCGCACAGCATGTTAAATTTCTCTTCGTCTGATAGCAGATAAGGGTGTTTTAACGCCTTATCGGCAGATGGCCTGTCTTCAGGTTTTAACTGTAGCATCCACGATAAAAGGTCTTTGAATGTGGCATCCTTGATTTCGTCTAAGCCAACAGGGTTTCCATTCAAAATGTTGTCCAGTCTATGCCGTTCTTCTCCAAAAGGATGTTTTCCCTTTGTTGCAACATAGTAAGCCACCATTCCTGCGTTCTATTTTCAATAAAAAATTGTCATAAACAGTCAGTGGTGGATACTAAAACCTTAAAGATTAAATTTATTTGCGATTTGCAGAACTCAACAATAAATGTGCAGCTTAAAAAAATCTAAAAAATGTTCTCCAAATAGAATTGTAGTTATATATATGTATTAAAAGCAATCTAAATAAGGAACATACAATTGTAACTGTAACACGATTAACAAAAATTAATTTATTTTTATTTAAATTTATAGGTTGACACTATATGACGATACAATCGAGGTACAGAAGAAAATTGAGGTAAAATGATTATCACTACAAAATAGCAATATTTAAATAAATGCAAATAAAACATTGAGCTGTAGTTGGACCTTTAGTTCTACTTCAAGAACTTACCATAATGTCAGACTCTTTCTTGTAACGAACTTTATTAATTGTATCATCTGATGCGTTATATGACTCTGGAGCTATCCAATTTTTAGCTCCTCTCTGTATGCTTTGATGTGTCGAAGTTTCATCAGATAACATATGACTTATTCCAAAGTCAGCGATTAAAAAAATTCCTTGTACATCTCGAAGAACATTTGATGGTCTTAAATCCCTATGAAGAATTGGACACGGACCACTGTGAAGATCAACTAAGCCTTTTAAAATCTGCATAAGAATTGTAGGAACGACTTTTTGAAGATCTTGCAGAGAAGAAGATTTCACATATTTCTCTAACGATTCTTCACACAAATCTAATATCATATACAAATACTCTTCGTCAAGGTTCTCTTCTAAATGGCAAAAATTCACAACATAATTTGAACGCTTTGCATTCAACTCATTAAAAATTTCTTTTTCTCGATTTGCAAAGTCTTTGCCGCTATCTTTGGGTATTCGCTTTACTGCTTTTCCATAACCATTGTTTCCCAGGGCAAGGTAAACACGGGTTCCATCACTTCCCTTGCCAAGCAAAAACTCCTTCATGAAAATTACACGCAATCCACTGAGCAGTGTAACTTTTTCTGGATGTTTGCGTCCATATTCCTCCATCTCTTTAAACTTTTCCTGATGTATTATTGATTTATCAAAACATTTCCATGGTTGACGCAACAATTCTTGAATTTAAAGGAGAAGTACAAATCAGGAGAGATTAAAGGACTGATAAATTCATGCAATAAATTCATCAATTCACATTTTTATTTGTTTTGGCAATATCACATAACATATAACATTGCTGTGTTTTTCTCTGGATGAGAAAACACGGATGTTTTTATTTTGATATGGAAATAACATTTACTCCGGTAGAAATGAGTTGGTCATCATACAATTCACGCGCAATAATCGACGTTCCACGATTAGTTCATTGCATGACTATACCAACCTTTAACTCAATAAAGCCAGTGGCGGATCTAGGGTACGTCAAAATAAATTGCTGCAGCTCATGCTTGGATATCTTTCCATTTCCAAATACATAGAGGCAAGTCCATTGATAAAGTTTAATTTTTTTGAAATTCAAATTCAATAGTTTTGGTTTGAATATATTTTGAATTTTAAATTGAGCATCTATAATTCATTTTGACAAACGCTAGATCTGCTATACTAGATTGAGCAATTATGCAATGGATAAAACGCTCATCGTTTTCACATTAACATAAAATATGAAATTTAGTATCTGAATGTTAAAAAGTAATGACCGACGATTCTCTTAAAGTAAATTGAATTTACTCAATGATCTCTACAAGTGTTTACAAAGCAATGATCGCTTCAATAACTGATTTTATTTTAACTGGGAACAATAAGAAATAGTTAAAATAGTTGCTTACGACATGCTGCACTTTACGTTCAGACACGGACATTTTTATGCATGCAATGAAAAGAATTTTTCATTCTTAATTAATAGTCATTAAAAATTCTGAGAATTGAATAAATTTACACAGCATTTTCTAACTCAAGCTATTGAGAGCAAAAAAAAAATTAGTCATAATCCTTTAAGAAACTGAAAATAATTCGTTATATCAACCTTCCAAACGTTGTTTCCCCTCTTCTGCATTATGAAAATAAATAATAAAATAATACTAAAATATTATATAGTTGTATTGACTAGCAACTAGAGCCTTTTTTGTTTTATTTATAACACAACAAAACAATTTAATGGGCTCTTTATCATGAACTATGAACAATGTTAATGTATGGGCTTCTTTTAAGATTTGGTCGCAACATAATACCACACCGACTATAAATATAAGAGAATATAAAAATTACAGAACCACAAATTACAACTTTCCATTATAAAAAGCATTTTTGACTGGTTTTTCCCTTCAAGAAAAACATGTTTGTTTCTGTATTTATTACGAGGAAAATATCCATTGGTCAAGATATTGGTCGTCACATGAGTAATGATGTAATATGTGGAAACAAACGAAAGTATTTTTATATATAGCTATCATTATACTTTTAAGGTTATTGTAGACAAGCATATAGTTTGTACAATCAATTTTGAAAACAACAATTTTATTATCGTCATGTGCAAGTGCAATAGCCAAAATTTATTTTAGTTGCAACACAGTGAAAGTTGAGAACGCTTTGATTTATTAAGAATGTTGCAGGTTTATAAACACGGATATATAAACAAACATTCACAAAGGTATCCTTCTTCCACACTCTTTTCTGCATTAAGACAACCATCACTAATCCCTAGCACAAAGTTTATATTTATGTTTTGCATTCGATTCACAGTTGAGTATCTCACCGTCGTAAAATGGTGATAGTATAGGAATGAGTAAACCTTTTATAATTTATTATTCTGCACCATTATAACGGAAGTAGTTAAAAATAGCCATCTGTCAAAACGCTGACATTTTGAAAACAACGCTTGTTATTTTTTAAACGACTCAATCCAATATCTAAGCGCAAAGAGAATTTTCATAAAGAACATTTTTTGGCATGCATTTTAATTTTTTGCTGCCCACATCGGCTTTGCATACTTTTAACGAACTTATGCAAATATTCTAGTGTAACGATCTTATGTAAATATGCAGTACAATTCCCTTTAAATGCGAAAACATTGAGATTGAAAAATCAAAGATGAAAGCATCTGTCGAGGTGAAAAGAGTTTGGAGAATTAAAGAACCAAATGTTTTTAAGGTTACCTTCTGAAAAGCTTGTGTTCATCGAAAAGTGTTCATCCAAATTATCATCTGCATCTAAACACATGATAAAGAAAATAAACGTGTATATCACATGTTACACTACCCAGTTTTTGTAAAATATGAATAAAAAGTCGGTCCATAAACGAATAAAAGACGAAAAATGTCGGTCTGACTAAAACTTTGGGATATTTGATCCAATAAAGACACAATAAAGTTGGTCCCATGACGTAGAGCACTCCCCCTCAAACCTTTCAGCGAGCCATAATTTATTTAGAATTTGCATTTACGTAACCATTTATTGTATGTTATTCAGTCTTGCAAATATTACATGCATGGTTATGCTAATACCGCGTGTTTGCAAAGAGGGAGTTGAACTAGTGAGTTGAACTACCTTACTTTGTCGTTTCTAATCTTTTGGCTGGAAAAATGACAACGTGGGTTTTATTGCAAGTTTTTCCGCAAAACTAATAATTTACTTTTTCATAACACATCATAAATATTTCTTGAAACAGGTATTTGTCACAAAAAAAGTTAAAGGAAACGAATAACTTAGATCCAACATCAGGGCATCTAGCTACCACATAAACGCTCCATGAAACTATGTATTCGTAAACATAATTATTGGCTTTTATTGGCTATCAATAATGAAATAATATGTTTTAAACAATATTTTATTTAAGTTCATTTGTGTACGTGTAACGTATACATGTAACTGACACGTTGATCATGATGGTTTTTACATTCACTTTTAGCATCATAGCCAGTTTTCACTTTCTATACATATTGATCAAATTTCTATGTTTACAAAGTTTAAAATTTTCACATGATTATGATCCACAACATTTGCAATATTTTTGAATTAAAAGATTTTAGTTGCCTACATATAACGATACCTTTCAAAATTAATTTATCAGGTTATAAATTATTGTTTGTGTTTAGCGTTGAAAAACATGGAAATGTTTGGGCAGCAAATGTTTGGTAAAAAAATTCTTTTGCTTACCAGGTTTTGATGTAGAAGGCAAAACACCAATGATGACTTCACTGTTATTATCATCTAATAGATAAATCAAATTAATTTCTTGCAATGCAATTAAATAACATTACAGCATGATGACAAATTCTAAAACTCTCTTATCTGACCCTTTACAAACGTATTAATGATAGGCATGACATAAACGACTCTTAATTGTTTGTGTTTGACTTTTAAAGGGAATGTAAAGATTTTTATGCAAATGTTTGCTAACAAAATACGATTTCTTACCAAGTACTGCTGAAGAAGGAGTTTTGTCAATGTCGTCATAGTCGTCGTCAATCATGGGAGATGGCGAAGATATCTTTTCGTAAAAACCTGAATATTAATGAATTACATTACACGGTTAATACATAATAGCAAGATAAAAGGAATACTTGCTGAGCTAGTTCACTCTTCACTTTTTTGACCGTTAACAAAAGTATGCGAATAAGGAAGATATAAACGAATCTCAATGGTTACATTGCATTCTTGTTTGTACTTAACATTTCAAAAGGCAATAAAGATTACGTTTGTGTAAATATTTGCATAAAAAATTCCATTACTTACTAGGTCCTGATGTAGAGGACGTTATACCAATATCAGCATCACTGTCATTATCATTTTGTAGATATAGCAAAGATTTCCTTTCTTCAGAAGCTGAAGCAATGTAAATATGAAACATTTAAATAAACATATGTAAATATGATCGTACTGATTTTGTTGTGACTGTTGTGTAAGATGGTCCCACTAGGAAAAATCTGACCATCTTTTTACAAAATCGAGAAGGATCTTGAAAAAATTGTGTTAACTATAGGTATTTGGTTCTGCCTTCGAATACATTTACTTTCCTCATTTAATGCACATTATTTATAGCTTTACTCAAGCCTAAAATCAAAGAAATTTAGTCACCAATAACAACAAATGATAATCGGATTGGTAATGCAAGTTTTAGATTTTTTCAATTGAAAATCTGAAAAAAATACCAAAAAGGATTTGAGACGTTTGCAAATGATAATAGACATAATGATAACATGTCATGTCAATTATAATGGACATGATGATAGAATGATAATAACCTATAAGACTACTTTCAGATATTCGAAAATGTCTGCAAGAATTTTCTAAGTTGGCATTCAGGTAGTATAATAAATGTATACATAAATTTCTATGAAAATAAGCACACAAAGTGAATTAAAATTACTTCAACTTTTAAATCCCCGAATCGTAATTAGTTGCACAGCCATTGAATTTTTAACGTTATAATCTCGTGCAAACAAATTATGGTATTTGCAATTTTTTGATACATGCTGTACAGGGTGTCTAAAAACTGCACATATTTGAAATAAGCCGACGTTTGAAATTTGCAAGATTCAGCAGTAATTGATTCCCAAATACACCCTGTAAACGCAATTTAAAAAATAATACATACGAATTGCGGCCACGAAAAGCTAGAAAAATCAATTATATTCATTAAAGAATGATAATTTTAAAACACAGCATTGAGATATTTCTCGTCTGTGATTAGTTGATGACAGTGCAGCTTATCTCTTATTGCACTGTGAAAATATGTTATTGTACTGTTCAAATAAGACAATAAAAATATGACAGAACATCATTATATATTGCGCATAGATCGTGAAACAAACATTTAGCTAATGCAATCGATGTTTTCTAATGACAAAGCAAAGTAAAATCTTACAACTATATAAATGATCATGGAGCTATATAACATAGGTACGTTGTGGAAACGCAGCAGCAGAGTATAAGAATAAATAATTATGCAGGTATTTAATTTACGTTTCTTTCCATCATCTACTTTATTTTCAAACATGTATGGTATCTAGAAATATTTGCAGGGGTAATTGCTTAAAATCAAGTGATATCAAATACAAATATATTTTATAATTTAGGCAAACAAGTAGAGTGAAAATTACTATCAAAGTTTCGACATTGTAAATCGTAAATTGATCTTTATATATAGCTACGTAATTCGTATACACTAAAAATAATTTCGAATGCTTTACTTACTCGTAAAATGTTTTTTGAGATCAGGTCTTGTTTTCCAGTCAGTCGATCTAATAATTTTGTGCACCAGTAGAGGAAGTTCGGGAAAACGTTGCATGAAATACTCTTTATAGTTTCCTTCCTTGATATATTGCGATAGACGTGGTTGAGGTTTATCATGCCAGTGCTGACCAACGTTACGTATGAATCTCAAACAACTTGCCCATGAAGACTCGTAGGTTGCAGCTCTTTCTTTGTTGTTTACTTCATATGTTTTGAAATCTTTCAAAATTTCATCATCGATACGTTTCATCCATGTTGTGGGACAATCCAACTGCCTACGAACATCTGAATTTTGACATATTGGTTGCTTTATCTCCGGTTGGTTTCCAACATCACACAGCATGTCAAACTTTTCTTCATTGGATTGTAGATAAGGATGTTTTAACGCCTCATTGGCTGATGGCCTGAGTTCAGGCTTATGCTGTAGCATCCATGAAAGAAGATCTTCAAGTTGAACATCATCAATTTTCTTCAAGCCAATAGGGTTTCCATCTAACAAGTTTTTCAATATATTCTCTTCAGTTCCAAATGCATGTTCCCCTTTTGTTGCAACATAATAAGCCACCATTCCTGCACTCTAATATTAAAAAAAAACATAAATAGTCACAACATCAACTGTAGATACTGAAATGCTAAAAAATTGAGTTTATTAGTTATATGCAGAACTGAACAATAGCTATATATTTTTTAGAGAACATATCTACCATTATATCAGACTCTTTCTTGTAACGACCATCAATATAGGATTCAGGTGCAATCCAATACTGAGTTCCCCTATTAGGATCGCTTTTATGTGTGTTAGAGCCACTCTTCAAAATTCGACTAATACCAAAGTCAGCTATCATAAATTTGCCTTCCACGTCTTGAAGAACATTAGAAGGCTTTAAATCCCGATGAAGAATAGAACTTGGGCCACTATGAAGATCAGATAATCCATTTAACATTTGTCTAAGGATTTCGGGAAGGGCTTCGTGAAGTTTATCTAAACTACTAGACTTAACAAAACTTGTCAAAGTTTGTTCGCACAAGTCTAATATCAAATAGACAAAATGTTCTCCTTCCTCTTCTACGAAGTTCCAATACTTTACAACATGCTTCGACTCCTTTGCGTTTGGCTCATTCAAAATATTCTTTTCTCGTAGAGCTAGATGGATACAGCTATCATTAAGGATTCGTTTTACAGCTTTTCCATAACCATCCTTTCCCAAGCCAAGATAAACGGTTCCACCACTTCCTTCGCCAATCAAGAACTTTTTCATGAAAATCACACGTACATCGCCTTTAACTCTAATATCACCTGGATGTTCAAGCCAATGTTTTCGCATCATTTCAAACTTTTCGCGATGCATCACTGATTTGTCAACGCAATTCCATTTTTGCGACAACCCAACTTAAAATATTTGCATGCCATTTAGCAAAGTATAAAAAATAGTCAAATAGTCAATAGAAATTTCAATAATTCTAATATTAATGTGGTGTAAAAGTTGTCATCAGTCTAAAATTTCAGTCTGCCTCTGGCTCTGTTACTTTCAAGTGCAAGCACAAATCGTGGTTTCAAAGTACGTTTGCTACATAATCATGAAAAAATATTTAAAATTGCTTGAATATAAACTGCGAAAATGTGACCTACCTTTTAACTTTAGATAATCAATTGGAATGGGGATTCGATATCTAACATTTTTATTGCAAACAATTAGCTTTATATTTTAAATAGTGTCTTACCAAAATTGTGATATTCATTAATGTGTATCTGGGCTTTAAACTTCAGATTGAGTATTTTGTTTTCGCTTTTCTCAACAATTTCAAGTTGGCTTGAATAAATGTATGTCTCTGTAGTAAAAAGAACAATAAATACTATTAACATAAGTAACATAACAGTAACCATTGCAACCAGACTGCAAAAAAATCGCAAAAAATTAAAATTGAACTATTCTAATCCTGTTAACGTTAATTTGCTGTGAATTATAAGAAACGTATTACAGTTGCGACTCAAATTTACAACTTTTTTATTCTATTTTTCATCGAAACACTCAGAGATACTTGTAACCACACTCTACCCCCTGGAGAAGTCGCAAATGACACCGAAGTTGTCAGATGCTCATCATTTTTTATGAACATCGCAATTTTTAGTCTATTATATATTTGTTAGCTTTTGACGCACAATTGTTTTGTATTTTTTCAAACTTGGTACTTAAAAATCAATGTTTGTTTATATATTTGGTAAAGCACATGACGTAGTTTTTAAAGGTGCGTATACATAAAATGTGTCTGACCGACACTGACGCCATATTACGTGTTCTTGTCATATTTGGAAAGTCACCGGACTCGAAAAATCGGATGAATATCTGTAGCAAACTATAGATTTTTTACCTGTTTTTACTATGTTGCTATAGTTTTTAAAATAAGCAAATTATGACGATCGAAAATAATTATCAAATGTCTTTGGTCGTAACAGAAAAAGAAAGTATTGAGAGCATTGTTGTTTTCATCTAATAACCAAAAGCTGCAGAGCATTTTTATATTGCGTCTGTTTAAACATATACAATAGCGAAAAGTGTAGTTCATATTATACTAAAAATATTCAACTCAAACAATAATATGATTATTTCCACTATGCTCACCTTGTTCATGTTCCTGATATGTTTTCGCGTCAGCTTTCTCTAAAACATTACAAAGACACAAAAGCATGAGAAATTGGTAGTCAAAAAGTCCATTGCTATATGTATATTTTTTATACTTGTATGACGTTTTCATATTGTATTATCAATTGTCATTACCGTTGTCATATTAAAAACGTTTCGACCAATAAAATATTAAAGAAAAATTAAAGAAAAATAAAATAACACAACTTTTTACCTTTATAAGAGGCAGTGCGACCATTGTCGTCACGGTTGGTGTTGTTCAATGCAGTGCCGTCGTCGATGTGTTTATCACTAACGGATAGAGTGTCACCATTTTTCCTCGGTTTAAAAAACTGACCACCCTGAAGGCCGAGTGCTTTTAAGGCAATGTTTAATCTCAAGCAGATATAATATGTCTCTCTGGTCTCTCCGTGATTTTTAGTTAATTCTGCAATTCCATACGCAAACGGTTGCCAATTGTTTTTTTCATCCAAAAAGTAAACAAGAACACCAGCGTCACCATCCTTAAGAAATGACTCATCACTTTTTATCATGATAACATCACGGAAAATCACATGTTTTTTTACAAAAACTGAATACATAAGGTCACACAAGTAGCCCTCAGTACCAGTGGCTGTGCAAACTTTCACAGATTCCTCTTGGCTTAGCCTTTTGTGAATTTGTCTAAATACGTCATCAAAGTTTGAATCAACATCTTCCAATTCATCACCAACAAGCTTCTGAAAATCCTCTTTATTGCCAACAGAGATGGACATGATATCAATTTCAGGATTATAAGAGAAGTCAAAAAAATGACCAACCACGCTGTCGTCATCATCCGAGAAAGTATATTTATTTTCATTTAGTAAACGCTGAATGCTTTCTTTGTTTTTACTAATTTCTTCTTGAATCGCAAGAAGGTCATCATTAAATCTCATATGAGGTGCATAACCAACGTGGCAACAAGTCAACGCGTAATAATTTTCATCTTTACAGCAAAACAGGGTCAACTTACCGCGAGACCGCTTACTAGGCATATCGTAGTGTTATGCCCAAATCATGCTAGACAGTCGTTGAATTTTTCTTTTCTTCAACGTAATTCCTCATTAATTTGTCATAACAGTGTCTGTAATATGTAAAAATTGATTATGACAAGGATGAGAAAGATGCACATTATATGTGTTAAAGCTCAAAACCATCGGCTTACACAACTGAAATAGAGGGAGGGGGTCAATGTCTTACTTAGCACTTTCATTTTTTAAACAAGCATCCTTTTTAACTATTTGTATATAAGTGTTTTTACTTGTCGCAAATAATTAATCTTGAAAAATTCTTATAAACGTTTACTTTCACCCTGCTTTATGATTCAGAAATATGGCTGATTTACTTGTAATTAAAAGCGCAAAGAAGTCCTCCAATACCATCCAATTGTTTCAGTCTGCATGGTTATCACTTTTTAAAAACGTCAAAATAAAAAGAAAATTAAAATGAACGAATTTTATGAGAGAAAATAGTTATCATTAACCAACGGACTAACACATTTGCTGCACTGACACAAAAACCCTTCCCTGAAAAAACGTGATTTGTCTAGGGAACTACATGAATTAAGAGTCAATGTAGTTCAAATTAAGTGTAAAAAAGCATACGAGGTGTGTGTGTGTGTGTGTGTGGGGGGGGGGGTTATATTCACAGTTTTAGGCAAGTAGTCGATGATAATATGAAGCGTCACCACATTAGAAAAACCCATACTTCACGAGGTTGAATGTAGGTTTAATGTTCTCTCATTTTCTCAAAATAGGTTAGTATGTAACCAATTCATTTGTTACCACATGTAACCATAAAAAGTGAAAAAAAATTTTTTTAAATAAACACTTTTAAAAGTGGACTTATTTAAACAACCCCGTTTTATTGTAGATTTTTCATAAAGTAAACATTATTCGATAACACATTTGGGCTTACCATATGTATAAAATATTCGGACAGCAAGCTTAAAATAACCTAAACATTGATATTTTAGTTTCTGCATGTCTCACAAGTCCAAGAATATTTTAATTCTAGATTCAACAAGGTGAATAAAATAGCAACACCAAACAACTTTATCTATTTAAAGTGTTTATATTACGAATTGTAGGCCCCCCCCCCCTTTTTTATTAGCCAAAAAGACCTTGTTTCAGTGATTTTAAATCTGTAATTATAATTGAAATTGGATTGGTGAAAGTGATTTTACAGACGTTCAAAGTCACGATTTTCAGCATTTTTTTTGCGAACTTTTTGATCGGTATGCTAATGACTTGTGACGTAGAAAGTTGAACACATATATCAACATGGCGTATTCTACTAGTAATCTTAATAAGAAACGCGTAGGAAAACGCTGTGTTGCTGGCGGACCTAATCAAATTAGTTGCGCCAATGATTCAAAAACTGAAGAAATGTCGATGCATCTGTTTCCTAAAAAAGAAACAGAGCCGCAAAAACATAGAAAATGGGTAAATTTTGGGCGTAAACATAGACCGGGTTTTGAGGCTTCCTCTACCTCGTGTCTGTGTTCTGCGCATTTTGAAGATTCTTGTTTTGACCTTAATTTGAGCGTGCAAGTCAAGCTCAAAAGAAGGTTGAAGAAAAATGCTATCCCAACCATTGACGTGGCTGGGATTCCAGAACCATTACAGGACGAAATAACCGATCGAAAGCGAAGACAAGTAAGTTTACGCTTGTTTATGTTAATTTTTCTTTTGTCATATGTAAATTCGATATACGTTTTGTAGATTATTCGACATACTCTCCATAAGCCATCGCTGAAGGAAACATGTTCTCTCAATGAGGAAGTACCATCTACTAGTGATGGAGCTGAGCATGTTGAAGTATGCACTGGGAAGGCAAACGATTCGCCATTTAAAGAAAAACTACATGCAGTTGGTGAAGATATTTGTGAATCCCAGTCTCCATGTAAATCGTGCCTTCGTCTTAAGAAAAAACTTACAACTTTACAAAAGACTTTAAGCTGGTATGAAAAGACAAACGCATCTTTGAAGAAAAAGGCCCAGAAGTTGCAAAATGAATATCGAAGCGAAATCAGGGAAAATCGTAATACATCCGTGGTGATCAGCATTAATATAGATGATGGAATGCAGGGGAGTGCTGAAGAGCTTTTCGAAAGAGAATCATACATGGACTACTCCTCTTTCGAAGAGTCTAGTCAGAGTGAAGATTTGGATGAAGATACCACAAGTAATACACTCAGGTATTTTATCTTATAAAGAATTAGATCTCTGTTTAATTTCATAATAATGAATTGTCTTAATCGTGTTACAGAATTGATGTAGGAGCAAGCTCGCATGAACAATCTATGTTCATGGTATTTTACATCTCATTGGTTGAGTTATTTGAAAAATTTTGCTTTAACTGCAAGGCTGAAAATCCAAAAGTAAACATTAAAGACATTGGTTCGATGGCCATTGTAGAGCAAAATTGTGGTAAATGTGTTGAAAAAAATTCATGCGGAGAAGCCAAACTATGGTTTTGGGAAGATATCCAGCTGGAAACGTTATGACTAGTTTTGGTATATTGATGTCTGGTATCAGTATAATTCAGGCCATGCTGATGTTCAAGCACATGAATCTCTCAGCAAATAGTATGCCCACTTATCATGTGCATCAACGCACCTTCTTGCATTGCTTCTCCAATGCTGCCATCGACTGTCATTTTCTGAAAAAATGGTCCTATTTCCTTACAGCATCTGTACTCTAATGCGACTTCTAACAAATCGGTATGACAGCATTGACAATTACACCTGAAACGTGGGAGCATTGTGGTTTATAAAGTAACTTTATGTATATTACAAACAGGACAAAACAACAACTTACCATTCACCGAGTGGAATTACGCCATCACTTCGTTGTTCTAATGTCGCAGGGAGAATTCCATCGGGATCATCTAGAGTATGCACTTCATCACCATCTCCTGCGAGCGGTTCATCGTCATATGCGAAGTCGTTTAAATGCTCGACATAACCCACGGATTCCGAGCTCGAATCAGATACGCATTCAGACATCGAATTCGAATTATCTGAGCACTGATTTGAGGCCATACTTTCCGGAAAACTTGTTTTTTAATATTTTATTGAAAATACTGTCATTATTTGTTTTTAAGACAAGAAAAACGACAACAAAATCACCTCCTATAATATAATATTATATTGACGGAAACAGACGTGTTCAACTATCTACGTCACAAGTATCAATATGGCGTCGTAAAAAATTCGCAAATAGTACCCGACTTTGGAGGCAAAATTAAAGAACTTATATTTATCTGTTTAAGTCCAGCGACATGTCATAGTTCCTCAAATAATCCAAATTTTTAATTAAGCTCATAAAAAAGGGGGGCTAAAATTCGTAATATAAGCACTTTAAGTATGCTCCATAATATACCAACCTTCAGGAAGTGGACTTACTTTCTCTTGACTCTCTTCTACATTAAAAATATAAACAATAAGATATTTTAATTACGATTACAAATGAAGGTTGACGGATTCACAGTGCATTAATTAAAAAATAATAAAAAACCCGTTGCAAACATATAACTCTTTTTCCAACTTTACATACCAAAATTTCCATTTAATTCTGTAACAAGAACACAAACTTTACCGACATTTTTAGTAATAACGTCAAGGTCATTTAACGATAACTATGAATTTTAATGTCATCACTATCACAGCAGTAAGAGCATTTGTTTTTACTTTAATAGGAAAATAATGACTTTTAATAAACAGTTAGAACACAGATATAAGAGGAAAAGATTAAATCAAATTACTTCTAGAGAGTGTAAAACCTGTAAAAAGCTAAATGTGCTGCAATCTCTGTCGTATTCATGTTGCATATAAATCCGACTGGGAGAAAATAACTCATTTTAATACTCTTATCATTCTTCTTTTCCCTTTTGTGTTTGCTCAGTATGGTGCATCGTTAACAAACCAGTGTGTTTGATTACTTTAACTTTTCAAGCATTAAAGTATATGACATCGTTGATCAATATCCTTGAATGTTTGCTTCAATTGTGAGATTTATTATATATTTCTAGATTACTTTGCAGTATACGATCAGATAATCGAAGACAAGTAAGCAATTGTTTTTTTAAAAAATCTATTCATGAAAACGTTTATAAATGACAATATTTAAAGTACCAATAAAAATGATTTATATATAAATGATAAACCAAAAGATTGATTAAGATAAATCCAAGACAACTTTACTCGAGAACTATACTTTTCATTATACAATTTGCTTGCGTTTCTATTTCCGTCACGTAGTTCATAAAATTGTCACGAACAAGAGTAAATATATACGTTAACAAAGCTTAAGAATCTTTAATATAAACCTGTCAAGATTCTGTATATATGCAAGTTTACTTGTGATTAAAAAACGGAGCAAAAATCCCTCCAATTCTATAAAATTGTTATAGTCTGTCTATATAGTTATCGCCTCACTAATTTCTAGGGCAGTAATATTTTTCCGTGATGTGTAGAAAATCTTTCCTTTCAAAAACATGATCCGAAAGCTTTAGAAATACATAAATTATACAAACTCTTGACGATTGAATTTAATGTTTGACGCAATGTAATTTTGTTTACATTGCTCTTATATATACACTGAAAAGAATTTACAAATTCGAACTAGTATTTTTCAACAAAAAAAGTCTTCATTCGTGTAAAGAATACACCAATAACAAAGTATTAAAAACTTACATGGATAGTTCACCAATCTCCGACAAGTATTTCAACAACTTTAACTTCTATAACGTTTTTCCGACAAATAAGAATCATTAAAATAATGCCTTGTTTTTTTACGTCGTCATACACTTCTATTATTTTAAAAATGTAGGAATTTCAAAATAACAGCAGGAAACATATTCTTTCCTAAGAAAGGTCTATGTTTTCTTGAGGGGGGAGGGGAAGATTGAATAATTTTGAAGATATTCAATTTACATGTCATACAGGCATGCAATTTTACATGCCTTCAAACATAATATGCTATGGATTACAATATTGTTGATAATAACGTTTAGTCCTTAGTATAAGACATTTTCAGATTAGAATACATACATGTAGGAACTTAGAAAACATATATTCTAATTATACAATATTTACAGATTGTTAAATTACAACGTGTAGTGATGTCAATGTTGTGTGATTTTTTGTGTGTTAAGTGGAGTTGAATGGATTTCGATGAGATTTAGTGGGACGGATAGAGTGAGTTTGAATGGATTTCGATGAGATTTAGTGGGATGGATAGAGTGAGTTTGAATGGATTTCGATGAGATTTAGTGGGATGGATAGAGTGAGTTTGAATGGAATTAGATGAGTATGTGGTTGTTTCCTTGGAAGAGAAGTTGATTGGTTGTAACCTCTCTGTACGTAGTGGAGCATTGGACTTTAACTTCACATATTCTCCATAGTTATCATCAACATTGAAATTATCGCTTTCCTTTTTTCTGTGTTCATGAAACTCTGAAGAAGACTTCCATTCTTCAACAACACAATACTCATTAGCAACTCGTCCCACGACTCTCGTGGGAAACAAGGATTACGTCATCCAAACGACTCTCTTTAGCTTCACAAGTTTGATTCCCTGACACCCGAGTACTTTGAAGGATTTAACAAGAGATTTCCAATCTGTTTCTATTGTCAACTTTGCTCTCCTCAACAGACTCATGATCTTCTAAGCCTGAAATGAGAATTTTGTCTGTTTTTACTTCACCCTTGTTTGCATAACTGTAAATTTCGTCCACAGCGTTTTCCCCTGTAGTTTTAGTAAACCTTTTTACTGAATATGCCCTCTTTAACAAATTCATTTTCTTCCTTATCGTCGAATTCAAGATAATTATAGTTAGTTGGGAGCGATTGCGCAACATTTGGGATGCGAAAACCATTTTCTTCCTGTATAATATAGATTATAGTACTCATTATTTCTTACAAAATGCTAAACAAAACTGTGTTGACAGCTTACCTTTGGAAAAAATATCTTGAAATATTTCCTCTAATAAACGACCATCAAAGATAACCCAGTAACGGTGGCAAACGAAAACAGATCTTAAATTCTCCTTTTATTATTCCGTGCTGTCATTCTCGAGACTCAGTTCAACAAGTAAATATTGACATAGAAAAGATATCCTTTTTCCAGTCTTCGAAGTGTGAAAGTATTATCTTTGAAATATCGTACTTTCATTCATGTGATAGAGAGAACTTGATAGGAACACGAAATTTGCCCATTTGATAAATTTTTAATGAAAGTTTTCAATAATCAAAAGTGATATAAGTTTAAAACTTATATTGTCATTTTCAGCTTTGGACACAAGCAGGAAAGTCATTCCATACATACACGATGCAAATAGATGATTTACGATGATAAATCCCATTCCTATATAACAGAAGATACAATCCCATCCTCATTCACTAAGTAAAATAAACGTTTACGAAGAATGGTTGAAGATTTTCACCTAAAAATAAGCATGACACAACGTCCTGTTTAATGTTTAAATTTTAATGTACAAGTAAATACAACTGACCTGTAATAGTTTGACTTTCTTGGTTGAAAAAAAATTCTCACAGTAAGAACAGTTGTTGATATTGAACATTAAACACATCATCACCATTTTGACCAACTTAGTACACCTTCTCACCAGTGTGTTTGGCTGTAACCTCTTTTTCTAAGTTATGGAGTATTGGTCCTCAAATTCACATATTACCCATAATTATCATCGACATTGCCATCAATGCTTTCCTGTTTTTTTGTTTTCACGAAACTGTAAGAACATCCATTTCTCAACATGGTCTTCATTAAATAAACATAATCGGGAAAATAGAATCACGTCATCCGCACGAGACGATAAAATTTTAACCGAGAAATAATGTAAAACATTTACATTATCGACAGAAATAAAAAATAAGGGCATGAAGGTTAAGTACTGCTGTTGTAAAGCGAAATTGAACTTCCTTTTTACAATTTGCAACATGGGTTTTATTGAATAAAGATTGCTGTAGTGATGGAGTGAACGACAATGGTAAAATCTTCTATAGTAACCGATATCTTCATTACCATTGTCTGTCTCTAGGATCATCAAAATACTTTCACAGAATTTTATAGAGAATAAATCCTTCCCAAGATATTTCATAAGTCAATTTTTCTGAAATTGAGCCTGTATGGAACTATTCATCAACACTTGTATGATGTCAGTGTAAGTGTTATATATAATTTCATTATTTTTAATTCAGTTTAAATTAAGATTATTGGATGTAGTATTTCATGTATTTTTTATTACTTTTATGTAATATATTACTTCTACGTTTATAAAGTGTGGAGCTAAGCAAAAAAGACTTAGAGAACGTCAATTTTTGTGGATCACACAAGTAACACAGGACATTTGTTTTATGTACATATCTCTGAGAAGAGCGTCAAAAAAATTAAATAGCCCTAAGACTTAATAAATATGCTATACCTTGTAATATATTAATTATTGTCAAAACATGGAGCCAGAAAAAACTACACAATTCCTGAGCAAATGTCACACAGGCGATGGGAGAATCATTCAGTATAGTTGATTCTTTTACTCTAATTATGACCAATGGAATATCCTTTCAGACTAGTTTATCACATAAGAATGTCGTGCCTTTCATTGGGTAAAGGCAGTGTAAACATGTGTGGTGTATTCTCACTCAAAACAGACAGTCAATCTCTTTTAATCAGTGACAGTTGCTTTTCTATAAACATTAATACAATACGAATTCACGATTGAATAATTTGGACACAAACCTTCATTTAAACGACTGAAACAAAGAACAGAGCACGATGAAATATACTGATGAGGTAACTAAATCCTGTCGTAATTATAGGATGAATGTCTTCAGAAAAATTGGTCTGAAATTAGAAAATATTTGCTTTCATCATGTAAGGTGCAAATATAGGCAATTACAAAGGCACATAACATATTCCTAAAATTTCTCAACTAAATAGTCTTCAACATATACTTCAACGTCAATCACTAACAATTTACACGTAAATCTATTCACCGTTTTTTGACCAACAAATAAATAATGACAAACAAAGTGCCCTCCAAATTCTTTTACAGAAATATACCCTAAATATGCATGAAAGACATCATATGACCCAAAGTAACCACCTTTAATGTAGACAGAAATGTTATGATAACTAAGGCCCCGTTTACACTATATCGGATTGCTATCGTAGCAGGTTGAATATTCTTTGTATTAAAAGGCAGTGAAATTGTTCAACGTCGGAAACACAATGAAATGGACTAAATCTGTCAACTTAATAAGCTTTAACTGCGAACAGTTAACACTTTAAAGCAAATGAAGATGTCGTGATGAGCGAATCCGGTATAGTGTAAACGCAGCCTAAATAATTGTAGACTGAAATTATTGCTATGTAATGACACTAAAGCCTAGTTTTCACTAGCAACATAAGCGCAAGCGATAAAACAAAGCAAAACATATTCTCCAGAGATTGGAGGACGTAAAAGAAAAAGGATTTTCTTTTCAATGTTTTTGTGTTCTAATTTATGCTTATGTTAAGTTGCTGTGTTTATGCTTATGTTTATGCTGATGCTTGTGTCAGTCACTTTATCGCCTTATTGTATTTTCTTTTGTCTTTGTTTGTCCTTAAATCCTGCTTCGCACGAGTAGGGACCAAGGGGTTATGCAGAGAAGTAGTACCTTTCCAAGTTGGTATAGCCTTCTCGACTGGTCTTCCCGTACCCAGTACTATGTGATGCGTAATACACCCAACATTCAGGACTGCAGTCTGCAGTAGCCTATCCATAGTAAAGACCGATGTGCGTGGTAAAGAGCCGCATCCTGCACAAGGTGGTCCTGCATGGAACTAAACACATCGGATCTAGAGGAGTTTAACCTCGAGAAGAAATTCCTCTACTCTTACGGGTAGTTGTAGTTCCTGTGGCGAGCATCAACAGACTGACGTTTCGGCAGAGCAGCATCGCAGCTTGGCGGATGAACATGCTACATGACAACGGGAGGGTGCACTGCTCCAGTTTTGTGAGAACCGTAAGCGTATCTCAGGCCTGGCGAACCGTTTTACGTATTCAGCTATTAGAAAAAACATGAACAAGTTCAATTACAGCACCACGCTGGCACTTGGAATACGTTCATGTTTCGCCTTTGCCATCTGGCATTGGATGACGCAAGACAAGACAAGACACACGAGTGAAATAAGGATAAGCACAAATGTAGACAAAAGAGAAAACAAAGACATTCAACGAGGCATGTGACATAAGCATCAACATAAGAACAAGCATAAAGAAAAAATTCAAGAATAAGCTAAGAGAATAACAAAAGAAGAACAAAAAAGGATTTAAAAAAAGTTCCAATGTCTTTGTCTTTGTAAACCTCTAGAGCAATATAAAAAGTCTCGACGCTCGTGCTTATTTTTTGACATTACTTATTCCAGGTAATATTTCACAATTTTCATGATTACTCCCATCTACTTTCCCCTTTTTTAAGCTTTCCTTCAATATCTTACAGGAACTTATCCCATTTTATCTCATTCAAATAATTATAAAGAATTTTATTCAATAATTGCAAGCTAATATATGCAAAAAACCAACCAAAGAGCCCCAAGGAGAAATTTAATATATCACCATTAACAAATATCTACTCACCCTGAATGGTTGATGATAAAAAACTGATTTGGCAGAGATTTTGTTTGTCCATAAAGAACGATGAAAACTTTTGAGATTTCAATCACCTATTGAAAAGCAAAGAACCAATGGAAACGAATTAATGATTGCAGGGCTTATTCAAGGATGTGATTAAGAATTTTGTGGAGAAAGTGCATCATTTCAATTTTTTCAAACAATTTCAGTAAGTAATGTTATGCCAGGATTTGGTATAGCACCAACAAGTAATAAAATTTAAGCTTATCTTATGGAACGATACCATGCAGCACATTTTTGAACAAATAATGATAGCTGTGCCCTTTTTATCCGTCTTTCGTCAATGACAAAAGTAGCCACAAGCGCACTGCTTTCGACTGATTGACTCAAGGAATCTATAATGGTTTACGTCTAATCTAAATGTCAGTCATGGCAGCTAAATCTTCATGAGATTGTTGTTGTCTAATGGCTATTCCGTTTAGCCATCTGGCTTTTGTGAAGCATTGGGTGATAACTATTGTATATGCATCCTTATTGACTCCAGACATCAGATGTATTACAAATCTAAATCTATCTTGAACTTTCGGAATACAGAAGATTTGCACAATGAGCTGAGTTTATGTTTAGTACGTTTATGTTCAATCTACTCTCAATTCAAAATACCTTTATTTATAAAAGTTTAAATGAATGAGCTAATTTATTTTTCCAAACGATGTATCTGCTACTGCTGAACACAAATTATATGTTGCATCAACAAATGGCAGACTGGAGAATTAAATGCATTCCAACATTTCTTGTCTTTTCTTGTCCTTTCTTTTTCGAAACGATATGTTCTCGCCTTTACAAGATGGTTGTAGCGTCTTGTCTGTAAATAACTACATGATTTGAGTCCTTCCAAATTCCAATAAGAACCAGCGTTATATCACATTTGTTACATCACACTTATAACAAAAAGAAGCGTAGTCATGTTTTTCAACTATCGATGAACATAACTGAAACAAGTGCTTGCTTTATTCTACTAGAAAAGCAATACTTTAAGTTTATATCATAACTGGACTGAGTCAAATTAAGCGTCAATATAATAGAAAATATATTTGTATGACATGAATATAAGTGATGTTAGCCTGTTACAACTCTTGTAATGGGAGTTGACGTGCGAATTTTATTCTCTAACTTCTACTAAAATATGACAATGCACAAAGTTAATTTGAAATGGTGAACAGTTAAACTCATAGATCTCGTTTGTCTTGTCTGCCCGTGAGCCAAAAGCTTGTCGCACACAGTCCATATGACAAAGTTTTGAGCAAAAGGCTTTGTTCAATGGACAACAGTTCGCTCACTGGTAAAAATTCATGCATTTTTAAAAATGCCGGTTGTGCAATGCACAATACGCGTTTCCGTCTTATTTTAGGAAATTTTTTCCAAGAGTACACTTTTTTATTATGTATAAACAGTTTATGTCTGGTATAAAATGTATATGTAGTTGTACAAAAATCCAACTACACAAACTTCTTTAATTTTTTGTACTCAACGCTATCTGTAAAGATAGATTTTTAGATAGCTAAGTAAAAATTCGACTTTGTCGGGTGTCTCAACATCTTGTTGGTAGGTGCTTTTAAATTTGTATTTGAATTTAGGAATCTTATGTAGTAGAGGATCATTGCGAATCATTTTTATAACAATGATATCGACTATAGAATAAAATCTTGCTTCTACACTTTATTTTGCTTTACGCTAGATTGGCCATGCAAAAATATTAGATGAATGTACAAGTACTAAGAGCAAAAATTTGAAATGTTAAATAAGTGCATGTATGCAACAATTTCATTGTTTCACACGCAGAAGTCCTTGAAACTGGCATTTTGGAGAAGTCCTAATTTATCCAAAGCATCTTTTAGTCTCAGGCAAGCATAGTACTTCTTGTTCTTTCTGGACGCAACAGCAACAGCATATGCAAACGGTATCTTCTTGTTGTTCTTATCACTAAAATAAACCAGAGATCCCGAGTCACTTTGCTGAATAAATTCGTGATCACTTTCTACAGCCACCACGTCACGGAACACTATTTTTCCCTTGTAACGTACGGTACGATTGAGGTCAACAATGCTCCCGCCGACATCGTCGCCAGCTTTATAAACAGGTGTCTGTTGCTCATCGTTTTCTCTCTCTGACAGCAACTCAAACACATTCTCTAGAGAACGTGATATCTCTATTTTAGCTGCAGTGAATTCAATTTCTTTATTATCAACTAGGATGGCCATTATATCGGTTTCTTGATCAAATGAGTAATGCGAAAATTCGCCAAGAGCTATTTCTCTGCCATCGTTATGAATGTACGAATATTTGTTTTCGTGCATAAATTCCTCAAAATCCCTTTTATTATTATTTATTTCGTCTTGAATGTACAAGAACTTATTTTCGCTTTCGGGAGAATTTTTATATCCAGTATGTAGACAAGTCAACGCGTAATGTTTTCCATCTTTGCAGCAGAACAGAGTCAACGTTCCACAGGATGGTTTGGACGCATTATCACGCTTTGATTGAACCATCTTCGAAAGCGGATAAATTATAATTTCGTCAGATGGGTTGATAAAACGTAATTCGATATATTTTGAAGCATTCCATTCAAATATTTCATCAATTTCTTGTTTCAAAAGTTTATTATCTTTCTTTGATTGGTCGACTTCAAGAAACAAATGAAGATATGGCATTTGATTGGTCGGACGAGCTACACCATAATCGCCACAAAGCCATGAAAAACTGCAAATGTAAAAAATGAAGGTACTTGGAAAAAAACAGCAACATACTCACTTGTCAAGTCAAATGACTCAAAAACTGAATTATAAGAGTTAAGAAAGATTTACCTTTCCAATTTTTCATGCACACTTTCTTTTACTTTGTAATCATTGGTTAGAAATCTTTCTTTAAAAAATTTGCTCCCGTTGGTAATGAGAACAATATGATCTGCAAAAAAATAACATAAAATCAAGATTACGATAATCGTTGTTTGCAAAAGGGGACATTTGACTGACAAGAAAAAAAATTATATTATGCAATACCATTAAAAAATTTGAACTTAGGCATAACTAGAAAAGTACAGAACAATTTAGTTATTGTGTAAGGTTACAAAGACAATTAGCTCTTTACTCACTTTTTATACGACCATCTGAGTTGAGAGACCTTAGACCTTGCGATTGCTTCATCTTTGGTTGGCTCCTTGTATCACGAAACATATCAACGTTTTCCTCATTTTGTATGATTGCAAGCTTCCACAAAACAGTGGGATTGGATATTGTTTCTTTGAAATACATCTTTGCATCGCAAATTTCCCAAAACAGTTCAGACTGTGATTTTTCCAGTGGTCGATCGTACCATTGCTTGCGTTCAGTCTTTCTATTCATCTTATCTGTTCTAAAATAATCATTGCCATCTTTTTGTATTAGAATTTTCAAATTAAAGGTTTACAATTGATGAAAATTGAGCAGACATCACTTGTCTTATTTGACTGTTGGTTCCTGACTCTACAGCCTTTCACACTTCTCTGTATTGGATAGTAGATTAATAAGTGTTTTAACGCCTCGTTGGTTGATGGTCTGTATTCTAGCTTCAGCTGTCACTCAGACTAGCTGTCACAGATTAGTCACTCTGTCTTATTTATTGATGGTAAATAATTATCTTCCTTATCTCGAAGGAGATTAATTCGACTTTTGAACCAACTACTTATGAGTGAGGCTGTGATTGGCATGGTCGATTGTCAACTTATTAGCAACAGTCTGAAAGAATTTTTTACGAATGTAATGAGCGCAACAATGATAAACGCAAAGTCAACTCAATTAACTGCACGAGTTTTGCTGAAAGTACTATCCCTCCATTAAATGTTGGAAGTTGTGTTTCATTTAAGAAATGAAAGATGTTTACTGTGTTTGTATGCAAACCAAGGAGGTTGACCTTTGGGAGAACTCGATAGCAGGTCATGGCAACCTCGAGACTCAAGATTTTGAGCCGATGATTTGTTGTAATTCAATTATTCATTTCAATTTATTTATTTTTATAGGGCAATTTCTTTGAAATATAAAGAACTTTTTACACCAAGGCAAAACCAAGATTCCACAGAACTGAATATAACCGGAATGCTACTCCCAGTCAAAATTTTACACCAGCAGTTCCACTTGCCCCAATTTTTCCAACCACGGCCACGAAAAAGTTCATAACGGCAGTAATGCTATGAAATGCAAGGCTTATAGACATGCATGTCTGAAAGCAAGTAAATGCGCGTTCAGGCATTTTAGTTAAAGGTGGCCATCCAATTATGTATTTGGTTCAAGGACATGTTTACATTTTTGTCATGCCAAAAATAATTGAGGTAATGTGGGCGACATGCAAACTTTCCGGAATGACAACTAACTGTAGAACACAGAACAACTACCAAATATATGGAATTTGCGTAAGTCAACTGACTTACCCTAAATCTGCACCTGGTTGATAATCAGATCATCAAAGATAATAACTGTTTCTATTCATGTAAATATTTAAGAAACAATTGTATAAACATTTTTAGGTAGCTACAATTCTGAGCTTAAAAACCTATTTAAACAACACCAAGTCTCACTTTTCCAAAAGTTATTTTTCGTCAAATAATGAGAGGAAAATTTGCTTGCGTGTTCACTTCCGGCCACACTTTAATACTATTTATTGTATGAGCAAAAATATATAAGGGAAGCAACGTTGCTTGATGAATGAAAACTTATGATATAGTTCTTTTTTAAGGTCATGGTATATCTTAAGATTATGATATAACTTTGCTTGAGGATAAAAACGGGGCGGAAAACTACCTACGAACAAATGGAATAGTCTGAACATTTAGCTATTGCCTGAATGATTGTTTCGACTTTTTTGTGATGAGTAAAATGTATACCTTTAACCGCTTAACATTTGGGCGAGTTAAAGTAAATGTCAAAAGCAACAGAATTTTCTTAACATTTTTTAATATACTGAAAGAATTCACATATAAAACCATGTATTTTAAAGCATACCTGTCATTGTTATTGAACATACTGAAAGAATTCACAAAAATAGCATCGTAGTTTAAAGTGTACCAGCCTTTCCCATGTGAAAAATATAATACAAATAAGTGTATAAAAGTAGAACTCTTTGATCACTAGGTACAATTCAACGCTGTCTTCTTCGCGGTATTTTCTTCCGTGTGACGCATCAAGATAACAAGGATGGGTCGTCTTGCATCACTACATACATAAATTGTCTTCTAACAATGTAAAAATTTCAAAAGATCACTGCATGACATAAATTAGCAAGGTAAAAATATTTGTTATTATCTCTTTGAAGGGCGAGGGAGAGCCATGACTTGTACAATTTTTAGGTACAAATAAAATCGAAGCTAAAGTGTTTGAAGAAAGATAAATGTATAGCTATATGCTGCATTGCGCAGTTTTAGCAAATTTACCAGAGAAATGTGTTGCACAAAACAAAACACAAGAGTGATTGCTACTTGCAAACTGATGGATGTATTCAAAAATCTTTCATTTTTCTACTTTCTGCCTCTCTTTCATCACCATTTCGTAAACGCTATTCATAAAAGAGATAACAAACGTTTTATGAAAGCAAACAAAAAGCAAAAACAACACGTAAAGCTTTTCAAGAAGTCAACAGGGTGTGTTGAACAACACAAATAAACCCAGAGTATTGAGCATCAAAAGCAAAAACTAAATAAATTTAATTCGTTTAGACAGATAATAGATAACCTGTAATGAAGCTTTTCTTGGTTTCATTGACTTCTCTTCTCAACAACAGCCTCTTTTTTAACGCTTATTTCAAGTGTGCAATTGCACTATAGCCATACCATAAAGATATTCATCAGTTAAACAATTTACTCCTGTTTGGCACAGCAAGAAAAGGTATGAAATAAGATTACAGTAAAAAACGCTATTAACATAACAATTGACTGCTAATTGACATAAAATAGATATGTAACTTTTCAAGAAAATACAGTAAAACCAAGTAAAGATTAAGTATGTCCAGTAAGTAAGTATGTGACAAGTAAGTTGACAACGTCCTACGAAAAGCTGTTTAGCGCTTTGTAGCGAAGAGTCGAGGACACATAAAATATGGTATTTTGGGCTTTGGGGAACTTTTGTCAGGTTGAACAGATTGGATAAAAGATGCTTGTATTTCGGAAGAAGTATGCTGTGTTTGCAATTGCTGTTTCTCATTGCTTGAGATGTTGCAGAAGCTTTACTGCGGCTGCTATCAGCCGATAATCCGTGGTCACTGCTGTGGCCTACTGGAGTAAATGCTGTAGTAGTTACGTATATAGTTAAAAATGCCCTGAAAAAAATCATTAGGTAAATTACCTATATGAGTCAAAATATAAATTCTCGTTGTATAATTTGTATTCCATTCTATTTCTATGTTTATTTTGTAAGATTGATTACTTGATCAAGTGAAATGAGAAATAAACTCTAAATAGACCATGAAAAACTTGCCAACTCTTTCCGGCAAAATACTTTTCATTTACATCTATGCATTAGTGCATTAATAACAAATAAGAGCATGTTGCGCCAATGTCATTGTTTCACACGTAAGAAGTCCTTAAAGCAGACGTTTTCAAACAAATCCCAATTTCTTTAAAGTATCTTTTAGTCTCAGGCAAGAACTTTGCGTACCAGAATCGTTCATTTGGCACAAATTCATATATGTATGTCTTAATCCGTTGAAAACAATGGATTTCAAAGACACTTAATGCCGCAGAACATTAATATATGAATATGTGCTCCCTCCCAATTAAAGAGTTTGCTACGCGACTGGGCAGGCATAGTATTTCCTGGACGCTATAGCAACACCATTTGACGTAATTAATATTTTCAAGATACATGTATGAAGACCTTTAATAGTATGGGAAGTTTTGGGAAGGACTTTGTTCGCTTTGTTGGTGAAACTGTGTTAAACTTAGACCCTTTAAAACCTGCCACCACCCATATGAAAGTTGTTGTTAGACGCAAACAAAGAAAACGCGATTGTGAGATCACAACAAGGGAGTCCGGGGCAAGTTACTAAAAGAAATTTTTGATTTCCAAAACGTGTAAATCGTCATTTATAGCATTTGGACATTTTTAAACGAAAAATGAATGTAATAAACAGTGAAAATAATCAACAAAAGGCTTTTTGTACGAAGTTTGAAACCGCCATTCGAACGCGCTTTCAAATCTCTATCATTTACTTTTCCAAAAAATAGCCCTTCCTAACTTTAATATCAGTTTTTAATTATTTCAAAAGTAAGCTTTAATACAGAAAGCTCAGTAGCTAATGGTTTATCAGCTTTTAGTTATTCAAGAGTAACATTTTAATTAGCTTAGTAATGCATTTAATAACAGCTTATCGAGAATGCTGGCCTCCAAAGCTGTAGTCCTCGACAAATCACAATATGGAGACTCGGTTTAAGCCATTGAAGAACAACCTTTATCATTATCAACAACGACAGGATTACAACAAGTCGCTCTATTTTCTATACTTTACGTCTATACTTACTGATATATGTAAGTGTTAACTTCCTACTATTACGTAAATGTCAGAGAAACTTTATAGTAACCAGGCCCATATCAAATTCAACACAATATCGTTTTGGAAAGCGGTTGAATCACTATTTCGTCAGACGGTTCAATGTAACGTAATTCGACATATTTTGAAGCATTCCATTCAAATATTGCATCTATTTCTTGTTTTAAAGTCTTCATTTTCATTTTTTGGTCGACTTCAAGAAACAAATGAAGATATGGCATTTCATCGGTGGGAAGAGCTACACCATAATCGCCACAAAGCCATGGAAAACTATAATGTAGAAAATCAAGATATTTGAGAAAAACATAGCATGCTCACTTGTCATGTTATAAGACTCAAAGCTGAACTATATCTATAAATATTTATACCTTTCCAATGCTTCATGCACACTTGGTTTGATTTTGTAGTCTTTTGTTTGAAACTTTTTTATGAAATCCTTTGTGTTGGGGGTGTTATCTGGAAGTGGAGCACATAAAGTAAATGTCACTAAACGGAGAGCTCAACACAATAAGAAAATTAATTATTAAAAAGAATCTACTGCGCAATTTTGAACTTTGAAAAAAAACGATAATTGTGTCATCCTGGATTTGAATTTTTTAACAAATATATAGCAGAGCAAGAACTCCATGCACCTTTATAGTCATGCAAATTCTCCACTACTTCCTACCTTTTCGAAATGTAGGCAAATAAAACTAGTTGCAATAATAATAAATGTTCATAATAATTATATTGCTGTGCATGACTGAAAATAAATATTATTTTCACATTTACAGGTCAAGATGACTTATATTGGGTAACTATATATGCTATCGTCGAACTGTCTGTAACAAGGTATTAATCATTATAATAATAGAAAGTAATGGTAAACTAGTTAAGCCTGGTTCCCATATAGTCGTCCAAGTCGTTTCAGTCGTACAAAAATTTCACAGACGACCCGTGCGACCATATGAGAACATTTCAGAGGCAACCGGGATGACCTCAAATGACTCTCACACGACTGAAACGACCAGGGTTGCTTGGATAGAACTTTGCTCTATCCGGACGAAGGAAAAACGACCGTTGAGAAATGCAAGCGACTTTTTATGGCGCAAAACGATTTGAAGCAAATAACAAGCCAAAAGACTTTGTCTTTGATGAACAGCATCTGTCATTTCCTAATGTTTTGCGAAAAAATTAATTAAACAGTCTCTCGGCATAGTACAAATATAAAATTCCTAAGCCTTAATTAGTCTGCATGAAAATACCAACCTTTACAACATCTTCTTTCCTCCTCTTCTGTATTATGAAAACAAGAAAGAAAAACAATTTTATGTTTACTTTTATACAAGATAAATCTCATTTAGAGCTAAACAGGGAGTGCAAAAGAGCTTCAAAAACGTAGCACATAATTAATCACATACAGCACTGAATACAGACTATTCACGTTAAAAAGTTTCTATACTAACTCAGAACAAAACCCATTAAGAAACTGAAGAGATCGTAACAATTACAGGCACCTACGAACGACTTATTCACAACTTTGAACAAATGAACAAAAGATAAAAACATACCACTTCAAAGTAATCTACGAAAACAATGCACAATAGACCCCCTCCACACAAACAAATAAGTTTGTTGCTATCAAATACCGTCATGACTTGGGTTTTCTTTGTTTTTCCTTCCATTTACTCTTTCAATTTCTACTAGATAGAAGCAAAAGGAAACTATTTTTATTCAAAATTCATGATATTCATGATATTCACTTCTCCTTTTTTTTCTCTCGACAGCTTATAACAATAAGTGCATGTTCTAAGCAAAAGATAGCCTTTATTTATTGCATTACCTATGCTATAGGTAAAATATATATAGGGCTATAGAGCTGTTGCTTCTAATCAATGTGGGTTTCACCCGGACATCAAAAATTTAATGATTCAAAATAATACCTTGTCGACGTTTATCACTAATGCGTCGATATTTTATTGTCACTTCAGAGTCTTCTGAAATATTACATAAAAACAAAAAAACATAAAAGGCTAGCGTTACTTTATAGAAAACGAAACTTTCTCCATTGATATACAGCAAGCCTTTCTAGCTGCAAAATGCTCACACAAGGCAAAGAAGTAATAACTCAAAACATCTTACTTTTGTTAGCTGCACCTCCTTCACTATCGCCGCTTTTAGCACTGTTGGATACACTAAGACCATTGTCTCGCAGTCTGAAAAATTGACTATTCTCTAGACCAAGTGATTCTAAGGCCTTGTGCAATTTTAAGCAGATGTAACTTTTTTCTGGACAATCGCCACCATCATCAAGTATTTCGCTAACACCATATGCAAATGGTTGCCAATTATTGTTTTCATTCAAAAACCAAACAAGAGTACCAGAGTCACCGGAATCAAGAAATGTTTGACAACTTTTTATCTTGATGGCATTCTGGAAAATGCGACGTGTGGAATTTTTACAACAATACTCATAATTCAATTCACTGATGAAGCCCTCAACACCAGTGGCTGTGCGGACTTTAACAGCCTCCTTGTTGTCTTCAACCCTTCGTTGAAGTTCTAAATTTGCATCATCCAAGTTCAATATAACATCTTCCATTTCATCATCAAAAAGTTTCTTGAAATCCTCTTGCTTGCCAATATTGATAGACATGATATCTGTTTCACTATCAAACTGAGCAAAGGTGTGTTGATGAGAAGATCCAATTTCTGCTTTACAGTCACTCTTAGACGGTGTGTAAATATACTTGTTTTCATCGTGTTTACTCAAGGTTTGTACAGCTTTGCTGATTGATACCAGTCGCTCTCCGTCAAGAAATGTTTGCTGATGGTCAGTGGCACAAGTAACATGTGCGCATGTCAAGGCGGAGTAAACACCATTCTTCAGACAAATCAGTGTTATCGTACCGCGAGATGCTCCACCATTCAGAATTCCATCATGTGGTATTTCGATATTTGAAAGAAGCCGAAAGGGTGCTTCAATGGACGATGACGACCAAAATTCTCTCAATTTCAATGTTTGGATTCCATGCACATCATGTATCTCTTTTGTCAAATTTTTGCTCGATTTTGTAAGATTGATAGTCAACCCTAAATTTGATTGATTATTGAAACATGTTACATGTCGCATGATATCAAATTTTCGGCCCGCAAAATTTATGTTTTTCAATCGGCCAGATGAACAAAACAATTCAAATTAATGTGTTTTTAATTTAAATGAAGCAATAAATTACCAGCATCGTTGATTTTCGACTCATCTTGAGCAACCACATTGGTAGACTTTACAGCTTCTATAAAAGAAATTACAATCATTCATTCAAATAATTCTTCAAATAGAATAAATCCATAAGCCTGAATATAAAATAATAATTAATGAAACAGAGACTTTGTCGTGGTGACAAACTTAAAGATGGATTTCAAAATAGCAAATACCATGGTGAATGGTGATATTAACAATGTAATAGTTCTTAAAAGAACTGTTTTAAACAGAACACTAACCAAACAATTCAAAGGAACCGTTATTTACAGCTAGAAAGAGACACTATGCATTTCGGCAGACTACTCGTCAGGTGTCAACGTCTGCTAAATGAGAACCTCCAAACCATGCTATATTTATAACGTTACAAAAGGTCAATGTCATCCCTATTTTTAGAGATGACACTTAAAACAGAGACAAATTAAACACGTAATCCTTTTGTTGGGAAAGGACAGGGTTAGTCAATTTAATTAATACCGACTCCATGACGCGTAGATGGAATAACGAGCGACATTTTTTAATAATTCTAAAGTTTTTATCAGAGTAAGCATTGGCACAGCGAGTGTTGCTCAAAAGATGTTTTCCAATCGCTGAATCACATAGCATTGGATTTTCACTTTTACAGCCACGTTTTGGTAATTGTCGTAAAGGAACAGTTTTATTCCTGACAGAAGCTGGTACATGCTGTTTTATTCTTTCACTCAACCTTTGAGAAGTCCTACCTACATAGCGAGCATCACACTCACATTTAAACTCTATTGCTTGATATTTGAGCGGGGAGAGACTCTTTGGGAGTGGGTGGAAGAATAGTTCTTTATGAGAATATAAAGACCACATTGCATGCAAAAAACAAACTCTCGGTGATATTTTTAGTTTCCCTCTCGATGTCATTAGAGGCCTTACCCATCCAGGGAAGTTTAAGGAAAACAGGGCACTTGGCCGGTCCGAAAAGTTTACTCCGTTCACTGTTAGTGGATAAGAAAATAATAATTCCAAAGTGAAGACGTAGCTAAAAACTCGGCCACTACATGAGTAAAAAAAGTTATCAAAAGTGTTATTCACAATATAAACTCCGGTGTTTGAATATTCACTGGGTAAACGAACGGATAGAGAAATATACAAAATAGAAGTTTAACGCACCATTCGTATTTTGTAATTATATAAGTACATTCGTAACTTGTCTTCAACTTAGTGATTATATTACATGTATGAACAGTGTCGAACGATGTAATAACTTGTAGTTGTTTTTCCCTTGTTTAAACGTATTTAACTGTGGGACACTACTAGTGTATAAAAAACACCTAGATTGATTTTTGAACACATCCATGCAGACCTGGGCATGCACTAAGTGTATTTTATTGTTTACAGGAAATGAGGCAAAGTTACAATAAATAACATGTAACAGTGAAAAACATTAAAAGTGGAGTAAATGGTTTGAGCCCGGGAGTATCGTTACATGTTTGTAAATGTAAATCGTCCAGGTTGGTATAGTCCTGAGAAGGACTGTTTTCGTTGATGTTGACTGACGTTTCGACAACCGTAACGGTAGTCATCTTCAGAGTCAAATGAGGAGTAAACGTCAGGTTAGCCGTATTTGTCATCTGGTTAACCAAAAAGGTAGTGCATGTTTGTAAGTCGTGAGCGCCAGTTCCTCTATAGATTGCATTACAATTTCAGCAACTACAACAGAAACGGGTGAGCCCATTGCTGTTCCATGTAATTGTTTGTAGTGTGTACCTTTGTACTGGAAGTAAGTCGAGGTGAGGCAGAGCTCCAGTAGCTCCATAACGTCTTCTGTCGGTAATGGCAGTACGTCCGTGGTTTCCACGCCTCTTATATCGGGGAAACTGGCAGGAACTTAAACCCAAGACTTACTGAACACAAACGAGCTACTAAAAACAAGACAAAACTAATCACATTGCCGAACATCACCGAATCACAAAGCACAACATTGACTAGGACTCGGCAAATGCATTACTTACAGTACTGACTATAGACAACGGCTTACATTAGAAAGTTGGTATACCAACTTGGAACAAACCCCTCTGAACATATCACAGCAATTACCGGCCCCTTATAAACGACTTACTCACAATACAAACAATACAAAATGACAATACACAATTGACACCGACACTTTTCCTGTACACACAATACAATGACGTAAGAACCAGATAACAAATACCGCTAATCTGACGTTTACTCCTCATTTGACTCTGAAGATGACTACCGCTAAAGTTGTCGAAACGTCAGTCAACAACAACAAAAACAGTCCTTATCAGGACTATACCAACCTGGACGATCTACATTTACAAACATGTAACCAAATATGATACCTAACAAAACAGCATATAATTCCACTTTGTAAAAGTAATTGGTTAAAAAAGTTAACTGATACATCTTAAAATTGTAAAATTTTAATACTTAGAGACGAATAAACTCAAATAACAGAATGTTTCCTGGGCAAACGAGAGGAGAGAGAAAGTACAAAATAGAACGTCATGTAACAATGATATTTCAGTTGCATCAACGTAAATTTAAAATATATCCTTTACTCCTAAAAAGTGCTGCGCTGATTTATGGGCAAAAATCGTAAAAAACTTGAGAGATTGTACAAAGATTGTTTAACACATGCAAGACAGCAATGAAAATGTGAGTAAATTTTACTTTCACATTACCAAACATATTTTCATTTATGCATTATCAATAAGCATTCGTCAATAGTTCATTACACGCCCATACTAACCTCTAAGTCCACTATTCAAATCTGCAACAGAAAAAAAGACATTATTTTTCCACTTACACATTATAGGTCAAAATAACTATCTTATTGTTCATAAACTCATAACATATAACAGACGAATAACTGCTTAAAATGAATTAACTTTGGATATAGTGAACATAAACAGGCATAAACAAACATAAACAAATTTAACATAAGGATATTTCATGACTATACATAAAAACATAAAAATGAAAACAATACAATTTTTAAGTTTTATAAAACAAAGCCTTGCTTGTGGTAAGAAAACTAAATACTGCTTTGAAGAGCATATTTACCATAGTAAATTACAACTATAACCTTGGTATATGTTTTTAAAAAGAACTGTTGAAAACCAACATTAAGATAAATTAAATGATCGATGCATTTCGGTACACATCGTAAGGTATAGCGTCTGCTTTAAAGAAAGCAAAAAATCTGCTGATATTTAGCGCAAAGACGAAATATATCCTAAATACTGGCAAAAAACTCTTTAAAGCAATATTTTCCCGTTTACAAATGAAAAATTAACTGACAAATTTAAAAATTGTAAAACTTTAATTTTTAGAGACAAATAAGTTCAAATAACAGAATGTTTCCTGGGTAAACGAGAGGAGAGAGAAGTACAAAATAGAACGTCATGTAACAATGATATTTCAGTTGCAATAACGTAAACTGATAAATAATTCCGTTCCTCCAAAAAGTGCTGCAATGATTTATGGGAAAAAATCGTCAAAAACGTGAGAGGTTATACAAAAATTGTTTAACAAATGTAAGGCAGCAATGTAATCTTCGTAAATGTGAGTAAATTTTACATTGGACATCTGCGTTCTGTGTCAAAAATTCATCAAAATGTGATAGTTGTGTCGTGCAAGTAAATTATTTTCAGTGAACATTGATGATAATGGAAGACAGAAAGATGGAAGTCGTGGTATAGTTCTATACTAACCTTCACTTTGCTAAAAACAAAAATTATCTTTCACATTACCAAACATATTTTCATTTATGCATTATCAATAAGCATTCGTCAATAGTTCATTACACGCTCATACTAACCTCTAAGTCCACTATTCAAATCTGCAACAGAAAAAAAGACATTATTTTTCCACTTACACATTATAGGTCAAAATAACTATCTTATTGTTCATAAACTCATAACATAAAACAGACGAATAACTTCTTAAAATGAATTAACTTTGGATATAGTGAACATAAACAGGCATAAACAACCATAAACAAATTTAACATAAGGATATTTCATGATTATACATAAAAACATAAAAATGAAAACAATACAATTTTTAAGTTTTATAAAACAAAGCCTTGCTTGTGGTAAGAAAACTAAATACTGCTTTGAAGAGCATATTTACCATGGTAAATTACAACTATAACCTTGGTATATGTTTTTAAAAAGAACTGTGGAAAACCAACATTAAGATAAATTAAATGATCGATGCATTTCGGTACACATCGTAAGGTATCGCGTCTGCTTTAAAGAAAGCAAAAAATCTGCTGATATTTAGCGCAAAAACGAAATATATCCTAAATACTGGCAAAAAACTCTTTAAAGCAATATTTTCCCGTTTACAAATGAAAAATTAACTGACCCATTTAAAAATTGTAAAACTTTAATTTTTAGAGACGAATAAGTTCAAATAACAGAATGTTTCCTGGGTAAACGAGAGGAGAGAGAAGTACAAAATAGAACGTCATGTAACAATGATATTTCAGTTGCAATAACGTAAACTGATAAATAATTCTTTTCCTCCAAAAAGTGCTGCACTGATTTATGGGCAAAAATCGTCAAAAACGTGAGAGGTTATACAAAAATTGTTTAACAAATGTAAGGCAGCAATGTAATCTTCGTAAATGTGAGTAAATTTTACATTGGACATCTGCGTTCTGTGTCGAAAATTCATCAAAATATGATAGTTGTGTCGTGAAAGTAAATTATTTTCAGTGAACATTGATGATAATGGAAGACAGAAAGGTGGAAGTCGAGCTATCGTTCTATACTAACCTTCACTTTGCTAAAAACAAAAATTTTCTTTCACATTACCAAACATATTTTCATTTATGCATTATCAATAAGCATTCGTCAATAGTTAATTACACGCCCATACTAACCTCTAAGTCCACTATTCAAATCTGCAACACAAAAAAAGACATTATTGTTCCACTTACACATTATAGGTCAAAATGACTATCTTATTGTTCATAAACTCATAACATATAACAGACGAATAACTTCTTAAAATGAATTAACTTTGCATATAGTGAACATAAACAGGCATAAACAACCATAAACAAATTTAACATAAGGATATTTCATGATTATACATAAAAACATAAAAATGAAAACAATACAATTTTTAAGTTTTATAAAACAAAGCCTTGCTTGTGGTAAGAAAACTAAATACTGCTGTGAAGAGCATATTTACCATGGTAAATTACAACTATAACCTTGGTATATGTTTTTAAAAGAACTGTTGAAAACCAACATTAAGATAAATTAAATGATCGATGCATTTCGGTACACATCGTAAGGTATCGCGTCTGCTTTAAAGAAAGCAAACAATCTGCTGATATTGAGCGCAAAGACGAAATATATCCTAAATACTGGCAAAAAACTCTTTAAAGCAATATTTTCCCGTTTAAAAATGAAAAATTAACTGACACATTTAAAAATTGTAAAATTGTAATTTTTAGAGACGAATAAGTTCAAATAACAGAATGTTTCCTGGGTAAACGAGAGGAGAGAGAAGTACAAAATAGAACGTCATGTAACAATGATATTTCAGTTGCAATAACGTAAACTGATAAATAATTCCTTTCCTCCAAAAAGTGCTGCACTGATTTATGGGCAAAAATCGTCAAAAACGTGAGAGGTTATACAAAAATTGTTTAACAAATATAAGGCAGCAATGTAAACTTCGTAAATGTGAGTAAATTTTACATTGGACATCTGCGTTCTGTGTCAAAAATTCATCAAAATGTGATAGTTGTGTCGTGCAAGTAAATTATTTTCAGTGAACATTGATGATAATGGAAGACAGAAAGATGGAAGTCATGGTATCGTTCTATACTAACCTTCACTTTGCTAAAAAGAAAAATTATCTTTCACATTACCAAACATATTTTCATTTATGCATTATCAATAAGCATTCGTCAATAGTTCATTACACGCCCATACTAACCTCTAAGTCCACCATTCAAATCTTCAACAGAAAAAAAGACATTATTTTTGCACTTACACATTATAGGTCAAAATGACTACCTTATTGTTCATAAACTCATAACATATAACAGACGAATAACTTCTTAAAATGAATTAACTTTGGATATAGTGCACATAAACAGGCCTAAACAACCATAAACAAATTTAACATAAGGATATTTAATGATTATACATAAAAACATAAAAATGAAAACAATACAATTTTTAAGTTTTATAAAAAAAGCCTTGCTTGTGGTAAGAAAACTAAATACTGCTGTGAAGAGCATATTTACCATAGTAAATTACAACTATAACCTTGGTATATGTTTTTAAAAGAACTGTTGAAAACCAACATTAAGATAAATTAAATGATCGATGCATTTCGGTACACATCGTAAGGTATCGCGTCTGCTTTAAAGAAAGCAAACAATCTGCTTATATTTAGCGCAAAGACGAAATATATCCAAAATACTGGCAAAAAACTCTTTAAAGCAATATTTTCCCGTTTAAAATGAAAATTAACTGACACATTTAAAAATTGTAAAATTTTAATTTTAGAGACGAATAAGTTCAAATAACAGAATGTTTCCTGGGTAAACGAGAGGAGAGAGAAGTACAAAATAGAACGTCATGTAACAATGATATTTCAGTTGCAATAACGTAAACTGATAAATAATTCCTTTCCTCCAAAAAGTGCTGCACTGATTTATGGGCAAAAATCGTCAAAAACGTGAGAGGTTATACAAAAATTGTTTAACAAATGTAAGGCAGCAATGTAAACTTTGTAAATGTGAGTAAATTTTACATTGGACATCTGCGTTCTGTGTCGAAAATTCATCAAAATGTGATAGTTGTGTCGTGCAAGTAAATTATTTTCAGTGAACAGTGATGATAATGGAGGACAGAAAGATGGAAGTCGAGCTATCGTTCTATACTAACCTTCACTTTGCTAAAAACAAAAATTATCTTTCACATTACCAAACATATTTTCATTTATGCATTATCAATAAGCATTCGTCAATAGTTAATTACTCGCCTATACTAACCTCGAAGTCCACTATTCAAATCTGCAACATAAAAAAAGACATTATTTTTGCACTTACACATTATAGGTCAAAATGACTATCTTATTGTTCATAAACTCATAACATATAACAGACGAATAACTTCTTAAAATGAATTAACTTTGGATATAGTGAACATAAACAGGCATAAACAACCATAAACAAATTTAACATAAGGATATTTCATGATTATACATAAAAACATAACAATGAAAACAATACAATTTTTAAGTTTTATAAAACAAAGCCTTGGTTGTGGTAAGAAAACTAAATACTGCTTTGAAGAGCATATTTACCATGGTAAATTACAACTATAACCTTGGTATATGTTTTTTAAAAGAACTGTTGAAAACCAACATTATGATAAATTAAATGATCGATGCATTTCGGTACACATCGTAAGGTATCGCGTCTGCTTTAAAGAAAGCAAACAATCTGCTTATATTTAGCGCAAAGACGAAATATATCCAAAATACTGGCAAAAAACTCTTTAAAGCAATGTTTTCCGTTTACAAATGAAAAATTAACTGACACATTTAAAAATTGTAAAATTTTAATTTTTAGAGACGAATAAGTTCAAATAACAGAATGTTTCCTGGGTAAACGAGAGGAGAGAGAAATACAAAATAGAACGTCATGTAGCAATGATGTTTCAGTGGCATCAACATAAACTGATAAATAATTCTTTTCCTCAAAAACTGCTGCACTGATTTATGGGCAAAAATCGTCAAAAACGTGAGAGGTTATACGAAAATTGTTTAACAAATGTAAGGCAGCAATGTAAACTTCGTAAATGTGAGTAAATTTTAAATTGGACTTCTGCGTTCTGTGTCGAAAATTCATCAAAATGTGATAGTTGTGTCGTGCAAGTAAATTATTTTAAGTGAACATTGATGATAATGGAAGACAGAAAGATGGAAGTCGAGCTATCGTTCTATACTAACCTTCACTTTGCTAAAACAAAATTATCTTTCACATTACCAAACATATTTTCATTTATGCATTATCAATAAGCATTCGTCAATAGTTAATTACACGCCCATACTAACCTCTAAGTTCACGATTCATGTCTGCAACAGAAAAAGACAATATTTTTCAACTTACAAATTAGAGGTCTAAATGACTATCTTATTGTCACAAAACTCAGAATATATAACAGACGAATAACCTCTAAAAATGAATTAACTTTGGATATAGTGAACATAAACAGGCATAAACAACCATAAACAAAATTAACATAAGGATGTTTTATGATTATACATAAAAACATAACAATGAAAACAATACAATTTTTAAGTTTTATAAAACAAAGCCTTGGTTGTGGTAAGAAAACTAAATACTGCTTTGAAGAGCATATTTACCATGGTAAATTACAACTATAACCTTGGTATATGTTTTTAAAAGAAATGTTAAAACCAACATTAAGATAAATTAAATGATCGATGCATTTCGGTACACCTCGTAAGGTATCGCGCTTGCTTTAATGAAAACAAAAAATCTGCTGATATTTAGCGTAAAGACGAAATATATCCAAAATACTGGCAAAAAATTCTTTAAAGCAATATTTTCCCGTTTACAAATGAAAAATTAACTGACACATTTAAAAATTGTTAAATTTTAATTTAAATAACAGAATGTTTCGTAAACAAGAATTTGTAACAATGATCAGTTGCATTTGTGAAATAGGCTTTACATGGCTTGTTAAAGCTGTAGATGGAAAGAACCTAGTAATTTCACAGCCGCGTCGTTATCATCTGAAGTGACTTTAATCATATTTTAGATATCCCATACAAGAAAATAATAAAAATTCAACATAAAATACCAAACTTCGAGAAGTCGTCTTTTCTGTTCTGTATTATCAAAAAAAAAAAAATATTGCCCTTTTAGCTACGTTTGATTTAAAACCAAACAGGGAGTGCGAAAGAGCTTCAAAAACGTAGCAGTTGTAGTTTACTTTCCAATTTTGTTCTAAACTGTGTATATTGTCAAACCTAAAATACCTAAACCGTAATTAGTCTGCATGAAAATACCAACCTTTACGACGTATTTTTCATTCTCTTCTGTATCATCAAAACAAAAAGAAAAACAATTTTATGTTTACTTTAACACAAGATAGATCTGATTTAGAACTAAACAGGAGTGCAAAAGAGCTTCAAAAACGTATTCTAGTTGCGTGAATGTAAAAAAATTAATTTGTCTTCAACTTAGTGATTATATTACATGTAGGTACAGTGTCGAACGATGTAATAACTTGTAGTTGTTCTTTCCCTTGTTTAAACGTATTTAACTGTGGGGCACTACTAGTGTATAGAAAACACCTAGGTTGATTTTTAAACACATGCATGCAGGCCTGGGCATGCACTATGTATATTTTATTGTTTACAGGAAAAGAGGCAAAGTTACAATAAATAAGATGTAACAGTGAAAAACATTAAAAGTGGAGTTATTTAAGAAGCAACGTTTCCATTCAACATTGCTTACATAGTGAATAATAATACCAAATATGATACCTAACAAAACAACAAATAACTCTACTTTGTAAACGTAATTGATTAAAAAAGTTAACTGATACATCTTAAAATTGTAAAATTTTAATACTTAGAGACGAATAAACTCAAAAACAGAGTGTTTCCTGTGCAAACGAGAGGAGAGAGAAAGTACAAAATAAAACGTCAAGTAACAATCATACTTCAGTTGCATCAACGTAAATTTAAAATATATCCTTTACTCATAAAAAGTGCTGCGCTGATTTATGGGCAAATATCGTAAAAAACTTGAAAGATTATAAAAAGATTGTTTAACACATGCAAGACAGCAATGAAAATGTGAGTAAATTTTACTTTCACATTACAAAACTGTTTTTCATTTATGCATAATCAATAAGCATTCGTCAATAGTTAATTACACGCCTATACTAACCTCTAAGTCCACTATTCAAATCTGCAACATAAAAAAAGACATTATTTTTGCACTTACACATTATAGGTCAAAATGACTATCTTATTGTTCATAAACTCATAACATATAACAGACGAATAACTTCTTAAAATGAATTAACTTTGCATATAGTGAACATAAACAGGCATAAACAACCATAAACAAATTTAACATAAGGATATTTCATGATTATACATAAAAACATAACAATGAAAACAATACAATTTTTAAGTTTTATAAAACAAAGCCTTGGTTGTGGTAAGAAAACTAAATACTGCTTTGAAGAGCATATTTACCATGGTAAATTACAACTATAACCTTGGTATATGTTTTTTAAAAGAACTGTTGAAAACCAACATTAAGATAAATTAAATGATCGATGCATTTCGGTACACATCGTAAGGTATCGCGTCTGCTTTAAAGAAAACAAAAATCTGCTGATATTTAGCAAAGACGAAATATATCAAAATACTGGCAAAAACTCTTTAAAGCAATATTTTCCGTTTACAAATGAAAATTAACTGACACATTTAAAAATTGTAAAATTTTAATTTTTAGAGACGAATAAGTTCAAATAACAGAATGTTTCCTGGGTAAACGAGGAGAGAGAAATACAAAATAGAACGTCATGTAGCAATGATGTTTCAGTGGCATCAACATAAACTGATAAATAATTCTTTTCCTCAAAAACTGCTGCACTGATTTATGGGCAAAAATCGTCAAAAACGTGAGAGGTTATACGAAAATTGTTTAACAAATGTAAGGCAGCAATGTAAACTTCGTAAATGTGAGTAAATTTTAAATTGGACTTCTGCGTTCTGTGTCGAAAATTCATCAAAATGTGATAGTTGTGTCGTGCAAGTAAATTATTTTAAGTGAACATTGATGATAATGGAAGACAGAAAGATGGAAGTCGAGCTATCGTTCTATACTAACCTTCACTTTGCTAAAAACAAAAATTATCTTTCACATTACCAAACATATTTTCATTTATGCATTATCAATAAGCATTCGTCAATAGTTAATTGCACGCCCATACTAACCTCTAAGTTCACGATTCATGTCTGCAACAGAAAAAAGACAATATTTTTCAACTTACACATTATAGGTCAAAATGACTATCTTATTGTTCATAAACTCATAACATATAACAGACGAATAACTTCTTAAAATGAATTAACTTTGGATATAGTGAACATAAACAGGCATAAACAACCATAAACAAAATTAACATAAGGATATTTTATGATTATACATAAAAAGATAACAATGAAAACACTACAATTTTTAAGTTTTATAAAACAAAGCCTTGCTTGTGGTAAGAAAACTAAATACTGCTTTGAAGAGCATATTTATCATGGTAAATTACAACTATAACCTTGGTATATGTTTTTAAAAAGAACTGTTAAAAACCAACATTAAGATAAATTAAATGATTGATGCATTTCGGTAGACCTCGTAAGGTATCGCGTCTGCTTTAATGAAAACAAAAAATCTGCTGATATTTAGCGCAAAGACAAAATATATCAAAAATAATGGCAAAAAAGTTCTTTAAAGCACTATTTTCCCGTTTACAAATGAAGAATTAACTGACACATTTAAAATTGTAAAATTTTAATTTTAGAGACAAATAAGTTCAAATAACAGAATGTTTCCTGGGTAAACGAGAGGAGAGAGAAGTACAAAATAGAACGTCATGTAACAATGATATTTCAGTTGCATTAACGTAAATGGCCATGCTTTGTTTGATATAGGCTTTACATGGCTTGTTAAAGCTGTAGATGGAAAGAACCTAGTAATTTCACAGCCGCGTCGTTATCATCTGAAGTGACTTTAATCATATTTTAGTTTTTATATATCCCATACAAGATCAAGAATATGATAAACCTGAATTCAACAGAAATAATAAAATCGCAAAATACCAAACTTCGAGAAGTCGTCTTTTCTGTTCTGTATTATCGCAAAAAAAAACAAAAATATTGCCCTTTTAGCTACGTTTGATTTAAAACCAAACAGGGAGTGCGAAAGAGCTTCAAAAACGTAGCAGTTGTAGTTTACTTTCCAATTTTGTTCTAAACTGTGTATATTGTCAAACCTAAAATACCCTAAACCGTAATTAGTCTGCATGAAAATACCAACCTTTACGACGTATTTTTTCATTCTCTTCTGTATCATCAAAACAAAAAAAGAAAAACAATTTTATGTTTACTTTAACACAAGATAGATCTGATTTAGAACTAAACAGGGAGTGCAAAAGAGCTTCAAAAACGTATTCTAGTTGCGTGAATGTAAAAAAATTAATTTGTCTTCAACTTAGTGATTATATTACATGTAGGTACAGTGTCGAACGATGTAATAACTTGTAGTTGTTCTTTCCCTTGTTTAAACGTATTTAACTGTGGGGCACTACTAGTGTATAGAAAACACCTAGGTTGATTTTTAAACACATGCATGCAGGCCTGGGCATGCACTATGTGTATTTTATTGTTTACAGGAAAAGAGGCAAAGTTGCAATAAATAACATGTAACAGTGAAAAACATTAAAAGTGGAGTTATTTAAGAAGCAACGTTTCCATTCAACATTGCTTACATAGTGAATAATAATACCAAATATGATACCTAACAAAACAACAAATAACTCTACTTTGTAAACGTAATTGATTAAAAAAGTTAACTGATACATCTTAAAATTGTAAAAGTTTAATACTTAGAGACGAATAAACTCAAAAACAGAATGTTTCCTGGGCAAACGAGATGAGAGAGAAAGTACAAAATAGAACGTCAACTAACAATCATACTTCAGTTACATCAACGTAAATTTAAAATATATCCTTTACTCCTAAAAACTGCTGCGCTGATTTATGGGCAAATATCGTAAAAAACGTAAGAGATTATCTAAAGATTGTTTGACACATGCAAGACAGCAATGAAAATGTGAGTAAATTTTACTTTCAGATTACAAAACTGTTTTTTATTTATGCATTATTAATAAGCATTCCTCAATAGTTAATTACACGCCCATACTAACCTCTAAGTCCACTATTCAAATCTGCAACATAAAAAAAGACATTATTTTCGCACTTACACATTATAGGTCAAAATGACTATCTTATTGTTCATAAACTCATAACATATAACAGACGAATAACTTCTTAAAATGAATTAACTTTGGATATAGTGAACATAAACAGGCATAAACAACCATAAACAAATTTAACATAAGGATATTTCATGATTATACATAAAAACATAACAATGAAAACAATACAATTTTTAAGTTTTATAAAACAAAGCCTTGGTTGTGGTAAGAAAACTAAATACTGCTTTGAAGAGCATATTTACCATGGTAAATTACAACTATAACCTTGGTATATGTTTTTTAAAAGAACTGTTGAAAACCAACATTATGATAAATTAAATGATCGATGCATTTCGGTACACATCGTAAGGTATCGCGTCTGCTTTAAAGAAAGCAAACAATCTGCTTATATTTAGCGCAAAGACGAAATATATCCAAAATACTGGCAAAAAACTCTTTAAAGCAATATTTTCCGTTTACAAATGAAAATTAACTGACACATTTAAAATTGTAAAATTTTAATTTTTAGAGACGAATAAGTTCAAATAACAGAATGTTTCCTGGGTAAACGAGGAGAGAGAAATACAAAATAGAACGTCATGTAGCAATGATGTTTCAGTGGCATCAACATAAACTGATAAATAATTCTTTTCCTCAAAAACTGCTGCACTGATTTATGGGCAAAAATCGTCAAAAACGTGAGAGGTTATACGAAAATTGTTTAACAAATGTAAGGCAGCAATGTAAACTTCGTAAATGTGAGTAAATTTTAAATTGGACTTCTGCGTTCTGTGTCGAAAATTCATCAAAATGTGATAGTTGTGTCGTGCAAGTAAATTATTTTAAGTGAACATTGATGATAATGGAAGACAGAAAGATGGAAGTCGAGCTATCGTTCTATACTAACCTTCACTTTGCTAAAAACAAAAATTATCTTTCACATTACCAAACATATTTTCATTTATGCATTATCAATAAGCATTCGTCAATAGTTAATTGCACGCCCATACTAACCTCTAAGTTCACGATTCATGTCTGCAACAGAAAAAGACAATATTTTCAACTTACACATTATAGGTCAAAATGACTATCTTATTGTTCATAAACTCATAACATATAACAGACGAATAACTTCTTAAAATGAATTAACTTTGGATATAGTGAACATAAACAGGCATAAACAACCATAAACAAAATTAACATAAGGATATTTTATGATTATACATAAAAAGATAACAATGAAAACACTACAATTTTTAAGTTTTATAAAACAAAGCCTTGCTTGTGGTAAGAAAACTAAATACTGCTTTGAAGAGCATATTTATCATGGTAAATTACAACTATAACCTTGGTATATGTTTTTAAAAAGAACTGTTAAAAACCAACATTAAGATAAATTAAATGATTGATGCATTTCGGTAGACCTCGTAAGGTATCGCGTCTGCTTTAATGAAAACAAAAAATCTGCTGATATTTAGCGCAAAGACAAAATATATCAAAAATAATGGCAAAAAAGTTCTTTAAAGCACTATTTTCCCGTTTACAAATGAAGAATTAACTGACACATTTAAAAATTGTAAAATTTTAATTTTTAGAGACAAATAAGTTCAAATAACAGAATGTTTCCTGGGTAAACGAGAGGAGAGAGAAGTACAAAATAGAACGTCATGTAACAATGATATTTCAGTTGCATTAACGTAAATGGCCATGCTTTGTTTGATATAGGCTTTACATGGCTTGTTAAAGCTGTAGATGGAAAGAACCTAGTAATTTCACAGCCGCGTCGTTATCATCTGAAGTGACTTTAATCATATTTTAGTTTTTATATATCCCATACAAGATCAAGAATATGATAAACCTGAATTCAACAGAAATAATAAAATCGCAAAATACCAAACTTCGAGAAGTCGTCTTTTCTGTTCTGTATTATCGCAAAAAACAAAAATATTTGATTTTGATTTCAAAAGAGCAGTTGTAGTTTACTTTCCAATTTTGTTCTAAACTGTGTATATTGTCAAACCTAAAATACCCTAAACCGTAATTAGTCTGCATGAAAATACCAACCTTTACGACGTATTTTTTCATTCTCTTCTGTATTATCAAAACAAAAAAAGAAAAACAATTTTATGTTTACTTTAACACAAGATAGATCTGATTTAGAACTAAACAGGGAGTGCAAAAGAGCTTCAAAAACGTATTCCAGTTGCGTGAATGTAAAAAAATTAATTTGTCTTCAACTTAGTGATTATATTACATGTAGGTACAGTGTCGAACGATGTAATAACTTGTAGTTGTTCTTTCCCTTGTTTAAACGTATTTAACTGTGGGGCACTACTAGTGTATAGAAAACACCTAGGTTGATTTTTAAACACATGCATGCAGGCCTGGGCATGCACTATGTATATTTTATTGTTTACAGGAAAAGAGGCAAAGTTACAATAAATAAGATGTAACAGTGAAAAACATTAAAAGTGGAGTTATTTAAGAAGCAACGTTTCCATTCAACATTGCTTACATAGTGAATAATAATACCAAATATGATACCTGACAAAACAACATATAACTCTACTTTGTAAACGTAATTGATTAAAAAAGTTAACTGATACATCTTAAAATTGTAAAATTTTAATACTTAGAGACGAATAAACTCAAAAACAGAGTGTTTCCTGTGCAAACGAGAGGAGAGAGAAGTACAAAATAGAACGTCATGTAACAATCATACTTCAGTTGCATCAACGTAAATTTAAAATATATCCTTTACTCCTAAATAGTTCTGCGCTGATTTATGGGCATATATCGTAAAAAACTTGAGAGATTATAAAAAGATTGTTTAACACATGCAAGACAGCAATGAAAATGTGAGTAAATTTTACTTTCACATTACAAAACTGTTTTTCATTTATGCATTATCAATAAGCATTCGTCAATAGTTAATTACACGCCCACACTAACCATCAAATCGAAGAAACGCATCTGCAACAGAAAAAAAGACATTATTTTTGCACTTACACATTATAGGTCAAAATGACTATCTTATTGTTCATAAACTCATATAACAGACGAATAAACTCTTAAAATGAATTAACTTTGGATATAGTGAACATAAACAGGCATAAACAACAAAATTAACATAAGGATATTTCATGATTTTTCATAAGAACATAACAATGAAGACAATACAATTTTTAAGTTTTATAAAACAAAGCCTTGGTTGTGGTAATAAAACTAAATACTGCTTTGAAGAGCATATTTACCATGGTAAATTACAACCATAACCTTTGTATATGTTTTTAAAAGAACCGTTGAATACTAACTTACACACGACATGTTCAACAAGTAATTTATGATTATCTCATTTTCAGAAAAATTTATGACAAATTAACAGAAGAGATAATAAATACAAACATAAATTAGTCATATCGTATTCTGAGTTCTTTGACTACAATTATAAAAAATGGAGCGTAAAAATATTCATGACTACTGTGACTTTATTTAGAACTGTAGAGACAGATGAACTGGGATAACAGAAAACTGCATGTAGTAAAATCAATTGAAAGGAAAAGCAAGGTACAAAACAAAATTACAATGTAGCACATGAATGTACATTGTAAAAATAATTTGTCTTCTGTTAAGTACAGTTTACTGACTATTGTTTACTGACTATTGACCAAAGAATGTTCATATTACGTCACTATTTATGACACACGAATAAATAGTGTCTTGAAGTGTCGGCAATATAATTTACCAATATAATTATACGTGAGCATTGGGGTATTTTACGTTACCTTTTGTATGCTCAACGTCGTTTTCCATTTCTGAAAATGTCGAGTTTTTAATTCTGCAAATGAACAAGCATACATTTATTTGCGTTCACAGGAGAGAATGTGAACTAGATATTACAAAGAAAATAAGCTAGTTTTTAAAACATCATTAAACTTGTAACGCGTCTTTCTTCAAGATAGAATAGAAATAATGCCCTTAAAAGGTGTCAAAATGATGAGTAGCATTTTAATGTTACAAAATTTAGTATACGATACATGAAAAGATGTAAATTAGAAAATGTTAATCTTCGTTTGTTTTCAATAAGCCAGGCTTGTTCAAAAAACTTGCCAACTTATATGGCAAAATTTTCCTACAATTGTATAACACCAACACAAACTTTGCCGACATTTTTAGTAAACACTTCAAGGTCAATTAACGATAAATATGATTTTAAATGTCGTCACTATCACAGAAGTAGAATCAAAAGCGATTTTTGTTTTCACTTGGATAGGAAAATGATACTTTTTGAAGAACGTAGATAGATGTTAGAGGTAAAGATTAAATCAATTTAGCTCAAACAAAAGCTTTAAGACAGTGTAAAATCAGTTGAAAGCTGTGTTGCAATACAATTCTTTGCCACAACAGAAAAGATAATAGAAACATAAAATATTCATATCGTATTCATATTGCATATAAATCCGACTGTGAGAGAACAAGTCATTTTAATATTCTCATCATTTTTTAATTTTCCCTTTTGTGTTTGTTCAGTATGGTGCATCGTAAATAAACCGGTAACTTTGATTACTTTTACTTTTCAAGCATTAAAGTATATGACATCGTTCGTCGATATTCTTGAATATTTGCTAAAGTTGTGGTTCACTAAAAGTTCACCGAGACTATAGGAAGACTATTTAAAACATTTAGAAAAGACTGAGAATAATGCGCCCCCCCCCCCTCTTAATATAGTTAATGCATGCAAACATGAAGCAATGTATTAATTCTAATGCTAAAAAATCCAGGTAATTCACGATTTCCAGAAGTATCTGACATAAGATATTCTGACATTTTCAGTTGTACGATCACTGATCTCAAAATAAGATCTTATTTCGAGATCTCTCCGTATACGATCTAATAATCGAAGACAAGCAAGTAATCGTTTCTTCAATAATCTGTTCATAAAAGTGTTCATAAACGACGATATTTAAAGTATCAATGCAAAATGGTTTATATATAAATGGTAAACCACAAGTTTGAACGAGATAAATCCAAGACCAGTTTTCTCGACAATTATACTTTTCATAATACAATTTGCCTGCGTATCTATTTCCGCCAACGTAGTTCATAAAATTGTAATGAAGAAGAGAAAGTATACACGCTAACAAAGCTAAAGCATCGTGAAAACGTTAAATATAACACTGTCGAGATTCTGTATGTATGAAAGTTTAGTTGTGATTAAAAACGCAGCAAAAAAAAACACTAATGCTATAGAATTGTTTAAGTCTGTATAGTTACTGCCTACAAACTTTATGTTTTTGCGTGTTGGGTAGAAAATCTTTACTTCTAAACTAAATCGGAGTATTTGTAAAGGGAGATATAAATAAGTTACATACACAAACTTTCGGCAATGAAAATTAACGTCTGACGCAATATAATTTTCTTAACGTTTTAAATATATACACCCTAAAAGAAATCACAAACTCAAGTATTTTTAAAAAATATCAGTCTTTAATCATGTAAAGAATACAATATAACAAAGTCTGGTAAACTTACAGATAAACCACTGATCTTCGATCAGAGTTTCCAATAGGTATTTCAACAAGTGTATTCTTATAACGTTTCCGTCAGGTTAGAAACATCAATAATAACGCCTTGTTTGCAATGTCGTCATAAAAAAGATTATTTTAACAATGTAGAAATTTCAAAATAACAGTAGGAGTACATTTTTTTGAAAAAATGCTTGATGTTCTCCATGGGGGGAGGGGGGAGAATGAATAATTTGTGGATTTAAATGTCCTTCAAATGTATGAAAAATAAATAGAAAGTTATTACATAGATAGTAAATTCACCATATAAAGTGAACCATTTATAAGTCTAAACTAGCTTGTTAATAAAACATTCAACTTCCATTTTCTTTCTCCTCATCGCTACTTTCAAACTAAATAAAAACTGGTTCTGGTGGTAAGACTTGAACACCATTTATTGGCACATGATGTTTCTTTCTAAAACCGCTGTCATTATGAGTCCACGATGAACTGCTCGTCTCTTTATTAAATGAACCGACGTTTTTTAAAATTTTGTTAACATTCCTCTCACGCGTCTCACCATTTCGTAAACGCTGTTTATAGAAAATAGAAAATGTTGCATTATAGAAGACAATCTAAAGCAATGATGTGAAAGATTTTTGTAACTTAAGTTAAGTAAATAGAATAGACCCATAGCAGTGCAAGGACAAATAAATAAAACATCAAATACGTTTACTTTATTTTACATATAAATACCTCTAAAGTTTCTTCAAATGATTCATTATGTTTTTCTTGATCTGATTGACTTCTCTCTTCAACAACAACCTCTCTGTTTCTTTAGCGTTTCTTTCAAGTTTGTTTTTAAATGATTTATAACTACCACGGGAATATTTGAAGTAGAAGTTTGAATTCAAGTAAACACCAAAGAACAACCTTTCAAAATAAGGCTTTACTCAACACTAAATTAAAGTCTACAAAATGTCTCTTTATAAGTAATTATCTTAAACTAGGCGCGGTTACTAAGGTGGGTGTACTTCATGTAATAATCACTACAATCACCCTCTCCTATTTGAAATAACTATATAATCTAAATTAAATAATCTGAATAAGACTGGTCCTGCCCGATTGTCTTTTTTTTACTTTTAGTTCAATGTCATGTATATGTCAGGCGGTCGGGTTGTTTCTTTTCTCTCAGCGAGCGGCGTAACGGTAGTGCCTGTTGTGAAGACGACTGATCAGGTAGAGCGGGATCCTCTAGTAGTGAGTTCCCTTCTCTTTCCTTTGGCGAACTATTATTTAGTTTCCTAGCGTCTTTTGTGGCCAAAGGAGATTGACGTGGGTCGTCTACAGTATTATCTTTATAAGGCGATAGTGGTAGCGGTTTCTCGCATAACTTCTCTTTTTCCTCAGCTTGTGGAGCGAGGAACTTAGTGGCTACGGTATCTTCTCTTCCATCAGGAAATTTTACATGCGCATACTGAGGATTTGCTTCGATTAGCTCTACTTCATCGACAGATGGGTCATACTTAGATTGTTTTACTTGACGCTTCAACAGTACCAGTCCAGGTTTGGATAGCCACGTTGGTATGGAAGTTCCACTCGTCGATCTTCGTTGGTGGATAAAGAGGCGTTCATGCGGTGTTACATTAGTAGCGGTGCACAACAGAGATCTGATGGAATGAAGAGCATCATGCAAAACTTCTTGCCAGCAGCTGGCCGGTAGTCCTCGCGTCTTCATCGCGAGGGAAATAGTCTTCCATAGAGTGCCGTTCAAACGTTCTACTTGGCCGTTCCCTTCTGGGTTATATGGTGTGGTTCGGCTTGACGAGATTCCTTTCTGGAGGAGAAAGTCTTTAACTTTTGCACTCATAAAGCCAGAACCTCTATCCGAATGTATGTAAGCAGGCATACCGAAAATCGAAAACAATTCGCAGAGACAATTTATAATTGACTCCGCGCTAACGTCTTTACAAGCGAAAGCAAAAGGAAATCTTGAATATTCATTTATTATAGTAAGAAGAAACTTATTATGATTAGTCGTCGGCAATGGTCCTTTGAAGTCCAAACTAAGTCTCTCGAAGGGTTGAGTCGCTTTTACTAAATGGAAATTTTCTGTTTTGTAATATTGAGGCTTACTTTCCCTGCATATCTTGCAGGACTGTGTCATGAGCTTAATTTCATCCATAGAGAAAGGGAGATTACGGTTTTTTACAAAATGTGCCATCCGCGTTATTCCTGGGTGACACAAGGATTCATGAAGCTCTATCAACTTATCGGAGGTCATGCTCATTGCTCTTATCCTAGAAAATGTATCCGCTGGTACATTCTCTTCTCCTGCTCTGTATATTATATCAAAATCATAAGTGGATAGTTCCATCCTCCATCTCATTATCTTATCGTTCTTAATTTTGCTCTTTTGCTTGGTATCAAACATGTAAGCTACTGACTTCTGATCAGTAATTAACATAAAATGCTTACCCCTAAGGTAGTGTCTCCACTTCCTCACGGCTTCAACGATAGCCACTGCTTCTTTCTCCACTGAAGCGTGCTTAAGTTCTGATCCGCTTAACGTCCTCGAAAATAACGCAACTGGGCGACCGTTTTGGTTGAGAGTGGCTGAAAGAGCAAACTCGGAAGCGTCTGTTTCCACCTGAAAGGGCTGTGCTTCGTCAACAGCTTGGACCACAGATTTTTCGACATCGGACTGAAGTAGATTAAACGAAGTAAGAGCATCGCCTACCATTGGAAATACAGTATTCTGTGTCAGTGGTCTTACTTTTGCTGCAAAGTCTTTGATCCATTGAGAATAGTAGGAGAAGAGACCCACAATCCGTTTCTGTTCTTTTAAATCACGGGGGACAGGTAACTCTCGCAGAGGTCTCAATCGTGCCGGGTCCGGCTTTATTTCTCCATTAGCGATTATACTACCGAGGATGCAAATACTGGTTGTTGAGAAAGAGCATTTGTCTTGATTAAACGTCAAATTTCGCTTTCTAGCTGCTTGAAGGAACTTTTCGAGATTTATGTCATGCTGGGCTTGGTCCCGGCCACAAATCGTGACGTTGTCAAGATACACAAACGTGCCTTCTAGACATTCTTTAGCGATAAAGTTGTCCATCATTCTTTGGAAAGCTGCTGCTCCATTCGTTACTCCAAATGGTACTCGACGGAATTGGTACAAACGCTGGTTAGCTTCGAAAGCAGTATATTTCTTTTCTTCTTTTTGAATTGGGACTTGATGATACGCACTTTTCAAATCAACGGTGCTGAAAACTTTGTACTGAGCGATTTTAGAGACGATATCATCTATTCTAGGCAAAGGATAAGCATTCAGGTGTGTGAATCTATTTATAGTTTGCGAGTAGTCAATCACTAATCTTTTTTTTTGTCGATCGTTTCTAGTTACGACCACTTGTGCTCTCCACGGTGATTCACTCGGTTCAATTATACCTTCATCTAGAAGCCTTTGTACTTCAGTTGTAATAAATTCTTTGTCTTCTCGGCTATATTTCCTTGATTTAATAGCTATCGGTTTACAACCCTCTGTTAAATGTTGGAACAAAAGTGGGGGGTCTAGGTTCAAAGCTGTTAAACTGCAAAGTTTCAAAGGAGGGGCAGAACCACCGTACTGGATAGTGACACTTTCGTGCAGGGCTTGCCAAGTTTGCCCTAGAATAACATGAGTACACAGATTGGGCAGAATATATAGCTTAACCTGATAATACAACCGGCCTTTTAACGTTATATCACTAAGACAATATCCTTGCATTTTGTGGAATAATTACATGTAGCCATCGTAACTTTTTCTTTGGTCTGATGAACTGTCAATGAAAGTTGCTCAACCAAATCAGGATGTATGAAGCAATGAGTACTTCCTGAATCTACCAGAGCTGTAACAGTTCTTTCTTTTAAACGAATGTCAATACATGAACTTAGCAATGACTCCCCCATTGCAGCTAGAGTTATGTAAGCTGATTGCGTTAAATTAGAGACTACTGCTGAAGAACGGCAAACTCTTTGGTAGTGCCCTCTTTTTTTACATTTATTACAAATAGCTTCTTTCGCAGGGCATAATGACCGTGGGTGTTGCTTATTACCACAAAAGAAGCACTTAGCGGAACGTGAAGTGGAGGCTAAATACCTCTCGCTTAGTCCTTCTTCATTATTTTCGTCATGTCCGTTAGATGCCGTAACAGCAGCGCTTGTGAAGGGATTCGAATTGTATGTCTCCGATGATTTTTGTGCCAAATCCCAAGCTCGAGCTTGATCAAATGCCGTTTGTAAATCCAACTGTTTATTCTCCAGTAAACGTTGTCGAATGCTTCCCGACAATAGACCACTAATGAAAGCATCCCGAATTGCTTCATCCCGATATTGAGCAGCAGAGACTTGACGAAAGTTGCAGTCTTTACTTAGGTGTTTCAGTTCTTGTAGGTATTCGTCAAGGGTTTCGCCTGCTTGTTGTTTCCGTGTTGCTAATTTATGCCGAGCAAAAATCTCGTTCGGAGGCTTGACATATAAGGTTTTCAGCGTGGTGATGGCTTCATCGTAGGTTTCAGTATCACAGAACAGTTGATAAACATCAGAGGTGACATAATTCACCAGAATGTGTAGTTTATTTATTCGTGTATCAGGAATGGACGGTATTGCATCGATGAAGTTCTCAAATGTCGCGAGCCAGTGCGTCCAACGTTTTGCAGCGCCTTGCGCGTTCGGAATAACATCAAACCGTTCAGGTCTCAAAACTTTATCCATAGGTATAAGGAGAGTGTTGAGTAAATTGAAGTAGAAGTTTGAATTCAAGTAAACACCAAAGAACAACCTTTCAAAATAAGGCTTTACTCAACACTAAATTAAAATCTACAAAATGTCTCTTTACAAGTAATCATCTTAAACTAGGCGCGGTTACTAAGGTGGGTGTACTTCATGTAATAATCACTACAATATCCATCCGTTGAGATATCTGATTGGCTGTCGCTTGGCCGTGGAGGAGTGGGTAAGAATTCAGAAAATTCACTACCACTGACATTGGACATGATTTCCAGGTCATGAGATTTCTCTTCCCACTTTTTGTCGGAATAAATTGCTTGAAAATTTTCAATTTTAATTTGGTCTTTAAAAACAGGAGACGATTCATAATTTACTTCTGACGCATCCGAATGTGAGCTAAGATGCGATCGAACAGAGGTCTTGTAATAAGCCGAGGTTTTAGCATTTTCAGCATGGGATAGTTTTGGACGGTTTTCAACAACGTATCTTTTACTATTACCAGAACCATGACTTTTAGCTTCACAACTTTCATTTCGTGATTCATGTAATCTCGTGTGCGAGTTGAACCTTGATATTTGGCTTTTCTTTTAGTTGGTAAGTAATAAGAGTGAACATCTTCATGATTTTCATGCTTTGACGGCGAATTTCGAAGGTTTACTGTTCAGGCAGATGGCAAAGGTTTTCGTCTGCGAGTCGTCAAAGATTTTAAAGATTTTTTGTAGTTCAGCCTTGAGTGGTTTCTAGGCAATGATCTCCTTTGTCTACAAAGATGAATGGTAATTTTAGAAACTTTAAAAACCAAAGGATGAGCTCTTATCCATATATTCATGATATGCTGAATTAATATCTTTTGAAATGTATTGTTATCTACGGATTTATAACATGCATATATAAATAAGAGCCCCCAATTAGCGATAGCAATACATCCCTGAAAGACAACGCGTGTGTTTGATAAAATTAAGCATAGTAAGCCATTGGAGGTGAATAAATAACAGAGTAGGATTACGTGTGCAGTTGAACTCAAGTCAGTGACTTGTACTGCAACCGAGCTGTAATAGTATAACTGCCCTGTGGTAGTACAACTGATCTGTAATAGTATAACTGCTCTGTGGTAGTACAACCGACCTGTAATAGTATAACTGCCCTGTGGTAGTACAACTGACCTGTAATAGTATAACTGACCTGTGGTAGTACAACTGACCTGTAATTAGTACAACTGCACTGTAGTAGTACAACTGACCTGTAATAGTATAACTGCCCTGTGGTAGTAAAACTGACCTGTAATAGTATAACTGCCCTGCGGTAGTACAACTGACCTGTAATTAGTAAAACTGCCCTGTGGCAGTACAACTGACCTGTAATAGTATAACTGCCCTGTGGTAGTACAACTGACCTGTAATAGTATAACTGCTCTGTGGTAGTAAAACTGACCTGTAATAGTATAACTGCTCTGTGGTAGTACAACTGACCTGTAATTAGTAAAACTGCCCTGTGGTAGTAAAACTGACCTGTAGTAGTATAACTGCCCTGTGGTAGTACAACTGACCTGTAATTAGTAAAACTGCCCTGTGGTAGTACAACTGACCTGTAATTAGTAAAACTGCCCTGTGGTAGTACAACTGACCTGTAATTAGTATAACTGCCCTGTGGTAGTACAACTGACCTGTAATAGTAAAACTGCCCTGTGGTAGTACAACTGACCTGTAATTAGTAAAACTGCCCTGTGGTAGTACAACTGACCTGTAATAGTATAACTGCCCTGTGGTAGTACAACTGACCTGTAATAGTATAACTGCCCTGTGGCAGTACAACTGACCTGTAATAGTATAACTGCTCTGTGGTAGTACAACTGACCTGTAATTAGTAAAACTGCCCTGTGGTAGTACAACTGACCTGTAATAGTATAACTGCCCTGTGGTAGTACAACTGACCTGTAATTAGTAAAACTGCCCTGTGGTAGTACAACTGACCTGTAATAGTATAACTGCCCTGTGGTAGTACAACTGACCTGTAATAGTATAACTGCTCTGTGGTAGTACAACTGACCTGTAATAGTATAACTGCTCTGTGGTAGTACAACTGACCTGTAATAGTATAACTGCCCTGTGGTAGTACAACTGACCTGTAATTAGTAAAACTGCCCTGTGGTAGTACAACTGACCTGTAATAGTATAACTGCCCTGTGGTAGTACAACTGACCTGTAATAGTATAACTGCCCTGTGGTAGTAAAACTGACCTGTAATAGTATAACTGACCTGTGGTAGTAAAACTGACCTGTAATAGTATAACTGCCCTGTGGTAGTACAACTGACCTGTAATAGTATAACTGCCCTGTGGTAGTAAAACTGACCTGTAATAGTATAACTGACCTGTGGTAGTAAAACTGACCTGTAATTAGTATAACTGCCCAGTGGTAGTACAACTGACCTGTAATAGTATAACTGCCCTGTGGTAATACAACTGACCTGTAATAGTATAACTGACCTGTGGTAGTACAACTGACCTGTAATTACTAAAACTGCACTGTAGTAGTACAACTGACCTGTAATAGTATAACTGCTCTGTGGTAGTACAACTGACCTGTAATAGTATAACTGCCCTGTGGTAGTACAACTGACCTGTAATAGTATAACTGACCTGTGGTAGTACAACTGACCTGTAATAGTATAACTGACCTGTGGTAGTAAAACTGACCTGTAATAGTATAACTGACCTGTGGTAGTACAACTGACCTGTAATAGTATAACTGCCCTGTGGTAGTACAACTGACCTGTAATAGTATAACTGACCTGTGGTAGTAAAACTGACCTGTAATTAGTAAAACTGCCCAGTGGTAGTACAACTGACCTGTAATAGTATAACTTCCCTGTGGTAGTACAACTGACCTGTAATAGTATAACTGCCCTGTGGTAGTAAAACTGACCTGTAATTAGTATAACTGCCCTGTGGTAGTACAACTGATCTGTAATAGTATAACTGCCCTGTGGTAGTACAACTGGCCTGTAATAGTATAACTGCCCTGTGGTAGTACAACTGATCTGTAATAGTATAACTGCCCTGTGGTAGTACGACTGACCTATAATAGTATTGCTGACCTACGGTAGTACAACTGACCTGTAATAACTCGACTTTCCTGGATGATCAAATGTTCTCACAACAACAACAGGTTGTTGTTGATCAACACTAGACACATCATCGCCATATTGACTTCAACCCATGTTGGTATAGTTTTTTACGGAATCACTGGACATCATGTCTCTTGAGCGGTTGTCATGTGACGCCATACTATGTGACGTCATTGTGGCTGTCTTGTTGGAAGAGAAGTTGATTGGCTGTAACCTTTCTGTACGTAGTAGGGCATTGGACTTTAGCTTCACATATTCTCCATATCTATCATCCACAATGAAATTACCACTTTCATTCTTTCTGTTTTCAAGAGACTCTGAAGACTTCCACTCTTCGATAACACGATACTCATTAGACACTCGTCCCACATTAGATCCACGATTCTCGTGGGAAACACGAATCACGTCTACCACACGACTACCTTTTGCTTCACGAGTTTGATTCGCTGATACACCAGTATTTTGAAGTGTTTCATGAGACATTTGTAACCTGTTTCTATTGTCAACATTACTCTCTTCAACAGACCCATGATCTTCTAAAATATGAACTTTGCCTGTTTTTACGTTATATTCAACTTCACCCTTGTTTGCACCATTATCAATTTCATCCAAAGTATTTTCTCTCATAATTTTAGTAAAAGTTTTACTGTACATGCCTCCTTAAGCAGCCTCTTTTCCATCCTTCGCATCTAATTTAAGAAGACGAAGCTTGGATTGAAACAGTGAAAATGTTTGTAGAAAAAGGAAATCAAGCGAAGTGATAACGGTAACTAATACGACAAGTTTTTTTTAAAAGAGTATATACTGAAGATGGCATCATGGGATGTTAAAACATGTTTATTTTAAAAAAACTTGTCGTTTTTATTAAATAGGCTTTATCAATAGTGCTTTTACGCAGTTGCGATAACAGTAATTATAGAGTTGGTATCAATTTCCAAACATCTGGGATGTGACCATCATTATCAGCCTTTGTAATATAGACTGCAGTTTTCATTATTTTCTACAGAATCTTTAACAAAATTATGTTAACAACTTACCTCTCGAAAAAATATCTTGAAATAATTCTCTCTAATAAACAACCATTAAAGTTTGAAAAACAGATAAACCAAAAGCAATGGCAAGCGGAAACAGATCTTAAATTCTCCTTTTATTATTCCGTGCAGTCATTCTCGAGACTCAGTTCAACAAATAAATATTGACATAGAAAAGATATCCTTTTCCCAGTCTTCAAAATGCGAAAGTAGCAATATTCTTTGCAATATTGTACATTCATCCATGTTCTAAAAAGTGGATAGAAACAGGAAATTTGCCGATTCGAAACGAAGCATTTTTTGATATATTTTTAGTAAAAGTTTTCGTTATATGAGTTAAAGGTTTAGATTTACAGACTCACAGATTAGGCTTCGGACACCGGCAAGAAAAATGTAAAGTCATTTCATACATACGCAGTACGAAACTACGAAACTAGATTATTTACGATAATAGTTATCGTAAATAGACGATGAAATCATTGCATATTTCATTCGTTAAGGAAAAAACATGTACGCCGAACGGTGGAAGATTTTCATATAAAAATAAGAATTCAACAAAGTCTTGTTTAATGTTTAAATTTTGATGTACAAGAACTGACCTGTAATAGTTTCACTTTCTTAGTAGATCAAAAGTTCTCACAGTAAGAACAGTTGTTAGTTTTGAACATTAAACACATCATAACCATGTTGACCAACATAGTACACCTTAAAGTAAATGGTTTGAACCCGGGAGTATCGTTATATGTTTGTAAATGATGATCGTCCAGGTTAATAAAGTCCTGAGAAGGACTGTTTTTGTTGTTGTTGACTGACGTTTCGACAACCTTAGCGGTAGTCATCTTCAGAGTCAAATGAGGAGTAAACGTCAGGTTAGCCGTATTTGTTATCTGGTTCTTACGTCATTGTATTGTGTGTACAGGAAATGTGTATTGTCATTGTGGATTAGTGTGAAGTAAAATATTTTATTTTTAGTTGTGATGTGTTATTTAGGTGTGATGTTTTTAGTTGTAATGTGTGGGTGTCAATTGTGTATTGCCATTGTGAATTACTTTGAAGTGTAATGTTTTTAGTTGATCGTTTGTTTGTATTGTTAATAAGTCGTTTGTAAGGTGCCGGTAATTGCTGTGATCTGTTCAGGGGGGGTTGTTCCAAGTTGGTATACCAACTTTCTAATGTAAGCCGTTGTCTATAGTCAGTACTGTAAGTAATGCATTTTGCCGAGTCCCAGTCAATGTTGTGCTTTGTGATTCGGTGATGTTCGGCAATGTGATTAGTTTTGTCTTGTTTCTTAGTAGCTCGTTTGTGTTCAGTAAGTCTTATGTTTAAGTTCCTGCCAGTTTTCCCGATATAGGAAGCGTGGCAGTCGGAGCAGTTTATTTTGTAAACTGCACCTTGTCGTTCGTTGGGTTGTTCTTTGTCCTTTATGTTCGTTAGTACTTGTCGTAATGTTGTGATTGGCTTATGTGCGACACGTATGTTGTATGGTCGTAAGATATGCGAGATAGTCTCAGACGTACCTTTGATGTAAGGTATCGTTGCTGTTGTCACTGAGTTGTTCGTTTCGTTGGGTTCGTTGGGTTTGTAAGTGTTGCGTTTGATAAAGTCAGAGTATAGTTTTTTTAGTCAAAAACACGTTTAAGATAGTTGTTTTCGTTTTGTAGAGCGTCCGGTGAATCACTTATGATTTGTGCACGTCTTGTTAATGTTCTGATTGTTGTGGCTTTGTTTGATGTAGGGTTGTAAGATGATTGGTCTAGTAGTCGGTCAGTATGTGTTAGCTTGCGATAAACTGTTGTTCGTAGTTTTTGATTGTCATGTTTTACCAAACAGTCGAGAAAAGGAAGAGTTCCGTTTTCTTCGACATCTTTGGTAAATTGTATGTGGCTGTTCAGTTTGTTGATGTGAGTATGAAAGTCATCAATGTCGTCTGCATGTAGTGCTGTGATTGTGTCATCTACGTAGCGAAACCAAAAAGGTAGTGCATGTTTGTAAGTCGTGAGCGCCCGTTCCTTTACACCGAATCACAAAGCACAACATTGACTGGGACTCGGCAAAATGCATTACTTACAGTACTGACTATAGACAACGGCTTACATTAGAAAGTTGGTATACCAACTTGCAACAACCCCCCCTGAACAGATCACAGCAATTACCGGCACCTTACAAACGACTTATTAACAATACAAACAAACGATCAACTAAAAACATTACACTTCAAAGTAATTCACAATGGCAATACACAATTGACACCCACACATTACAACTAAAAACATCACACCTAAATAACACATCACAACTAAAAATAAAATATTTTACTTCACACTAATCCACAATGACAATACACATTTCCTGTACACACAATACAATGACGTAAGAACCAGATAACAAATACGGCTAACCTGACGTTTACTCCTCATTTGACTCTGAAGATGACTACCGCTAAGGTTGTCGAAACGTCAATCAACAACAACAAAAAGAGTCCTTCTCAGGACTTTATTAACCTGGACGATCATCATTTACAAACATATAGTACACCTTCTCACCAGTGTGTTTATTGGCTGTAAACTCTTTCTTTAAGTCATGGAACATTGGTCCTTAAATTCATATATCCTCCATATTTATCATCAATGTTGTCATCACTGCTTTCCTGTTTTTTTTGTCTTCATGAAACTCTAGGTTAGACTTACATTTCACAACATGGTCCTCGTTAAATACACGTCATCGGGAAAATAGAATTAGCTACGTCACCTACACGAAACGATAAAGTTTAAGCTGAGAAATAATTTAAAACATTTACGTTATTAACAGAAATATAAACTAATTGACGGTAAGTACAGTTGTAAAGTAACTTCGAGCATCTTTAAGTTTGTGTTGTGGATTTGTTCTATCATAATCGCAAATATCCATCAAATTTTATTTAAAGAAAACACCCTACATTGCCTAAAATGAAATTTTTCCACCTTTACAAATCGCAATAGGGGTTTATTGAGTAAAGATTGCTGCATTGATGGAGCCAACGACAATAATAAAATCTTCTATAGTGACTGATATCTTCATTATTAGTGTCTGTCTCAATGCTCATCAAAATACCTTTAATTTCACAGAATTTAACAGCGAATACATCTTACCCGAGATATTTCATAAGTCAGTTTTTTGATATTTATGTTCACCATGTTGAGGCTTTTTCCTTGAAAATTCTCTGCAAAAGAAATTATTTCCATTTTGATGTTCTAAAATTTACATTCAGATATGATTTGGCTAATATCACCAATATATAAAATGTACATGAATATTAAAAGCGAAACATTTTACCACAATGTATTAATTTGTAATACATTCATTTTTGTCAAAGGTTTAAGTAGGTAATAACTATAGAATCACAGTGTAAATGTCGCACAAGTGACGGAAGAATCACCCAGTACTTAATTTTTATACTCTATTCATGAGGATATGAATTGACATGTTTCAATTCCTAAAATCACTTTCGACCATTTGCGATGCACTAAACGCGCTGTAAATACAAAATTCTAAATAACTTTACATTTTATATAAATTTTTAAATCTCATCAACACTCTATAATTTTAATTTTATTTTCATCTTAACTTCTTATTTAGATCTACTGGATGAAAATTGTAAGAAGTCGTGGCTTTTCATGATTTTTATAACTGGAAAAAATTTTCCTGTTCTTGTGTCTACCTGTCGTAGTAAAATGCTTTAAAGTTAAAGCAAACAGAGTCGACAAAGTTTCAAACATTCAGACAAAGATGGTGCATAGTGCAATTGACATAACCAAACTGAGTATGTTAGAATTACGTAGAACATAAAGATACTGATGACAAATGTGAACTATAATAACTAACCAAAAGTAACATGAAGTGTTTAAGAGTTTGAAAATGTTTTCATGCTTTCATGAACATTTAACAACTATGATAAACGTTCTACTTTGTCAATTTTTAAATGTTTGTTTTTAGTTACATCAATCCTATATTGACTATTGTCCAGCAAGATACGAAACGAAACAACATACCAGAAACAAGAAACAAGGTATGTTTCTCATTTCAGGGTGATAGTTCAACAAACTTGTAACGAAAATTGTGATTCACTTTTCCACCTTAATTCACAATTTCACACCCTGAGATTCATGACCAGTGTAAAATGGCCTTTCAGCCTAATTTATCACAAAAGAATATCATGCCTTTAGTAAAGTGAAAACAATACTTGAACAATACTTGAACAATACTTGGACTTTGTGTATTGTAATGAAGTACAACTAAATCATAAAGGTTTCATGACATTCTCCATTTTCAATGTTTGTAATAGACTCCCTAAAGCTTCAAAAAATAAAGGTGGAGTATATACTATACTCGTCGACTTTAACCCCACCCCCAAATTTAAATCTGTTCCTACGCCTATGTATCAATCCTATGTATATCTATGAAACACCGAACCATTGGCGTTGTGGCTGGGGTACAGCCGGGGGGGAATGCCCCACGAATGATTTGAGGGGAGACACCACTACCAGAAGGCATATGGGGGCCACCAGAACGCATCTTTACAAACTCCTCTAAATTTATTTCAGGAAACAAAATTCAAACAAATAAAACCACTGAACGGCGGAACGGAACAGAAAAAATGGCGGACGGATATATTTCTGATGAGATTCACCGAATTGACCCATATTATTTCGCATTGTAATACAATTTGTAATCAGAATGATACAATATTTTGATCTATTCATATCCAACACTTTGTCGCGTTTTTGCTCAAAATGACAAGGAACATATAATAAACAGGCACCGCGGAGGATCGATAATTGGGGGGGGGCAATCTTCACATATTCATATATGCAGGCTTAAGATCTTTTGAAATCCATTGTTTTCTAAGGATTACAACATAAATATATGAATATGACCCCCCCCAATTATCGATCCTCCGCGGTGCCTGAAACTTGTATGCCGAAGGTTCATCTGAATTCTCAAAAGCTCTTTTTTGGTGACGACATTAACTTAAAACTGACTTATTTTGTGTTGTTCAACACCTAAACTTTGTGAACTATAGCTTTGGAAAATCGTCCAGTTTGCACAAATGCTTCTTAAGCTATTTTTATAGTTATTATGGATATTATTATTATCTTACACAAACAATCTCATGAAGGGATTTTGAATCGAAAATGCTTAAAAATATTGGGCGCAAGGAGACGTAAAATATCCTGAGATGACGAGATAACAACGAAAAGCATAATCAAGGAGTATATGTTGAATGCTAAAAAGTATATCACTACGTATGGAAGATACAATTTATAAGTGCTTTATACATAAATTTGATAGTATAACTTACTTTCATAGTCGGGGTAATATTCCGTTCCTTCACCTTTAGACTCGTAACGTTCTGTCAATTAAAAAGTCACCAAACGTGTGACAGCATTTTAGTCAATAAAATTCGACTCTGAAAAAACCTTAAAGATTTATCTATAGTCGGTGCATAAAGACATAAAATCTCTAGACGACAATTATCGCGGTAAAAAGATCAATAAAGTGTATGTATGTTCTACGATAAAATGTTGGAAAATTTATCCATATTTTTGCATGTATAGCTTACACACAATTTACGTGGGTCTCGCAAAAATTTGATTGTATATAACTTACCGTCATCCATGAAGTAACTCTTCATTCGTTGAAGGCAACTCTATAAACTCTGTACTATCCAAGGTAAATACATGGAACTTAAGAAATTCTGCAATCATAAATACATATTTATCAGATCTTCGTTTTCTCACTCGTTGAAATGAAAAGATTAAAATAAAATTCTTGCACAGTTTTAATATTCAATCATTAAGGCGTTTAAATTACATATAACATCATAAACTTCAACGCCGTACGTCCACAAAGCAACTTTCCGTGATTATTAACCTTAACATAGATGAAAATTTATAAAAATTAAACATACGCAGGAAGAAAACTTTCAGAAATTGTACTCGTCCTTGTTAAACGTTACTTTTATCAATGTTTTAAAACATCCAACTGTATGAAGTTAATCGTCAAAAATCTACGATAATCACTTGATGCACGCCAAATAAGGGTGTTTTTTTTTACAAATTATTGTCGAAACAAAAACATTTATCATAATAGTAGCAAAGTAGCTACATCTTAGGGGAAAGCTTATTATTCACAGATTCTAAAAATTATGATTACCCAACAAAACAACAAAATCACAAAAAATTTGTCACAGCAACAACGTAGCTATAACAAGGTATAGAAAAGACTACTATTGTCAAGTTTCATCTTTATACGCTTGATTTAAAAAAAATTAAGTTCAATGGTTTACTTTCACCAATTATGATGAAGCTATCACAATCAGGGACACCTTTAAACTCAGTGAGGCAATGGGCTATTTGTCAATGTGAACGAAATTGGAAGTTACTCCGTACAAATCTCTACCAAGAAATTTAAATGCATAAATCAAAACACAATCCGCTTATTGTAATCACAGCAAACGGAACGTTTTATAGTATAACTGTTTAATGTTTGTGATTAACCGTTGATTGCAGTCGACTAGATTTAAAAAAAAAACACAGGAGATTCTAAATTTGGACAACCGAATCAAACAAGGCAACACCTAATGAGAAGAAAAAAACCTTAAGGGTATTGGCATGTAAGATATACAGTATTAGAATTTAGAATTGTCCGTTCATCTAAAATGCAAGAATTCATTGAAAAATGTGATATTACGCGTGTCAATGACACACTTCATTGCATAACTATTTAAGATGCAACTATTTAAAATAACAAGAAAAAGATCTTTGTTCATTCGATACTAGCGATACCGAGAATTTGTCTATTTTTATTTTCCTATTATCATTCTAATCGAATTCTTCCTGGTAAATGTTCAAATGGTAAATGATATTACGCGTGTCAATGACACACTTCATTGCATAACTATTTAAGATGCAAATATTTAAAATAACAAAAAAAAGATCTTTGTTCATTCGATACTAGCGATACCGAGAATTTGTCTATTTTTACTTTCCTATTACCATTCCAATCGAATTTTTCCTGATAAATGTTCAAAATTATTTTTTGTTAACTGTAACTAATAAGAGACTGAAAGATATGTGTTAAAAACAGAAATTGGGGATTTGTACATGGAATTAAAGACTGTTACGCTCAAAACAACTAAATTGAATTTGTCAAATCTTTTGTTTTGTATAAAGGTAATAACAAAATATTAAGAGTTTTTCATTTAGGCATTGGAAGTTCGATTTAATCGCGAAGAGACTGACATCCTATCTTATAAAAAAATCCAATACAAACTGTTGGCGATTGAATCAAACGCCTGACGCGTGAAATGTTCTTAAAATGGTTATTTGGGTATTGAAAGAATTCACAAATGCAATCTAGAAAAGCAACGTGTAGTTTTTATCCAGTAAAGAAGATTTATGGAGATTTCTCTAAGCAGATTTCGTAAATGACTGCATTTCAGTATGCTCACAATCGTAAAGTTGAAATGTGTTTGAAAAAAGTAACGTCTACAAATAAACAGTTATTATAAATAAACATTAATTTCAATAAATCTTGCGTAAATCTACCAATAGCAAAACACAAATTGTTTATGAATGGACTGTTTCTTAAATTATTCAACTGGAATTTTCTTTATATCATACTGGATGATGGCTTGGGCAGCAAGAAAAAATCCTTACTTTATCGTTTCTGTCACCATTTTGTTGACCTTACAACCTTGCTCATGAAAAAACTTCGGACATTCTGTGAATTTGACAAAATGCATTAACAAAAATAGGTACGCTTGCGTACACGTGGGAAGCCTGTAAAACAGGAGAAGCAAAAAGATTGAAACAAAAGGAGTTGCAGTCACTTTAACACGGGATAAGAATTTTCTAGTATGCATAAATTTAACAGTTTACAATTGTTATAAGACCATCCGGCAATTGTGATGAAATATGAGTTATGTTTGATCCCATTTATCTATGCTTCAAGACCTGGTATTTAAATTGTTCAAACAATATTACTATTTTGAAACATTTAATTCATTGATTGACAACTTGTTTTATCATGATACTTTGAACTCCTGATACTAACAACAGAATTGTCATTATTTGTGGGGGATTGAAAAAAGGTTTGAACTTTTTGTAAATAAGAAATATGATAAAAAGGCAGTGCATAGAATGTCATCACAGACATGATGTCTGCCACTCTCTTGTTTTGCATAGCCTAATTTCTCGGACAAATAAATAACTCACCTTCAATGTTGCAAACAGACCAGTGAGACCTCTCCCAGAAAATTGTGCAGCTCAATATTAGTGCAAACTAGATAGACAGTAATGAGTAATTGTAAACAAACATTAAAAATACTTATTGCAGATACATTTTCATTCAGTGACTATGTCCAAATTATAAAAAATACGCAAGAATTTAGCATAATAATAATGGAAACCAACAATTATATACTTTTTCGGAGCCCATTTGCAGATAGTAGAGAAATTTTTTGATTGCATAACAAAATAATGTGATAATGAAAACTATTAGTAAGAAATAGCTTTAGGTGAACTTATGTAAGGAATTCTCTTTTCAATAATACAAAAATCAGGTGCACCTTTACGTGAAAATACGATCTTTGGCCGACTCTGGCCAGCAAGGGCGCGAATTTTTCCAAAGTATTTTTTCACAACAGAGGAATGTCTTCAGGAAAATGGGCCTGAAATTAAATAAGCAAATACTTGATTTAATAAAGTTAGATATAATTACTGGTAAACAAAATAATAGCACATAATAAATCCTTAAAATTTCTCAACTAAATAAGTCTTCATTTTTAACATATCACAAGTGCTTGATACCTTCATATCAATCACCAACAATTTACACATAAATTCATTCACTTTTCCTTAAACTTCAAAGAAATAATCACAAACAAATCCTAAAACACTTCTTCAATGTTTTTCCAGAAATATATCCCACAATTACCCATGACATCATTTTTGTCTATCCTTGGACATTCGTTTAGTGGACTATTTAATGTCATGGCATTTTTCATTTTATCTTAGTATAATTGCATTAATCATGTCAGGTGATACCACAAATAAAAATAAGCCTTCACTTTTTAGCCCTTGTTCAAGCTTTCATTTAATATCGTACTGCAACTTATCTCACTATATCTCATTCAAATTTAATTATAAATTACATACTTGAATAATTACAAGCTAATATGCACAAAACCAACAAAAGAGACTGAAGGAAATTTTATCTATAACCATTAACCAATACCTGCATAAAACTATTTTCATTTAAGTTCATTTTGTAAATATTTATATTTTTGCAAACATTTAATAAAGATGTTTCCATTTGAAAAAAATTCAAAGCATTCATCTTACTTGTCCCCAGTAACTTTCTTCAGTTGATAATAAAACTTATTTTTCCATGGCCTGATGTCTTTTGAACAGCCACAAACGTCTGCCATCCACAGCAATCAAACACAAGTTCCTAAACTGCATAAATGATCGGTGCAAACTAACAAGGGCCTAAAGAGGAAATTTGATCTATAAAAAACATTAACCCATAAATATCCATCATATATCATATTTACTCACATTGAAGCGTTGATGATAAACAAACTGTGAATCATTGTGATATCTACATATACTGAAACTATAATAATATATTTCTCGTTTGCTTAACAAACTTTGATGGTTATAAAACTAGTTTCATGTGAGTTCATTTCCTAAGTATTTATTAATTTTATTTATACTATTGCTAGACAATATTAATGACGATGTTTCCATTTAAAAAAATATTATTCATCTTACTAGTCCCCAGTCCACTAAAGACTCACCGACCTTACCTGACTAATCTTCACTTTGATGATCATAAAGATTTTCGTCTTCATCGTAAAAAAAAACAAATCGATAAAATGTAAGAAAATCTCAAACAGTTATAAATGAAATATGATGACGGATAAAATACCATGTTATACGTACATACAAGAGAGGTGCTTTGCTTTTAGCCCGATTTTATTTTATTTTAAAAACGTATTTAGAAATAGAGATGCATGATGGACCGTGATTTTCTTGTCATCGATTCTTATCAATTTTGATTTTCATCGACTAAAAAAAAACAAGTAAAAACTCTCGAGGAAAATATCAAAGTCTAACATTTTACATGATCATATATCAAACTCAGATGTAACGTAAGGCAGCTAGTTCAAACAGACCTTAACGAACAAGTTACGAATGAGTTCTGCCTAAATACCTCAGTTAAGTCATGCAGTTATTGATCCACAGACCTCAGTGATGTAATAATAAAGAGAATGGTTTGAACCCGGGAGTATCGTTACATGTTTGTAAATGCAGACCGTCCAGGTTGGTATAGTCAAAATGCCATTTTGACTCTGAAAATTACTACCGCTAAGGTTGTAGAAGCGTCAGTCAACAACAACAAAAACAGTCCTTAATTCTCAGGACTATGCCAACCTGGACAATTTGCATTTAGAAACATAATGTAATAATCATGTATAATTATTGTGTAACATATGAAAAGCCAGGAATCAAAGTGTTTCTGTAATGGCCGAGAGTTGAAATTAAGTTGAACATAAATTTTTAAGAAGCAATTCGAATTAGAAGATTTATCAATATTTCTGTTATTTTCATGTAAGACACTCACCAGTGTTGTGCCATGCTGCAAGAGTTGATTTATTGAATAACTTTCATACGTTGAATAACATAGTATTTACTGTCGGAAAAACTAAATCATATTGCTAACGAAAAGTTAATAAAAACAAACAAGAAAAAAGTTATTCTGTATAGTTCATGTATCGTTAAAACGTGTTTGCTGACCAATGATTAAACAAAAAACCAAAAATCATGCAAGGTTTATTTATAATTATGAAATAGACAAACAAAATGAATTAAAAATAATTTAAACGCTAAATGTACATAGCATCAAAATTCTTCACGAACGAAAATGGACGACTGTTTTAAATATTCTCGTGTCTCTTAGAGCAAAAAAACAGGATGTCAGATATGTAAGGTTTTAATTTATGTTATATGGTTAGTTCTTTACTAAGTAAAAGTATCATATGTTCATAATTATTGGATTATTACATCATCAATAAGGAGTTAGTACCTCGTAAATGTTTTTAAAATAACTGTTACTACACGACAGCCATTTAGGACTGCATAAGGACTGGGGAAACATGATTGATCTTGTTTATATAAATGACCAATCTTTTACAATGGCACTCAATTTAGACTTTTATATTGTTAATTTTTAGAGAATTAAAAAGACAATGTAAAAGTTAGTTCCAATAAAAATAACTATGACTGATGTCATGGGAAGTTTTTCAAGGGAAATGTTGTCGGGAGTCCTCAGGGAGTCATCAGGAGTCCCCAGGATGAGCTGATGGAATAACACGTCAAACAATAACTGCATTTCGAAAATAAATTTGAGTTCTAGCACCAAAAAGTTGCATTCGAAACTTTATCTTTGGAGACTGCATAGAGAGATAATATAGTAACAAATCAAATGATAGTGTGCTATATCAATATATCAAGTCAAAAATAAGCCAAAACTCTTGAGCAAAATACCGAACTAGATCTTACTACATGTTCACATCTCAAACACAGATGTAATGTGAGAAAGTTTGTTGCAACAGACCTTTAATAAACAATTCACGTAAGAGCTTAGCACAAATATCTTATCTAAGTCATACAGTTATTGGTCCACAGACTTCCATCACCACAACGTATATAATCATCTGACAAGTAACAAGCCAGAAACCTAAGTGTTATGCAGTACTCCACGTTGTGAGAGTTGCATACTTGGTTATAATCTTTAGGTGAAAACACCGGGTCTGCTAATTGAAGAACAAGTATTGGGCGAGAGTAAATTTGTTGAAGAACGTGTAAAATTATTTCACATTATTTCACTTGCAAAAAAAAAACAAGATCGTCATATACGAAACGTTGTCGCTTGCTACATGTGGTAGCTTTAAAGCTTGTTTTTGTTTTTTTCGGAGCAAGAGCTACATACTCATAATTAATGCATAACTACATACTTCAGGAATTTTTGCTTTTTAATGGATTAAATTAAATAAGTGCAAACCAAACAAATATTTATTTATAAATACATGACGGCAAAGTACTGAAATTAGTCATGTTGAATGGCAAATACTTAGTAAATGTTTTTATAGTAAGAGTAACTACATGACAATGTAAAGGAATAGAAACGTGCAGTATCTAATATCCATATGTTTTGACTCACTCATCAAATCTAGCTGTTTAAAAATCTACAGTGGAAAGTAAATAAATGAAGTTTTCGCTTTTACAGCATTCGAAACTTTGCTTCTTTCAATGGTTTAGATCGTAATTCGATGTATTGCGATGCTTTCCATTTTAACTTTTCATCGATCTCATTTTTTATAGCAGCCTCCGAATTTTCTTTCTCAAAATCAATTGTGCTTGTGACATACAAATGAAGAAACGGCATCTTCTTGTTTGGGCGAGCTATTCCATACTTCCTACTAAGCCACGAACAACTTAAACAAGAAACGACAACTACATAATGTCTAAAAACTATTTTTCGTAATGTTCCGACATGCACAGGTCAACATACATAATCGATATCCCATGAAAGAAAAATTACCTTAGGAGAGCCTCGTGAACGTCAGCTTGAATATTCTTACTTTCGTCTAGAAGTTTATGGAAGTTGTCGTCATGATTTGCTTCTAAATATCATAAAAATATAATTGATAACTTTCGTGCACCAACATTAACCACGATGAAACCTCCATGCGATAAGACATAAATAAGACTAAAAATTGACTAATCATATACATGGGATCATAAATTACTTTGTTCTGGATTTCTGGTTTTGGTCGTGATACGCTAGACGCTTTTATACGCTATGACGTTAATCAGGTCATATTAATCTTATTCGCAAGATTAGAGTGTTTTATCACGTTTTCGACATGGTATAAAAATGGCATTTACAGATTTTTTGCACGTAACATAAACATAAAATACCCTTTGCAGAGTTACTGGTTTCGGCCTCAATGGTTTCTTCTGAGGCGTCACGACAAAAAATTCCTATTTGCTCTTAAACAACAGGTACGATAAACAATTATATCAAATTTTTACCGTGGATACGATCATTTAATAAGCTAATTTAAAGTATTTAACCATCAATGACAAAAGAAAGTTTTAGAATAAAAAATATCTGTGGCAAATGAAACGTTTATTTTTCATTTTCCCCAAAACAAATTAACAAATGGTCATTGATATACTTCTATATGTCTTTTAGACTGACAGCTACCCTATTATATTGCAGTAAAGAGGTCATCAGGTAAAAATGAAGGTCTGTTAAACTATTTTCAAACAAAATACCTTCAATTAGTTCATTTGGCTTTAAGTGTTGCTAACTTTCTGGTCGCTGTGGTAAATCTTCTGGTTGTTTCTGCTGGGTTTTTGCTATTTCCAATTTGTTTTCTTGGAATTCTTCATGTTTCTCTACATTTACTTTCTCCTCTTTAGGTAATAAAATAGAAGAAAACAAATCTTACTTGGTCAATAAATACTATAAAAGTTTAACGTCTAATAATGACTTTTCCCATATCTATCATACTTTTCAACAACATCAAATTTCTAGTTAATGTAATAAATATACCGTTGGCTCTTGTCTTCCGTGGATCAGTTCTGGATATTTTTAATGTGTTAGATTCATTCTTCAAAATTCGACTCATACCAAAGTCAGCTATTAAACATTTGCCCTGCGCGTCTCGGAAAACATTAGAAGGCTTTAAATCCAGATGAGAATAGGATATGGGTCGCTGTGAAGATGAGCTAAACCTTTTAAAATTTGTCTGAGAACTTTGGGAAGCGATTTTTGAAGATAAGCCAAACTATTTGATTCCGATTGCACAAAATCCTCCAGCGATTCTTCACACAGGTCAAGTATTAAATAAACATATTCTGATGAAATGTCTTTATCTAAGTAAAAATAATTCACAACATCATTCGATTTTTTTCGATGATGTCTTTGAAAATTTTCTTTTCTTGTTGTGTAAGCCCAATTCAGATATCACGAAGTATTCGTTTCACTGCTTTTCCATAGTCATCTTATCCCAGTCCAAGATAAACACGAGTTCCATCACTTCGTTTGCCGATGAAAATTCTCCGGAGAAAATTACACGCACATCACTCATATGTTCAACCTTGACTTTGGGATCTTGTCCATATTTAATCATTTTTAAAAACAATTGCTTATGTTTAGTTGATTCATCAACGCATTTCTTCTGCAATTCTGAAATTGGAGTAAAAATATTACTTTTAAAGATTATCAAAACAAGAAAATGGATTAACTCCGCCATTGCCCAAATGATTTGGATAGTAATTGAAAGCACATCAACTTAATTACAACCATTTTATAAATCACTCATTAAAGCATTCAGTTCAGGTAAAGTATTATTGGTATAATGCATCCAGAGGCGAAACTAGAGCGCTAATTGGGGAAGGTGGTGGGTAATATTCAAACATTCAGCCCTGCTGATTTCTTTTGAAAATAAAATCACCAACAAAAGAAATGTCGAAATGATATTTTTTTGTAAATATCTGCATTTTTGTGCGTAGTACTTCGTCTCTTTTGTATTTCTTCAGACCCCCAAATAGAAATAAGTACCATCACTTCTTCATAAGACCAGGTTTCTCCGCGTTTCGACACATTTGCTTAAATAATAAAATAGAGACTTTGTCGTGGTGACAAATCTGAAAATAGTTCTAAAGATAGCAAAACGACACGATGCATTTCGGCAGACTACTCCTCAGATGACAACGTCTGCTAAATGAAAATTTACAATTTCTCGATATTTATAATGCCAAGAAAGAGTGTACGTCATCTCAAAAAGGGGAGATGATACTCAAAACAGAGATAAATTAAAAACATAATCCTTTTGTCGGCAGAGGACGGATTGGTTAACTTAATTAAAACAGCCTCCATGACGCGTAACTGAAAGAATGAAGGGCATTTCTTAAATGATTCTAAATGAACTCCTCTGAGGACAGTCTAAGCGTTCGCTTTATTAAACACTTTACTAAAGAAATCTTTTCTCTGTGTGAAGAAAAAGCGTCAAAGCATGTGTACAAACCCGTAAAAGTTGCCTTGCGATGAATGCTTGTAAGGAATTGACCGTTTATGGACAAGAACATCCAAAAACGCTAACTGACAATTTGATTGCTGTTCAGACGTATAATTTAAAGAAGGGTGAAGAGAACAGAGTTTATGTAAAAAATAATTGGCGATTTTTGTCGTTACGAAAAAGGGAAAAGGTGTCGTCAACGTAACGTTTGTACCACAGCACTTCCAGAGGCCCAGACGAGGCAAACATCTTACACTCATAATAGCCTACGAAAATATTAGCAACTACTGGTCCTAGTGCTCTTTACTTAAAACAGTTCATTTAAGAACTATCAACTTATTATATTACTTTTACCATTCACTATGGTATTTGCTATCTTTAGAACTATTTTCACATATTTGCTTATAACTGTAAAATATTGCTGCAAGCAAACACAGCAAAAACGATACCTGTGATATGTGTGCTCGCACGAAAAGCCTGGTTACTAAGCTAAAAACATCGCCACGTAGATGACAAAATCACAGCACTACATGCAGATGACATTAATGACTTTCATACTCACATCAACAAACAGAACAGCCACATACAATTTACCAAAGATGTCGAAGAAAACGGACCTCTTCCTTTTCTCGACTGTTTGGTAAAACATAACAATCAAAAACTACGAACAACAGTTTATCGCAAGCCAACACATACTGACCGACTACTAGACCAATCATCTTACAACCCTACATCACACAAAGCCACCACAATCAGAACATTAACAAGACGTGCAAAAATCATATGTGATTCACCGGACGCTCTACACAACGAAAACAACTATCTCAAACGTGTTTTTGACAAAAACAACTATAACTCTGACTTTATCAAACGCAACACCTACAAACTCAACGAACCCAACGAAACTAACAACTCAGTGACAACAGCAACGATACCTTACATCAAAGGTACGTCTGAGACTATCTCGCGTATCTTACGACCATACAACATACGTGTAGCACATAAACCAATCACAACGTTGGGACAAGTACTAACGAACATAAAGGACAAAGAACAACCCAACGAACGACAAGGTGCAGTTTACAAAATAAACTGCTCCGACTGCCACCCCTCCTATATCGGGGAAACTGGCAAGAACTTAAACATAAGACTTACTGAACACAAACGAGCTACTAAGAAACAAGACAAAACTAATCACATTGCCGAACATCACCGAATCACAAAGCACAACATTGACCGGGACTCGGCAAAATTCATTACTTACAGTACTGACTATAGACAACGGCTTACATTAGAAAGTTGGTATACCAACTTGGAACAAACCCCCCTGAACAGATCACAGCAATTACCGGCACTTTACAAAGGACTTATTCACAATACAAACAAACGATAAACTAAAAACATGACACTTCACACTATTTCACAATGACAATACACAATTGACACCCACACATTACAACTAAAAACATCACACCTAAATCACACATCACAACTAAAAATAAAAATATTTCACTTCACACTAATTCACAATGACAATACACATTTCCTGTACACATAATACAATGACGTAAGAACCAGATAACAAATACGGCTAACCTGACGTTTACTCCTCGTTTGACTCTGAAGATGACTACCGCTAAGGTTGTCGAAACGTCACTCAACAACAACAAAAACAGTCCTTCTCAGGACTATACCAACCTGGACGATCTGCATTTACAAACATGTAACGATACTCCCGGGTTCAAACCATTTACTTTAATCTAAAAACATGTGATTAATCAAGATTGATCTGATTCTATTCGTGTTGCATGTTCACATTATCATGCGGACTAATCCGATTCGAGACTCTAAGACCACCTTTTGAGGTGGCCGAAATTAATTCTGATCGAATTCGTTTTCGCATCACTTGTAAGTGTTCACATTAGCTCTCGTACGGACTCTAATCGATTTCGAATTGATTTAAAGTGTTAGTGTGAATGGGCCCTAAAGTAGCACAAGTTTCCAAATTGAAAATTCGAATAGCAACATGCAAATCGTCAAAACAACTTATTAACAACCAATATATCATAAACCACTCGTTAAAACGAACAATGCTAGCAAGAGTGAAGCATATTGCTGATAACTGATACAATGGAATACAATGCATCCTGTCTTCAGATTAGGGCAATCAAGCTTTTAAACAGGCAAATTCAGGTAGAATTTTTACGACTAAGACCAACTTTTGCGAAAAAATTAAAGTTATTTTGTCGAAAATATGCATGTGCGTTAACAAAGAAAGCTTATTTCACACTAAACATTTCTGTGACAAACAACCTGTTTTATACGTCGCATTTTACATGCGTCGAATGCAATTAAAACAAAAGAAATTGAGATAAAATTCCTCATTAGTTTTGTATGCAATCGACTCGTGTAAAATGCGACGTAAAAAACAGGCTTTATGTAAATTTTCAATGATGAATTTCAAGTGCTAGCAATAAATCTATAGTTAAAATACAAGGTGTATAGAAAATGATTGACTCCAGGAAAAAAGTTCTCGAAAAGTAGACGCACGCTAAATAACCAAAAACCTTTACTAATTTTAAGTATTTTAACGTTCTTTGACATGGCAGGCACTTAAAATTCGGAAAATGCAAGATTTTTTACATTGTTAAAAATCCTTCAAAACAGACCGTTCGAAAAAAATGATCAAATAAAAAAAAGCTCTATCGTAATCTCAAACTTTTGGCGCACGCGCTGAAAACATGGATTTTTGCGTTTTTGCATTTCATACCTTGCTTTATACAACAAATACACTTTTGAGAATTGGAGTTGATAATTTCATATTGTAATTTATGCAATTTCCCGCTAATGCATAAATTGAACTTGATATGATAGAACAAACTTTGTTTGAAATGCACAAACTCGAAATAATGCAAGTTTTGAAGACATTGAGTTTGCCAGAGCGTGCACCAAATTACTTGAAATTTTGATAGGTTGTGCTACACAGTCCATATTTTGAGTCTGGGTGATTAAATTGCTATTCCAATTATTAATTTTTGTGCGCAGGGCCTGTTTGGAGGAACTGTTAAGAACAGATCATACCACAATTCCCCTCTTTCAAGAACGGTTCCTCGCCAACGGAGGTGTCAGGTTTTGGACAGCAGCAATTACCCATGTATGGAATCTACTGTTAGCTACAAGTCAACAGAAGATTCTTCTTTGTTGCGTCAGTTGTAGTGGCCAAATGTTAAAGTCATTCCATATTTAACTAAGGACAAAAAAATCAACTTTGTCGTTAGAGTCTCTACTTCCAAAGCATACGAATATTCATTCATCACAAAGTAAACGAAAACTTTCATTTGGAATTTTGAATACTTACTTCACTCGATAACTTACATCTCCTACACACACACACACACACATGATGGGAGACTTAAGTTGGTATCATGTGTAGACATTATTAAAGTTCAAGAAAAATCCTTTGAAGTATTTCCTAACATGTCATTGACGTAGCAAGACACATTTTTTTGGTGTTGTTTGTTTAGAGATTTAACGTTAGTTATATTCATTAATAATAGCACAAAATTACTCAAGGTTTACAGCACCAAACCCTCCCCATCACCAATGACTTGGCCCTCACTATATTTGAGAATTTCATATTAAGTAGATGACATGTGAAAACATAACAATGCTCTAAAGAGGATTCTAAAGTTTTGACATAATAAACACAATATAAATTGCTGTTTAAGTCGCAAACACGTTTTGTTTTTATCCGTTTACGTACAACAAAACAAATTTATATTTTTTTCACGCCTTTCGCCAACGGACTTAAATCTTACAGCTGGAAATTTGATTTTTTAGCTTACAAAATGCATTTGGGATGAGCGTGCAGTCCCAGCATGTAGTATGGCAGATGAGAATTACATATGGGATTACACCTCGATTACACACGTGATACTCGTGGTTTCTACCATTGCTTTATCTGCTGCGTAGCAGTGGCGTAGACTGCTTCATCAATAATTGGGGAGCCAATACTGATATATGTATGTTGTAATCTCAAGAAAACAATGGATTTCAAAGGAATTTAATACAGATTATAAATGAATATTGCCCTCCAGTTATCGAGCTGGCTACGCCTCTGCTACGTAACCATAGCCTGACATTGTGGATGGCCGATATGATACCATCCATTTGGGGGACATCAAAACCAGATTTTCATACCAATTGCACTTTATTTGAACAGTTTGTTATATTTCACAATATACTATACAACAATCAAATTTATCAAAACTTGCCATAAACATATTTGACTAAAGTATACAAATTATTTTTATTTTTAACTTTGCTTGTCACATATTTTAGTGCATAAAGTTATACAACAAGGTGCATTAAATTTGATTACTCATTTCTTTTGTGCTAGCTTTAGCATTTCAAATTTTGGTTGCATTTTTAATCTTATTTTCAGTATAAACAAAATATCACAACTTATTCACACATAGCTATAGATTTCACATGTATGCAATTCTTCTATTTTGATTATGAAGCATTTGATTCTTTTCAAAATGTCATCAGATCAAAATAACAGCTTTGCTTTCATGCCAGTAGATAAACCTGACAAAGTTTTCATGTTATATCTGTAGAGCCCCAAACTGATTTTTTGTATAAAATGTAAAGATTTAAAATGCTATGATATCTATTATGAACCAAACCCAATCTATACATAATATAAATCTTAACACGGTTTTTATATGAACATGAAAAACATGTGACTTGGACGAGATTTGAACTCACACCTTCGGGATACTAGTCTGTCGCTCTACCTGTAGAGCTCCCAAGCCCACAGGGATTAGAGACAAGTCAAATCTCTTAGGATTTATATTATGAACCTAACCCAATCTATATACAGTTAACACAAGAAGTTTTTATTTTGACAATGTCTTAACCTGGCAAAGAAATGAAGAACATAATTCTATTTGATTGTAGATCACACCGGAGAGATTGAGTACTGATAAATATGTCTTTAAATAAGTTTTACAACATTCACAAGACATAAGAACAATGTGGGGAATCTAAATTCAAACAGCAAGTCCTTTGCTTTGCACAAGTGGCATGACTAAGAACTAATTTATATGGCCTGCATTCCCAATGCAAATTACATTCACTATATATACTTAATAAAACCAAAGCTTACTTTTTCTTACAATCTAATTCTTTCATAATGGTTTTTCTTCATTCCAAGAGCTTTGTGATCCATGTTCACGAGGAAGCTACAATGCAACATAAGAGTTAACGTTTCATGCATGGTTAGTTATGTTTATAAGCTTCATATTTGTGCATTTATTCTCGTTAGCTTTTACTTTCGGGAAAAAACAATTTGGGTGTTTTTGGCAAAATTATAATATATCAATGACAGCTAATTTGTCAAGCAAGTGACCCTTATCCATTTTATTTTCACACATGCAGCGCTTACAGCGTTTTACGAACTCTATCTACTTTATTGATTCATGTATTTTTTATTTACACACATGTCAAGTATTTATCTATGTCATTATCTATTTTACAATCTTGAATACTTCTTACAGTCGTGAACTCATGCTTTTATAGAGGTCGATATATTCTAGTTATTTTTACCACATAGAAGAGAACACAAACTTAAGCGGCTCGAAACTAATAAGTTGTTTCTTTATTTACAATAATGTTCACAACACCTATCTCTGATAGAAATAACGCAAAATAGTTCACAAACAAACGACAAACCGAACGATTGATAAAAGATAAAACCAAGACTTCCCAAAAGTAATACTTATGAAAAGGTTTACTTACATGTCAATTTACAACTCTGATACTAACACCATCGTCACAGAGAATGCACAGAATACTAACTTAACTATACCACTGACTATACGACAACTTACTCCCTGGATAAATATTCATAGGATGACGATTTACGAATGATTTGCGCAAAAATATGGCCGCCGACCCCGTTTCGCGTTCTCAGGAATTTAATCTTCAATTCAGAAAGAAATTTCTAGAGCTGCCACTAATACAATGTTATCGTATTTAAAGGTAAAATGAACAAGAATTCAATTAAAATAACGAAACATGCATGAAGGCAATTAATAAGCTAGAGTCTTTCGGCAGTATTCATACTTTGAAGTTCCATACACGCCAATGATACACACTACAATAATAGAATCAATGGAAATTAACCGAGAATGTGGAATCTCGACCTAACAAGTGACAAATGACTGAAAGAGACAGATTTGGCTAAGTATTTAAAAGACTGAAATTCATAAATGCAAGCTTGTGGCTTAAAACATACCACCTTTAGTCTCAAGAAAAATGCAACACAACTATAAGCCTGAATAAACAAAAATTCAACAAAAATTCAACTCTGACTTCGTCATCATTAACCTCAACGTACAAAAATTTTCTTTTAACAATTTCAAAGCTGCAACAAAGGAAATACTAGGAAATGGTCACAACTTCACATAAAAGTGTCATTTTATTAAAATATAACCAATTTCCCCAATTCAATAAGTTGTTCTTTTTATGCGTATCAATCTTTTACCCTTTGCAGTGGTACTGTAGTGACGTATATAAACTAAATAGCGTTCTAGTACATTGAACTCACGCTAGGAGCTCATACGAAAGACTTATATAACGCTAAAATACAACGGATTTTGAGCACAGACATGACATCCATATTATATTGTTATATATAGTTATATGTATTGTTATACATTGTTATACTTGAAGAAATGCTATGTGTTACTAAATTACACATGTTAAATTTATTGTATATTTTACATAAGAAACATGATGTATGGAAATCAAATTTAAATTTCATTCGCCTTCAGTTTTAGATCGTTTGAAGACAAACGAAATAGTTATTATATAACATTGCAAAATCCAATGAAAATTCATAGCAATCTGGCCATGTAATATCCAACTTGGTTACTTAATCTAACTTGCTTAAGATGCTCAAATTAAAACATATATAAAAGAGGATCTTGAATTGTGGTATCATTGATTTCCTTCTTGCCAATTGCTTTCCCATAAACCTCTTTTGCAGACAATAAAAAGACTTCATTGATGTGGCACATTTTAGCTTTAAATTGAAAACGATAATGTTCTTGTTTTTCCTTTCGTCATTTGATCTGACCATTTACACTTAGGATAAATAATGCAAAGAAAATAAAATACGTGAAATGAGCAGCTAAAAAGATTAATAACTCTAATCGAAAACTCTCTTCTTTTTCTAAGCAAGCATTTTTCGCAATTTCAGCATTAATGTATACGACGTGAAAGCATTTGCTGACTTAAAGCAAAGAATACGCAATATTTAGTATTGCATATGTGTTCTTTACAAGTTTGACAACATAATAAGCTATAAGTTTCTTTTTACCATACGATAAAATTATGCCAAAGTCTCTGAATCACCATGATTCGTAGGTACTCGTCACTATCTTTGGATATCGGACAAATCGTTAATGTCGTCTAAAGATTTTTGACTATTGCTAGTACTATCACACATGCTTGAACCGTTATTTTCAGTCGCACAAAGTTAGAAAATGATGCACCAGATACAAGTGAAGAGATTACGGTTTTTGGTAGAATATTTAAGAAAAGTGACACGTACACAGCATTAGTTTGTTGTTACATAGCTATTTACCGTTAAGATCAGGGTAATCAATAACAGCTTCGCTTTTCTTTCCCTTGCCTTCTTCAAGTTTTACATGATGTTCACTGTCTAAAAAATTTTTGCAACGGCAATATACAGAATTCAAAACGTACATGCATTAAGTACAATAAATGAAGAGGAGAACTTGAGTGAAAATAACAAATATAGTGTCACGGACCCCTAATTTATAGCTTGGCCATCAAAAATGAAAACTCATTTCTGTGTCTTACTTGGAAAATGTTTCTCTAGATCAGGTCTTGCCTTCCAGTTACTCAATCTTATGGCTCTGTGAACTAGATAAGGCAGTTCCTCAAAAAGTTGAAGAAAATACTCTTGATAGTTTCCATCTTTAACACATGATGACAGTTGTGGACGAGGTTTATCATGCCAATGCTGGCGAACGTTTCGTAAAAATCTTAGGCAACCTAACCATGTAGAGTCGGATACTTTATTGAAATGATTAAAGAATTCAGGATCGATACGGTCCATCCAATTTATTGAAAGATTCAACTGCTCACGAAGATTTGAGGGAAGAGAATGTGGAGATGATGTCTTTATTTCTGGTTCATTCCCAACATCACACAGAAAATCGAAATTCTCCTTATCGCTTTGTAGATAAGGGTGTTTTAACGCTTCGTTGGCCAATGGTCTGTCTTCCGGTTTTAGCTGTAGCATCCACGATAAAAGGTCTTTGAGCGTGGCATCCTTGATTTGGTCCAAGCCAACTGCGTTTCCATTTAATAAGTTGTCCAGTAAAAACCGTTCAGCTCCAAAAGGATGTTTCCCCTTTGTTGCAACATAATAAGCCACCATTCCGGCATTCTATTTTCAATAAAAAATGGAGTTAATTTGTTTGTTAGTTGCAAAAAATACAAGTTTAGGCCAAAAAAATCAGAATAATGTTCTCCAATTAAGAGTCGTAGCCATAATTTTTTAGAGCAATCTAAATGAGAGACATACAATCGTAAAACCAATAAGGCAATAACAACAATAAATTCATTATCATACATATACTAATTTTTATATTATATACAGTGCAGTTTGTATTTCGCTACTATATGACTGAACAATGGAGGTAAAGAAAAATTTTATTTAAAATCATTATAACTGCCAAACACAACATTCAAATGCAAACACAACATTGAGTTGTAGTTGGACCTCTAGTTCTACTTCAAGAACTTACCATAATGTCAGACTCTCTTTTGTAACGAACTTTATAAATTCTATCATATGATGCGTCATATGACTCTGGAGCTATCCAATATTTAGCTCCTCTCTGTCTGCTTTGATGTGTCGAAGTTACATCAGATAACATATGATTTATACCAAAGTCAGCGATTAAAAAATTTCCTTGTACATCTCGAAGAACGTTCGAGGGTCTCAAATCCCGATGAAGAATAGGACGCTCACCGCTGTGAAGGTGAACTAGACCATTTAAGATCTGAATAAGAACTTTAGGAACGACTTTTTGAAGATCTTGCAAAGAAGAAGATTTCACAAATCTCTCTAACGATTCTTCACACAAATCCATTATCATGTACAAATATTCTTCGTCAAGGTTCTCTTCTAAATCCCAAAAATTCACAACACAATTTGAGCGCTTTGCATTCAACTCATTCAAAATTTCTTTTTCTCGATTTGCAAAGTCTTTGCCGCTATCTTTATGTATTCGCTTTACTGCTTTTCCATAACCATTATTTCCCAGGGCAAGGTAAACACGGGTTCCATCACTTCCCTTGCCAAGCAAAAACTCCTTCTTGAAGATTACACGCAATTCACTGAGCAGTGTAACTTTTTCTGGATGTTTGCGTCCATATTCCTCCATATTTTTAAACTTTTCCTGATGCATTATTGATTTATCAAAACATTTCCATGGTTGACGCAACAATTCATGAACTTAAAGGAGAAGTACAAATCAGGAAAGATTAAAAAAGGACTGATAAATTCATAAAATTAATTTATAAGTTTATAAATTATTGTTTGTATTTAGCGTTGAAAAACATAGAAATGTTTGGGCAGCAAATGTTTGGTAACAAAATTCTTTTGCTTATCCCGTTTTCATGATATGTAGCGACGGAAATCCTGTTGAAGATAAGGACATTTCTAAAACAAGCTCTTAGCTACAGTAGGAACATTCGCAAAAAAATTGCGCAAATGTTAAATTAATGAATAAATTCTAAACAAATTAATGCCTGTAAAAATAATATAAAAATGAACATAAGTTAAATGAGTACATAGGTTTTAAATGATGCATATATATGTTCTTCATGACAAAGAGTAATCATTTAGTACCACCTGAAAAGTCTTTGAAGGAGACATTTTCGAGAAGTCCCAAATTTTTCAAACCATCTTCCAATCTCATGCAAACATAATACGTCTCGTTTTTCTTGGTCACTGCAGCAACTCCATACGCAAATGGTATCTTTTTGTTGTTCTCATCATAATAATACACCAGGCAACCAGAATCTCCAGGCCGGAGGAATTCGTTATCACTCTTTACTGCCACTACATCACGAAACACTTTTTTCTTGTTGTTGTCAAAAACGCTACGACTGAGGTCAGCGATTTCGTTCAAGCCCGACTCGTCGCCAACTTTATAAACTTTTTCATTTGCCTTTGATGACAAATTATCATACACAGTAACAAGAGAGCTGGGCATCTCTATTTCAGCCGCAGTAAATTCATTTTCTTTGTCATCAATTAAGATTGCCGTGATGTCGGTTTCAAGATCAAATGAGTAATGAAATAGCTCACCAAGAGGTATTTTTATGCTGTTTTCATGAGTATAAGAGTACTTATTTTTTAGTAGAAATTTCTCAAATGCCAATTTATCATTTTCAATTTTGTCTCGAATGTAAAAGAATTGATCGGCACCTTTCGGAACTTTTCCATATCCAACATGAAGACAAGTCAACGCGTAATGTTTTCCATCTTTACAGCTGAACAGAGTCAACGTGCCACGGGATTCTTCATTAGGCTCATCATCGCGCTTTGAGTGAACCATGTTGGATAGTGGTCGAATTATTTTTTCGTCTGATGAGTCGACAAAACGTAATTCAATGTATTCTAAAGCATTGCCATCAAAAACCTTATTGATTTCTGCTTTCTAATTAATCCCTGTCATTTTATTGTCCACTTCGAGGTACAAATGAAGATAAGGCATGTCATCGTTCGGATAGGCTATGCCATATTTGCCACAAAGCCAAGAAAAACTGTAAATGGGAAAACGTCATGGTGTTCGACAAAAAATCAGCATGATGGCGACTTGTCAAGCCAAATGAATCAAAATTATACTAAATATGATAAGAAATCATTACCTTTTCAATTTTTCATGCACACAATCTTTAATTTTGCAACCTTTGGTTAAAAACGTATTTTTAAAGTCACTCGTGTTGGGACTGGGAGCTTCTTCTACGGAAAAAAACATATACTAAATCTCGACCATGCACTGGACAAAAAATAAAAAACAAGTGCATGAAATTTACATTTTATTTTTGATTCAAAAGCAGCTAACGAGTTTAAACTCTTTCCTTCCACTAACAAAAATCAAAGTTATATATACTGACTTTATAATGCAACATGATATAGCTATGAAATTTGAATCAATAGCTTATAAAGTCACACCAATTTTAAAGGAAAGAATTTTTTCAATCTTTCTTTTTTCTGACTAAATGCAAATTATCTAATGTCTCCACATGATCATCGTGTTATTTCCTCAATGAAACGTTTCAAATTTGACATTTTTTCTATAAAACTGCTGCAAGGAAACGCTTTGTTGTTTTGAAGAATTGAAAAATGCTATCTTTTGAAATTAATTGCTCGCATAACAAGTCGATTGCGTGTACATTGAAAATTTCTTCAAGATAATTCCATCATTTTGCAATTTTCTGTCAACAGTACAACCAGAAAATCAGTCCGAAATTATATAAAGATCACTTGTGAGAAAATATTTACAACAGCTATGCTGTTTTTTGCAGAGCAATAAAAATGCCAATCAGCTGTAAAAATTCAGTAGTAATATACCAACTGAAGTTATATTTCCTTATTTTAATATTGTACTTCGGAAACTTTTAATATAATTATAAAAATACAGGATTAACGATAAAAATGATCGTCATCGACCAAGCGTGTCATCCCACAAATAAATTATAAAATCCTTCTTTTAAAGATGAAATGAAGAGAAAACGGACTATTGACTATTTTTTTTCAAAACTGATAAAATTTGATGTGTTACTTTTTGTGAGGTATTGCAGACGACAATTCCTTTTCATCGGTATAGCCTTTGCGACGCTGTCACCTTTACGCAAAATATAAACACAGATTTGTCAGAGGCCTTATCAAAATACAATAATAAAATAACCCAACGTAGCTCAAATCACCTTCAACATATTGTATAGACCGTTTTAAAGAGATGCGACCTGCATTAAGGAAGACAAAGAACATAATTTTTAGAGTCTCTTCCGAAAAAATGCACTATGTAATTGAACTTGTGACCTTTTCTCAAATTATCCTTGTCGGGTGAGGATACAGATTTTGCTGTTTTAAACACAGCTCGGATCTTCAGGTCATCTATAACATTGATAAATCATCAAATCAAGAACTTAGATTTTTTATATTTAATGTTTCTGTATTAAAATGTTGTGTGTGTTTTTTTTTTCATATATAGCTAATAAAATATTGGAGCAGATTATCATCTTTATAATCTTAAATATGTTCTTCGAGCCAAAACGTTTGCTAATTTGTCAATAAAAAATTAGCGCAAAACTAATTTTAAATTTACTCATCTATTTGCATTTCTGCAATAGACATAAAAAAAAACATAATACAAAAATGCTATTTTGGAGAAAACATTTCGCTCCAGGAGGGAATTGGGAAGGCCCCCCCCACTTTTTGCAACAGGGAAAAATGTGCCCTTTTTCTGGAATGAAAGTGCCTTTTTTTATGGTGTAGAAATGTCCTTGTTTTAGGTAAAATTGGACTGAAGAAGTTTTTCTTAGATACAAGTAGCCCCGAGAGTAGAACAAAGTCTGTCGGCACCATGCATCATGGCGGGGAGTCCATGCCAAAACTTTTTGTCCGGTAGCTAAGAAATGATATTGTGAACGTTCTGCAAACTGTGGACAACAACACGTTTATATTACTATGTTAAATAACGGTTGGCTGTAACAAGTGACAAAGTTCCTTCGGTTTTCGCTCCTGCTTGGTGTAGCTATATTTTGATCCAACACAACCAAGACCGAAGAAAGTTCCGTGGCGACTTCAACACGGAGATGGCGAGCAACATCGTTTCCAAACTGCGAAAGACGCCCACCGTGCCCAGTATGTTGAAGCAATTGATGCGTGCTTGGCTTCACTACAGGAGCGCTTCGATCAAAAAGCATATTCCGTATTGATGAGCATCGAAACCTTGCTCATTAATGCAGCAAACGGGTGTAAGTTTGAGTTGAATAATGAGGTAGAACACCTTTACGAAAATGACCTCGACTTTGACCAGCTGAAGGCGGAGTTAAAGCTTGTTGAAGGAATTATCTCGCAGCGACATCCAGAAGTAAAGAAGGTGACATCAATTGACACCATAACATCCATATTCTCAACCGAAGAAAATAAATCATTGCAGATCGTCATGGCAATGTCTAATATTGTCCGACTCTTGCAGATTTACCTCCAATGAGCGCAGCCTCTGGAGAACGATCTTTTTCATGCCAGCGGCTTGTCAAGACACATCTCAGGAGCACAATGACGGCAGCACGCTACAATAATCTTATTGTTATGCATGTAAACAAGGCCAGAACTGACGAACTGGACTTACGTTTAATAGCTAAGGACTTTGTTTTCAAAAACGAACGTAGGGTTAGATTTTTTGGGAAATTTTAATGAGATCGCATTACTTAATAAAATTGTTCATGTAGTCATCTTAGTTCAATTTGTTAGCACGTACGCCGAGCAGTATAGAATACGCATAGCATTCTAAGAATGTCTACCAATATTTTGCAGACTTTGAAACTTAATCATGATTCATGAAACAATGCATATCTGTAATATACTAAAACAGTAAGCTGCAAACTCACATGCCCTTTTCGGTCTGTGCCTCCCCCCCCCCCTTTTGAGATACTTCCGCGGTCCCTGTTTCGCTCATGCACCAGAGCAAAACGTTTTTTTAAGCACGTCTTCAAAATGCCACAAAAGTGAGCAAACAAATTTATTTGACGAAAAATTGACCGACTTTTCCTTGACAACATATATTTTTCTATGAGCTCAAACCAGCTCATCATTAGACACGTTCAAAAGATGCCTACGATATTTACACACTAATTTTTACAGATATTTTATTCCCAGTCATTATGCCATACGACTTAATTTGACTGAATGTGCATTTATAACATAATGCATGCACTTAGTATGTGCCCATAGCCTGATACCTTTTGAAGAGTCACTTTCGTCAGCCATATTGAATGAATGCAAATTCTTTTCTTCCTAATGGCAAAAAAGATTGGCAAAGTTGTAAAAATTTGGTTCAGTAAGAAATGATTGTTTGGTCAGTGGTTAAAATAAAATAATTCTTCATTTCCTTTTAAGATTTTTAGTCAGCTAAAAATAGTGAATAGGAAAAACAAGAGAGCGCAGTTTCGACGGTATAATATTTGTACGCTTTTCTATAAACTATGAAAATGTTTTGTTAAAAGTATAATCTCTTCATGACCAAACATCAAATTAAAGGAAATTTTGGTCACAACGACGTCGTGTCGTAAAGATAACTTTAAATTTCGACAAATCAGGGAAGAAACAACAGTTGTTTTAGTCCAGAAAACCACACAATGAATGGCTTGCAAAACCGGCAACTCTGACTATTTTTATTTCTCAAACGTCAAAGTAACTATATATGAAAGTCATCTCTGAAAATCTCAAGTCTTTATTATAATCACAGCTAAATAATCATGATTTTTTCAACTAATGAATACTTTCTAATTAGCAAAATTAATTGACTCGTCCCTTTAACGAATGATGCAATGATAAAACTGTCACTGTGGAAGAACAGCATTTGTTAGGTATGTCTTGTAATTGCTCTAATTGTGGACAGTAATCTTAGCTAAGTAAATCATGATTATCGAAGAAGAGTGAAGACCTTCTAGTTTGAAGTTTAGAAAATGATAAAAGGATATGTGACGTTACACAAAGTGACATTTATATGATGTATAAGCTTATACAAGCTTATACATACATATCTATATAATGCAAAACAGTTTGAAAATTAAAAGTTCAGTGACTGATATGTATATAACTATAATATATATATATTGGTGATTTTAACTTCGTAGCTAATTTCCAAAATATTCAACTGCGTTTTAACTTCCGGCAACGAAATCTCACCCCGTCGTATACACCATATATATACATACAACAGCTAGACTGTTCAAACAATAAAAGTTGTATTATAATCTGGATTTAAGGTTTGCATGGTAATGAAATCCATTGCGGAATGATAAAGAAAAGAAAATCCCTATTTCTACGGAAATGTTTTGCTCGCCGTATCGCCATTGCCTATAAATTAATTCTTTAATGTTTTTTTTTGCGATGGCGAAAAATTAAGACCCTGTTAAGAATTAGGTTTGTAAGAAGAGGTAGAAATAAGATAGAGAAACAGACTCTTGGTGATTAAATCAAATATTGACGCAATATAATTTTCTAAAATTGTATTATACACTAATAGAATTCAAAATTCAACATAATATTTTATATTCTGTTATATACTCTTAATATATTATACAATCAATTAAGTGTATAAAACTTACATAAAGGTCTCCAGTCTTTTATAGTTTCCTAAACTTTTAACTTCTTCGCTGTCGTTTGTTCACTTCGGATTTCAGAACATTCTAAAGACGTAGTCGATAAATACATATATTTAAAAAATGTAAGCAATTTCAAAAGACCAGCAGGAAAGAGATCAAAAGAGTTTGGGAGCTACTATTCAAAAATTAAGTCACAAACGTCATGTTTTTTTCTCAAACCTAAAAGTATTTATCTGAGTTCGTAACTCTATCTTTACCAATTTCTTTAAACATCTATATAACTAGAAGCACTTCACTCTTCAGTGACAATCTTAAATCCTGCTATATCATCGTAATTTACTCAATAATAGCTACTTTCTAATTGGCTAAAATAACTCCTCCCTCCCCTCCCTTGCAATTATAGGAATACAATGATAAACTTGATTTTGAAAAAGAGCTACATTTGTGAGGAAATACATTTTAATTGCTGAGAATTCCAGGTAATTTTCAATCTAAAATTACCTAAAATGGTAGCCTTTGATCTTCTGTTCATCAAGTAAAGATGGTTTTGTTGAACATGAACGATTCTATAATCATAGAAAATATCAAACACTAACTTTATGTAAATATCGAACTCAGACGTTACATAAGTTGACCACTTCAAACAGACTTTAACGAACGAAGTTACGAATGTGTTCTGCCTGATTTCTAAATACCTTAGCTAAGTCATGGCAGTTATTTCTTCACAAACCTCAATTATGCATTAGTTATGTAAAATTATTAAGTAGTGTCTCTTTTGTTTGACAAATGACAATCCAGGCAGTGATTCTGTAATGTTGCATTTTGATTCTTGCGAGAGTTTAAATTAAGGTTGAACATAAATTTTCAAGAAGAAATTAGGTTTAGACAGTTTACTAAAATTTCTTTTATTTTTGGATACATACGACACTCACCAGGTTTTTGCCAAAGTTGATTTGTTAAAGTAGTTGTACGCATTTTAACATGATAGTTATTGCCAGGAGACCTAAATCAAATTGCTAACCAAAAGTTAATAAAAACTGGAAAAAAAGTTATTCTTTATTATTCGTGTATAGTGACAACATTTTGCTTATCAATGATCGAACAAAAACCAAAAATCATACAACTTGGTTCATTTATAATTATTAAATAGAGAAATAACATGTATAGTAATGACAATTCAATCGTTAAGTACACTAAAATTATTTACGAAGAAAAACGGATGGGTTATTTTCACTTTTTCTATTATCCTCGTTTCATTTATGAGAAAAGAAATCAGAACGTCAGCGGTAAGATATGTAAGGTTTTCATTTATGTGATATATGGTTAGTTACAGCTTGTTTTTTGCTCAATTAAGTTACATATTCATAATTATTGAACTATTGGATTATTACATTATTGATAAGTAATATGAACTTTAGGGAATATAAATTAATACGTTAAAATCAAATGAAATGTACGTTTTTATTGACAATCGTTCTTTTGAATTGGTTCTTTAATTCGTCCATTATAATTTGAACTTGGATAGTTAAAAAAAAATTAAATAAATGGATAAATGTTAAATTAATGAATAAGTTCAAACTAATGCATACGGTTACATAGAAGGTAAGTATTTTGCAGGAAAAATTGCTTGGGAAAGAAATTGGGATATTAAACAATCTAAGGAATTCATTCAATTTTACGACTTTTTCCATAAGTTCCAATTTTTCCAAAGCATCTTTTAATCTCAAGCAAATGTAGAACGTCTCCACTTTTCCGTTTTGGTCTTTCTTCCTCAATTCAGCAACACCATATGCCAAAGGTCGTTTTTGGTTGTCTTCATCATCACAAAAATACACAAGAGATCCTGAATCTCCGTCCATTAGAAATTTAACATCACTTTTTACCAACACTGCGTTACAAAATACGGGTCTTCCGTCGTCGTCATCAAAATTAAACATTAGATCCTCAATGTTTCCAAAACGTGCCACTGGATCGCATGTAAGGAATATCATCGCGTTCCACTTCGAGTCGCTTGTTGGATAGAGGTCGAACCTTCCACACCTTTGACGGGTCGTTTGGTCGGAATTCGATGTACTTTGAAGCTTGCCAACCAAGTTTCTCGTTGATTTCTTGTTTCATATTATGATCAGTTATTCCGTTAGCGTAATCAACGACCATGTACAAGTGAAGATATGGCATCTGGTCAGTTGGACCCGTTGTTCCACATTTTCCACAAAACCAATCAAAGCTGCAAATGTGGAAAAATCACGGAAAGATTGAACAATAAAGCAGAAAAATATCTTCGCGTGGATAAAAACTCAACTGGAATTGAAGGAATATCAAAAAAACACAAATAGTAAGATTTACCTTTTCAATTTCTTATGCACGTCATTGCTCATTTTGAAATCGTCGGTGAGAAATTTTTTTTTGAAGAATTGAAAGTCATCGGTACCTACATATCCTCAGATAGTTGCATAAAATTAATATCAACGGTTAAACATGCAATCCATGGTAAATAAAGTGTCGATTTTACCTGTAATTTCCGATGTCAACCGAGCACCAGTTGATGTGACTGGATTCTTTTCTATCAATACAAATTTATGATTTTTAGTTGTTCTGAGTGTGCACTGTTTTCAAGTCTAAGATATTTGCCATATTTGGTATGACGGCATCCATGTTTATGATACCCAGCCGCGTGTTAATAAAATATAGTAATTTGGATGTGGTTTCCCGTTCAGGTAATTAGTATACAGAACAGTGACAACAACGCGCTGAATGCAATATTTGTTTTATGTTTTACCACGCGTGCATAAACGTACCAGAGGGTATAAATATGCTATAAATACTGCATTTTATACTCATCTGAAAGGTAAAAGTTGTTAACATAATTGAAATAAATTTAGTTTTTTTAACATATTTTAATATGTGGTATCATATTTGATACCAGCGGTATTACAGTAAACTACATTAATGTAAATTGCTTTGCAATGAAAATAATAATTAATTTTGAAAAAAGAAAGTTGGTTAAGTAAAGGTTTTATTGAACATTACTTTGTTGAGGGGAAAAACTTTTTACTTATAAAACTATTTGTTATTAATACATCGTAAAACGTTTATATAATTAGCTTCTATAATAAATGAAAATACTAACCTTGGTCAAGGTCCATAGGTACTGCAATGTAGAGGAAAATAAATATTATTTTCACATTTACTGAAGACATGTCAAATTAACTACCTTATTGTTGAAAACTGAGAACTATATAGACAGAAAAGCTTTCATAAAATTAATTAATTTTTCTTCAATTCATACAAAAAAAGATGCACAAATAACAATAAACATTATCGATATTGTTATATTGCATGACTATACTACGAACAAGGAAAATATAACTGAGCTGTAAAACTTTTCAGAGAGCTGTACAAATATACTACACAGAGCTGTCACTAACTAACAATACTATTGGTTTATTATTGATCTTTTCATTTTCCTCGACAGTTCCCAGTAAAAAGTTCATCACGTGCTAGAGTTGCATAGTTAAGCAATTTTATTTCTGCAATAATTACAGTGTGCAAATTAACGGTGTGCAATGTTCAATTTGCACATCGTTTTAGCTAAAATGAAAACAATTGCATATCACTTTTTCAAATGATGTGCAAAAATCTGCGGTTTTAACGAAAAACACTGTCGTAAATCATGAATTTGTTCACGTTTAAAAATATTAATTTAGCAATAAATATAATAAATAACGTAATCATCGATTTGATTATGTCTCTAAAGAAACACTTTTATCAAAAAAATTGCACATCGTTTTTTCTGAACTAATTCGCACACAAAATTATGACGCCAGATTAATGTACTGAATGCAGGGTATATACTACACATAGTGACTCTTCCCAATATATTAGTTACAACGCTTTTTTAATCATGGAGGGCAGTGAAAAGAAAACTTTTGCACTTTATAATATTCACATGAATTTCCAACATGTTTACCTTGTTGACGTTTTAATTTCAAAGACGTTTCCACTACCTCTGAATCAACACAAACAAAACAAGTCATGGTTAAGTTATAGGTTAAGTTGCTATTGAATGTGAGCGTTAATATATTGTAGATTAAACTCGCTCAGCCGGATAACTCGGCTCCATATAAACAGGCCCTAAGAATAAAAATTATGCAAGTATTTAATTTACGTGTCTTTCCATCAACTGTAAAACAGGAGACGCAAAAAGATTGAAACAAGTTGAGTTGCAATCACTTTAACATAGGATAAGAACTTTCTAGTAGGCATAAATTTCACAGTTCGAAATTGTTATGAGACCATCCGGCAATTGCGATGAAATATGAGTTATATTTGATCCCATTTATCTATGCTTCAAGACCTGATATTTAAATTCTGTTTAAACAATATTACTATTTTGAAACATTGAATTCATTGATTGACAACTTGTTTTGTCATGATACTTTGAACTCCTGATACTAACAACAGAATTGTCATTATTTTTAGGGGATTGAAAAAAGGTTTAAACGTTTTGTAAATAAGAAATATGATAAAAAGGCAGTGCATAGAGTGTCATCACAGACATGATGTCTGCCACTCCCTTTTTTTGCATAGCCTAATTTCTCGGACAGATAAAATAACTCACCTTCAATGTTGCAAACAGACCAGTGAGACGTCTCACAGAAAACTGTACAGCTCAAGATTAGTGCAAACTAGATAGACAGTAATGAGTAATTGTAAACAAACATTAAAAATATGAAAACTATTAGTAAGAAATAGCTTTAGATGCACTTATGTAAGAAATTCTCTTTTCAATAATACAAAAAATCAAGTGCACCTTTACGTGAAAATACGATCTTTGGCCGACTCTGGCCAGCAAGGGTGTAAATTTTTCCAAAGCATTCTTTACACTTTCAATGTGTTGTTAAGCTTTAATGCATAATCCCATGTGCAATACTTGTGTTTTGGACTGTTTGTGAACAGCTTGGTGCAACTGTCTTTCTTGAAAAGATGGGTAAATCTTAGTTAAAATGTCCAAAAAGGAGTTAGAAAAAGTTAGCTTACCCCTACGACTTAAGTCGACTGGAAACATATTATAAGTAGGTATGTAATTTTTTTCAGTTTTTTTTGGTAGGATTGATTCTGGGTGTCTTATAAAGTATTATGATATTCTGATAAATCTAATGAGAACTTATGAAGAAATTATCTTGAACTAAGAAAGCAAAAGAACGAAATTCAGAAATTCTATAATCATGTTGCTGGTTCTGTTTTGAGCCAAGATATTAGAAACTGGATTGTCATTGAAAACCATGGATCTACTACTGAACAGAACTACATTACTTTCCCATTGAAGATACGATTTCTTAAATTAAAGTACATTGGTTTCTCTGACATAACACTTTTCTTATTGATAAAAGTTTTTGTGCTTGGCATTGATATTTTATATAATCGCAATTGTGGTTGTCAAATTCGGGTAGGCGAAAAAAAATCATATTTTATGAGCCCGCGTCTTTCCGCTGACTTTGACAACCAAAATCCGCCATGTTTTTGACCACGCGGCCGCGCGCTAATAATTTATAGTAATTTTGTTGACGTTCCCCTCCAGGTCTTATAGAACTCAATGGCCATATATCATTGGCGATATTAAATTTAAGTGCGATTTCTAGCGTATCAGTAAAAAAGTTTTTGATTCAATCAAATTATACCATTTTTATGGCGGTTTTAAAGTTGTGAAAATGCCCTTTTTGATGGACGATGTTCGTCTTCAATTATGGGAATGCAATACATTTCCAATGACCAATTCAAAGCCATATGAATAAAATTGTTCATGTATCGTCTGTTTTGTCATATCAAATTAAAAAACGAATAAACACGTGGCGGAGGAAATAAGAATTTCATATTTTTACTATGTCTCTAAAGTTAAACTAGAGTATTTTGTATATCCTATAATTCTTCTTAAGTCGATATTTATTGATAAAACTTACTTTTTAAATTTGTCTTCGTTGTAAAACGTCTTCCTGCCAAATTATGTAACTTAGCCAGTGTCGGGATTTATGTATAAACGTTTGCAGATAAATCCATGACGACGGTTGTCTACCAATGAAATTCCCTGAAATAGAAACGTTTAACAAATTGCCATGTTTATTTAGAAATTTCAATCATTAGTATTTAAACTGAAAACTGACAGTTTTCTCTCTTTATAGGCCCGTTTACACGAGCAATTTTAACATGAGAATTTTTATGCGACAAATATATTTGACCCATAAAACGACACAAAAATATATGTAAATATGTCTGTTCGCATGGCGATTGATGTATTGCGCCCATTGTAATCATGAACAGTTACATGTCCATACTTCATTTTACGACGTACTATTAAAGCAAAGTTTGTGCAAAAATGGCGTTGACCAAGGCCGAAAAACTTCAAGCAGTAGCTATTATTGCATCTCTAATGGTGCACGAAGTGAAAAAAAACGAAAGTCACGACGATGTTGTGTAAAACCGTGGAAAACTGCGCAGCGCAGATACGCACAAGGGTTAGCACAAATATATTTGACAAATATATTTGACCCATAAAACGACCCAAAAATATATGTTAATATATCTGTTCGCATGGCGATTGATGTATTGCGCCCATTGTAATAATGAACAGTTACATGTCCATACTTCATTTTACGACGTACCTTTATTGCATGTTTGTGCAAAAATGGCGCTGACCAAGGCCGAAAAACTTCAAGCAGTAGCTATTATTACATCTCTAATGGTGCACGAAGTGAAAAAAAACGAAAGTCACGACGATGGTGGGTAAAACCGTGGAAAACTGCGCAGCGCCGATACGCACAAGGGTTAGCACAAAATTTAATTCAAGAGATCCGAGTGACTGACCATGATGTATTTAGAAATTTGTTTCGGTAAGTTAAGAAATGTGATAGTCTTTTTATTCATGCACTCTTCAAAATTAAGCTAGTCTAGGGATTGTACAATCAATTCAAATTTTACGTTCTTTTTTTAACAATGAAATTTTCTTATTTTCTTTACTTTTATTTACAAATTATAATCTTTACTACTTTTAAGGATGGATTCCATTTTGTTTGATGAGCTATGTGAAAAGTTAACACCATTCATAGCAAAGAAAAACACCACTATGAGAGATGCTATATCTGTTCATGATCGCTTGTGTGTAACATTAAAGTTCTTAGCATCAGGATGCTCATACAAAGATTTGATGTACAGTTTCAGAATATCAGTTTCATCTATTTAAAAAATCATACCTGAGGTCTGTGAAGCTTTGTATAATGTGCTGAAGGAAGAATATTTAAAGCCATCCACAACAAAGCAACAATGGTTACACATTGCTGATGAATTTAAGTGCAAATGGCACTTTCCCCATGCAGTTGGCAACATTGATGGTAAACATATCAACTTGCATGCACCTCCAAACTCAGCCTCTGAGTACTTTAACTATAAAAAACATTTTAGCATAGTCCTCTTGGCTATTGCAGATGCAAATGTTAAGGTGGAACATCGCTTTTTAAAGATATCTGAAATATAAGCATTGGAAATTAGACAAAAGGAAAGAAATTAAAAGATTATGGAGATATACATTAATTCTTTTCATAAAAAAAAACAAGAAAAATAAACAAAGATTATGAGATTATGATAAGAAGCAGTAAACTACAGAAAACGAACATACAGCAAGAATTTGACGACAAGTAACATAAGACGAAATTAAACAAGAGCAGTTTCATAAAAAGATCAGAGCGATTCTCACATCACCACGTTGTTTAATTATGGTAGGAAATCAGATCTTTAAAGGTGAATACCAAAGTGGAAGGGGGATAGTACCAATTATTAGAAAAGAGAATACAATTTAGGAATATAACTACAGTGATAGCGAGCTGTGAAGATCGACCTTACTTTGTGACAAAGGAATGGTTACTGGAAAGATCGACCTTACTTTACTTCGCGAGCAAAAAATGTTGTTAAGGGAGATCTTGATTTCATGCAAAAAATTTGAAAATTTGAAAATATTGAAAAACATGGCAAGACATGGCATGGTTATTTCTTGAAAAACATGGCAAGACGTCTGTAAATCAACTGAGACGGGCAAAAATTAAAAGAAAAAAAAGTTTTACTAACATTTCCTTTGATGTTAGGTGGAGGTGTCTGAGATTGTATTTTACCGATCTAAAATTGTTTAACGTAATGTTAGATTCACATAACCACGTGATCGTGACAATTTCCTCATGAACCTACCTCCCATGAAAGCTCTTTTTTGATTGGATCAAATAAATAGGTACCGACTGAAAACATGGAACACAAGTCATAAATGTTAATGAGAAACGTCAATGAAGAGCAATGAAACATCAGACTGTAATGTTTAATATTTTATGAGTGTTTTTACCGTTTGTAGTCAAGTTAAGGTTGAGAACTTGTTTAAGAAATGGAACAGTCACGACAACATTCTCGATCTAAATAAGATATGGAAACAATGAGTGAAAAGACTTTGAAAAAGTTAGTGTATACAATATTTGACTTGGTATGATTACGTTAGGACGATGTAGTTGGTTTTATATAAAATGCTTTGAGATAATACGTATGAAAAAAGTTTAGGTTATATCTTTAAGTCTATAAATGCAAGAAGATGCAACAGCAGTTTAATAAATTGACATGATTATAAATACATACATTTTTACCCATAGTTTCTAGAGGGGTTGGAACCCACCCCTACATAGACATACCCACCCCTACATTTGGGTCCAAAATTTCCTTACCCACCCCTACATACGAGCCGGAAAAAAATTCGTTTTTTTCTACGGGAAAGCTGATTTTAGACTTATTTATGGTCTCTCTATGCATACTATATACAACACTGATAAAGTCTATGTATTCACTAATATTGTCAATCAAGCAATCAGTCAATGGCTGATGCAATCAATGGCTGATGCAATAACATGGTGTCAAATTAGGGAGATATTTTTGGTCCCTTATAGGGTAATATGAAGATAGATGATGCAATAACATGGGGGCAAAAATTGAGTGATGTTGAACTTTGAAGTTATTAACTTTTTTTATCATAGATGCATTTCATCTATTTTTTAATTTTTCTAATAGGGAAAATCTTGGAACCCACCCCTACATAGACATACCCACCCCTAGTTTATAACCCACCCCTAGAAATTCAAAATTTTTTTGACCCACCCCTAGAAGGCATTTTTGAAAATTCCAAGACCCCCCCTAAATTTAGGGGGGGTAGAAACTGTGTTACCCATAACTGATTTTGAACTTATCGACAATTCAAATCTTCCACTTCCACCCTGAAACAACCAAGTGAAAGACGATCATCGAATCAATGTTTTGAACAGTCGTACAAATTAAAAAGCAGCAAAATCAAACACTTTAATTAATTTTAATCAATAAAAAACAAATATCTTAAAATGATTTCAGCAGTTGATAAACCTCTTGAAACAAGACACAAGGCTTTGCGAACAATGGTAGCATATTTACTCTAAACAAAAAAAACAAAAAATACCATCAAAATAGACAATTTCACCATGAAAGTATAACTGATAAAACACCCACCCGGTTACCACGTTATATGATATTAAACGAAAACGACCATCCAGGGGGACGAATGACAAAATTTATTCAGACTAAAATAGACAGACATTTGAAGCAGTCGCGTTCAAACGCAGTTTTAGTGCAAGATTGAAAGAAAAGTGTTCAATGTAAAAAGACAATTGTTATTAGTCATATTAAGAATAATTTGTCTCCACTTTGATCAGAGACAATCCATATTCAACATTCACACTTACGTACCTCCCATCTTCTGAAGCGAAGACAAGGATGAAAACTGACATCTTCAAGGATACGAGGATTTGTAAAACACATGTTGAGATCTATAATTAATACAAATCTTTAATCTAAAGATAAATTCAATTTTAATCTAGAGATATAACAAAGTATTATAAATACACCAGGCATGCCAGATAATGTACAGTTGCAGTCAATCTGAAAGAACAAAGTTGAAAAAAGGTGAAAAAATGTTTAAAATGTTGTACTAGAGAGTACATATAACAAAGTATAAAAAAAGAAAGGCACTTACAGTTCCTTGTATTTCTGAAAATATGGTGGATCCCTACACAAAACAGAAAATTTTAGGAATTTAAACATGCCATAAGTTTTCAGTTCGTACATGTCCTTAGTTTTAATTTAACATCAAACAAAAACAACAAACATATTTTTGTCATACATCTTCCACAAAGGGAACAAGAAATCCACAGTATTATAATGTTGTTACCTGTTTATCAATGATGGCATCAATGCTTTCCGCTACATCAAAATAAATCTAAAACATAAATAGAATTAATTAGAAATACTTAGGACTAATTTGTGATAATTAGAATTAATTGGAACTAATTATGAATAATTAGAACTAACAACTAATTAGCAATATTTATTACAACTAATTAACAAAAGAAAAAAGTTCACTCATCACATTACAACTAAAACAAAGCATAAAAAAGGAATTTCTTTCAAATTTCTTAATGGAACAATGTGAATATAGCTACATACCTCATTATTTGCATATTTTACACCAGTTCTCCTCCATGGAAAATTGGACAATTGACCAGTTGGAAGATGACTGCTCATACTAGGAAAATATGAAATATTTAACTTAAATTATATGTAGAATGATCATAAATGTGTAAACTAAAACAAATTTAACTAAATATTGTAGTAAGTTGCATATAAATAACATAAAAATGTTTAGTGGTTTTATGGATTTGCTTTATATTTATATCTGATCCTTATATGAACAACAAATAGATCACTACATAAAAACATGGCTTGTATGTTTACCATAAGGAAGGTTCTTACTTGCTGTCTCAAGTCACTTTATTAACAACATTTCTAACTATACTAGGAGGTCTTATCAACTCTTTAAGGACATTTGACTCTGTAGCAAGAGGGAATCCATTATCCAACATCTCTTCCAATAACTGAAGAATATAAAGATATAAAATCATATTTTACATCACACACAACAGAAAAAAATTGAAATTCATCTATCAAACAGCTGGATTCTCTACAAAATATACTAATCTCAAATCTCACATACAATGACACAATTTTCTTTAATGATTGTTTCAGTACAGTCAGAGAAATATTCTATGATCAAGTCAACCACTTGATGAAGAAATTCAATCACAAACAAAGGTGGAACTGGAAAGGAATGTTTTCAATTCATCAATAATAATAATCATGAAAGTATTCACCACATGTTGATGATATGAAAGCTAAATTATTTTTATTTACCTCTAAGAATGCCTAATGCAATGCCTTTTGTTGAGTGATAACACTTCTTTGCAATGTAATGCATACTTTCTAAATTAAAACTAGCAATCAATCTCTTGATTGGATTAGAGGCAATTGATTCAAAATGAACATTAATAAAACATTAACTAACCTCAATATAAACACAAACCTTAATTTTCAACAACAGAAACAAAGAAGAGATCATGGCGAAATATACTGATGAGATAACTGAATCCTGTTGCAATTACAGGAGGAATGTCTTCTGGAGAAGTAGCCTGAACATTTTTGTAATACAAATATAACATGAAAATTGTTCATGAAAGTACCTTAAAATTTCTCAATCAAACAAGCACAAACAATAATTTACACATAAATTCATTTACCTTTCCTTGAGCTTCAAAGAAATAATCACAAACAGAGCGTCCCAAAACACTTCCCCCAATTTTTTTCCAGAAATATATCCCTAAATGTACATGAAATTGATGAAAAACATCATATGACCTAGTGACTCACAGTAACCCATTTGGTGTAAAGTTGTGATAACTAAAAAATTGAGAAAGCTGAAATCATCAAAATGGCATCGTCTAACTGACTTCAATACTATTAAAATTACAGATATCAGGTAATATCTCACGATTTTTATGACATTCTTTATTTTTTCTGGGTATTAATCCTGTCACATGATACTTCTCATAATCTACATTCACTGGCTTCTGACAATGTTCAAGCTCTCCTTCAATATCTTACTGAAACTAATCTCATTTTACCTCATTCAAATAATTGTAAAGTACTTCTCACAAAATGACAATCTGATACGTACAAAACCAACAGAAGAGCTTTGTAAGCAAACAAATATAAAACCAATACATCACTGTCGGTACTGTCGGTACTGTCGGTACTGTCACTACCGACTCACCCTGAATGGTTGATGATAAACAAACTGTGAATCATTGTAAAATCCACAGATAATAAAACCTATAAAAATGTATTTCTCCTTTACTTAACTAGCTTAATGGTTATAAAACTATTTTCATGTAAGTTCATTTCGTAAATATTTATTTATATTATTGCCAACATTTAACCAACATTTAAAAGCGATGTTTCCATTTACAAAAAATTAAGATTCATGTAATCATCTTACTTGTCCCCAGACTGAAGACACAACGGCCTTTACCAGCTGGCTTACCTAACTTATCTTTAATTATGGTCATGAAGATTTTCGTCTCAATCCCATTGATCCTAATTGATAACATGTCAATGAATTGGAAGAGTCCCAAACAGTTATAAAATATAACGACAGATAAAATATAATGCACTAGGTACAAGGAGAGATGTTCTGTTTAAGTCGATATTAATTTTGTTTAGAAAAACGTGTTTCGAGATAGGAATGGACCGTGACTTCTTTCAGTTTTTTATGCACATGCTACAGAGTCCCCGCAATCTACAAACATGCTAAAACCTTAAAAATAGACTGCATTCTGGAAAATAACTTTGTTCAAATCCTGAGTTTAATAAATAAGTCTCATTCTACTCACTACAAACGCCCTGCAGTGGGCTAGCTGTTCGAATTTTGAAAGCTGGTCATTTGCATCATACAATACGATTTACACCAAAATGCTGAAAATCTTCCTTCTTAGCAATGTCAATGTACATAATATCCACATCCTTATTGGACAACCCTTTCTTTGCTAACGGATGCACTTTAGTGAAGTCTTGCTGGCGATGGTTATTATATTTTAATAACAACCATCACCAAATCAAAGAACAACAAAATCAAACAAACCAAAATCACAACACGAAATCAAACAACAACAAAAAAACTTGAACGTTTAAAACGCACTAAAACACGTACAAGACATAAACATGACGATAACTGGGTGAGGAATATTTCTTCTCCTTAGCTTGTTTAAAAGGTCTGTTCTGCTCCTTTTTTGTGAATGAGAAAAGTTTATCGAGCATTTTTTCCGAATATTCATTTGAGAGAAATATTTTTTCAATAAGTTGAGATCACTCTCAATGAGCTCCTCTGATGACAGTCTGATCACAGTCTTTCCGCTGTGTGAAGAAAAAGAGTCAAAGCGTGTGTACAAACCCGTAAAAGTTGCCTTGTGACGAATGCTTGTAAGGAATTGACCATTGCATTTATGGACAAGAACATCCAAAAACGCTAACTGACAATTTGATTCAAGTTCAGACGAATAATTTAAAGAAGGGTGACGAGAACAGAGTTTATATAAAAATAATTGGCGATTTTTGTCAATTATTCATGAACTGGTCCAAGAGGAGAGCCCATAGCCACCCCAACAATTTGTTTCTACATGATAACATTAACTCTCCAAAAGCCTCCTCGGACATGTGAGGTACAGCCATGTCCGAGTGAAAAAAAAAATCAACACAGATTTCGATGGTTTCTTCTAAGGGCACATTTGTAAAAAGACCGGTTACATCAAAAGAGCACATTGTCTGTTTTGATGTAACCGGTCTTTTTCTATAAAATTATGGAGAAAAAAATAAAATGTTTTATTTTTTTCTCCATAATTTTATATCTGCATATTTTGTGCATAAACAATGTTCTATTTTTTTGGGACATATATTATAATTCGTGGATTGAGTTAGAAGAAATACTTAAAAAGGAAACTTCCTACAGTGAAACAAAATCCAAGCATGACAGAGGAGAAAACACGACGCCAGGTTAAAGATGGCGTAAGGAAATTCAACGTAGTTAAAGCACGTAGTGTATGCTTGAGAGTTTTAGATAAGGACTCCTTGACAATCAAAAACACAAATGGTTCCAAGCATGTTTACAACAGTTAAAGATCCAGTTGTATGAGTTGATTAGTAAAAGTAACGAGGTGAGCAATTTTCTAACAACTTAAACCTTAAACAACTTCCCTTCATACATATTTGACAATCATGTTCACCGCTTCCTCAACAATATATTTGAACCCAAAGATCTTATTCACACTGCTCCTAAGAAAATCATGTACTTTTGTCTTCTTTTCACTGGCCTACACTGTCTTCAGATTCGCACTCAAATCACTCGACTTGCAAGGCTGCCTTTCCTCATATCAACGTTTGCTTTGTTTTTCGTTCTTCCAGACGTCTCTCCTTTTTCTTTTCTTTTAAAGATAGGGTTCTCAAGCTCAATCTCCTGAGATCTGGTGTTGTATACTCATTTAAGTGTCGATGCTGCTCTGCATCGTATGTGGGTCAAACCACGCGTCATTTACACACCAGAATATCGAAACACTTGGGAATCTCACCCTTAACAGGGAAACCTTCCTTATGTCCATCACTATCTGCAATTCTTTCCCATATAAGAAATACATCTCACTCTGCCGATTTTACTGACTTCTCAATTCTCTGTTCCTCCTCCGTCAATTATGACCTTATGATTCATGAAAGCCTTCTTATATCCAAACTTAAACCCTCTCTTAACACCCAAGGCAACTCAATCCCCTTTAACCGTCTTTAATATACCGCCCTTCCCATTTAATTCCGTCATCTAAACTTTCTACTCCCCTCACATGTAATTTAACACCCTGTAATGTATGCTTGTATTTAAGACCTCATGTATATAATTTATCTCAAATAATGTGAAGATGTCTTAAGTTAAAGACGAAACGTAATTATTAAAAAACTATATATCTTTCTTTATTTTATTACTGATGGCTTTTTTAAAAGTCTTATGTTGGGCTATTATGTTCATATTGAAAAGTCGCTCTCCGCCTGGAAAATCTCTGGCCACAACCTTGAATACTTCTTATAAAGTCGTGAACTCATGTTTTTATAAAGGTCGATATATTCTAGTTACTTTTACCACACAGAAGAGAACACAAAGTTAAGCGGCTCGAAACTAAGAAGTTGTTTCTTTATTTACATTAATGTTCATAACACCTATCGCTGATAGAAATAACGCAAAATAGTTCACATAAAAACGACAAATCGAAAGATTGACAAAGATAAAGCCAAGACAAGACTTCCCAAAAGTAATCTTTATTAAAAGGTTTATTTACGTGTCAATTTACAACTCTGATACTAACACCATCGTCACAGAGAATGCACAGAATACTAACTTAATTAACTATACCACTGACTATACGACAACTTACTCCCTGGATAAATATTCATAGGATAACGATTTACGAATGATTAGTGGCTAAAAAATATGGCCGCCGACCCCCGTCTCGCGTTCTTAGGAATTTAATCTTCAATTCAGAAATTTCTAGAGTTGGCACTAATACAATGTTGTAATATTTAAAGGTAAAATATACAAGAATTCAATTAAAATAACGAAACATGCATGAAGGCAATTAATAAGCTAAAGTCCCTGTGCAGTATTCATACTTTGAAGTTCCATACACACCAATGATACACACTACAATAATATAATCAATGTAAATAAACTGAGAATGTAGATCTTGACGTAACAAGTAACAAATGACTGAAAGAGACAGATCTGGCTAAGTATTTAAAAGACTGAAATTCATAAATGCAAGCTTGTGGCTTAAAACATACCATCTTTTGTCTCAAGAAAAATGCAACACAACTAAGCCTAAATAGACAAAAATTCAACAACTTTGACTTCGTCATCATTCTTTTAACAATTTCAAAGTTGCAGCAAAGGAAATACTAGGAAATGGTCACAACCTCACATAAAAGCGTCATTTTATTCAAATATTACCAATCTCCCCAATTCACTAAGTTGTTCTTTTTATGAGTATCAATCTTTTACCCTTTGCAGTGGTACTGTAGTGACGTACATAAACTAAATAACGTTCTAGTGCATTGAACTCACGCTCGGAGCTCATACGAAAGACTTATACAACGCTAAAGTAGAACGGATTTTGAGCACAGATCGAGCAACTCCTTAATTGCGTTACAAGTCATGACATCCATATTATATTGTTATATATAGTTATATGTATTGTTATACATTGTTATACTTGAAGAAATGCTATGTATTACTAAATTACACATGTTAAAATTTATTGTATATTTTACATAAGAAGCATGATGTATGGAAATCAAATCTAAATTTCATTCGCCTTCAGTTATAGATCGTTAGTCATTTGAAGACAAAAAAATAGTTAATTATATAACATTGTAAAATCCAATGAAAATTCATAGCAATCTGGCCATGTAATATCCAACTTGGTTACTTAATCTAACATGCTTAAGAGCCTCAAATTAAAACATACATAAAAGAGGATCTTGAATAGTTGTATCATTGATTTCCTTCTTGCCAATTGCTTTCCCATAAACCTCTTTTGCAGACAATAAAAAGACTTCATTGATGTGGCACATTTTAGCTTTAAATTGAAAACGATAATGTTCTTGTTTTTCCATTCGTCATTTGATCTGACCATTTACACTTAGGATAAATCATGCAAAGAAAATCAAATAAGTGAAATGAGCTGCTAAAAGGATTAATAACTCTAATCGAAAACTCTCTTCTTTTTCTAGGCAAGCATTTTTCGCAATTTCAGCATTAATGCATACGACGTGAAAGCATTTGCTGACTTAAAGCAAAAGATACGCAATATTTACTATTGCACATGCATTCTTTACAAGTTTGACAACATAATAAGCTATAAGCTTCTTTTTACCATACGATAAAAATATGCCAAAGTCTCTGAATCACCATGATTCGTAGGTACTCGTCACTATCTTTGGATATCGGACAAATCGTTAGTCTCGTCTAAAGATTTTTGACTATTGCTAGTACTATCACACATGCTTGAACCGTTATTTTCAGTTGCACAAAATTAGAAAACGACGCACCAGATACAAGTGAAGAGATTACGACTTTTGGTAGAATATTTGAGAAAAGTGACACGTACACAGCATTAGTTTGTTGTTACATAGCTATTTACCGTTAAGATCAGCGTAGTCAATAACAGCTTCGCTTTTCTTTCCCTTGCCTTCTTCAAGTTTTACAGGATGTTCACTGTCTAAAAAATGTTTGCAATGGCAATATACAGAATTTAAAACATATTTGCATTAAGTACAGTAAATGAAGAGGAGAACTAGAGTGAAAATAACAAATATAGTGTCACGGTCCCTTAATTTATAGCTTCGCCATCAAAAATAAAAACTCATTTCTGTGTCTTACTTGGAAAATTTCCTCTAGATCAGGTCTTGCCTTCCAGGCTCTCAATCTTATGGCTCTGTGAACTAGATAAGGCAGTTCCTCAAAAAGTTGAAGAAAATACTCTTGATAGTTTCCATCTTTAACACATGATGACAGTTGTGGACGAGGTTTATCATGCCAATGCTGGCGAACGTTTCGTAAAAATCTTAGGCAACCTAACCATGTAGAGTCGGATACTTTATTGAAATGATAAAAGAATTCAGGATCGATACGGTCCATCCAATTTATTGAAAGATTCAACTGCTCACGAAGATTTGAGGGAAGAGAATGTGGAGATGATGTCTTTATTTCTGGTTCATTCCCAACAAAACACAAAAAATCGAAATTCTCCTTATCGGTTAGTAGATAAGGGTGTTTTAACGCTTCGTTGGCCAATGGTCTGTCTTCCGGTTTTAGCTGTAACATCCACGATAAAAGGTCTTTGAGCGTGGCATCTTTGATTTCGTCCAAGCCAACTGGGTCTCCTTTCAAAATGTTGTCCAGTCTATGCCGTTCAATTCCAAAAGGATGTTTCCCCTTTGTTGCAACATAATAAGCCACCATTCCGGCATTCTATTTTCAATAAAAAACGTAGTTAATTTATTTGATACTTGCAAAAATACAAGTTCAGTTCAAAAAAAATCAGCAAAATGTTCTCCAATTAAGAGTCGTAGCCAATCTAAATGAGAGACATACAATCGTAAAACCAATAAGGCAATAACAACAATTCATTATCATACATATACATATTTTTATATTTTATACAGTACATGATGTATTTCGCCACTATATGACTGTACAATAGAGGTAAACAAAAATTATATTTAAAAGTGATAATGATATCAGTGGCAGTGATAATGATATCCCTACCAAATACAACATTCAAATGCAAAAACAACATTGACCTGTAGTTGGACCTCTATTTCTACTTCAAGAACTTACCATAATGTCAGACTCTTTTTTGTAACGAACTTTATTAATTGTATCATCTGATGCGTTATATGACTCTGGAGCTATCCAATATTTAGCTCCTCTTTGTATGCTCCAATGTGTCGAAGTTTCATCAGATAACATATGACTTATACCAAAGTCAGCGATTAAAAAATTTCCTTGTACATCTCGAAGAACGTTCGAGGGTCTTAAATCCCGATGAAGAATAGGACACAGACCGCTGTGAAGATCAGCTAAACCTTTTAAAATCTGCATAAGAATTCTAGGAAGTGCTTTTAGAAGATATTGCAAAGTAGAAGATTTCACAAAACTTTTTAACGATTCTTCACACAAATCTAATATCAAATACAAATAATCTGTGCCTGGTTCTTCTTCAAGATGCCAATAATTCACAACATAATTTGAACGCTTGGAATTAAACTCATTCAAAATATCTTTTTCTCGTTTGGCTAACTCCGCGCAGTTATCTCAAAGCAATCGTTTTACTGCTTTTCCGTAACCATCTTTTCCGAGTCCAAGGTAAACACGAGTTCCATCACTTCCTTTACCAAGCAAAAACTCTTCAGAACAAATAACCTTTACACCATTTACAAGTTTAACGTTTCTTGGATTTTTCTGCCCATATTCTTCCATCATTCTGAACTTTTGCTGGTGCATTATTGATTTATCATAACATTTCCATGGTTGAGACAGCAATTCTTCAATTAAAAAGTAAAGTAGACTATTTAGAAAGGAATAAATCAATGTATCAAGAAGCAATTTAATTTTCTAATTATACGCACATCAAAAAAATGTGGCTATTAGACAAGATTTGAAATACCTACACCACTTTGCCCGTTAAGGTGAACAGACTTTTATATTTAGCTACTGAATAATGACATAATAACATGTTTGCCTTGTCTTGAGTTTATTTATATTAACAGCGTATTTCCTGCTCCCAAACACACGGATGAGGGATATTTAGTTCAAAGGACGTTGAGGGACGTCAGGAACGTTTCACTTTAAATGCGAAAACATTGAGATTGAAAAATCAAAGATGAAAGCACCTGTCGAGGTGAAAAGAGTTCGGAGAATTAAAGAACCTAATGTTTTTAAGGTTACCTTCTGAAAAGCTTGTGTTTTTGACCAGAATTATTGGCTTTTATTGGCTATCAATAATCAAATAATATGTTTCTCAAAGATTTTCTTCTAACAGTCTTAGATTGTTGACATATAGTATCTTAGGATAGAATACATTCAAAAACGAATATTGTTTGAGGTCAAATATCTTTCTTCTGGAGAAAACACTTTTTCTGCCAGAACTTTGGCGAAGTGACCAACAGACAAGGCATTCTGTCTCACTTCAAGGCAAAACTTGTCAAGTTCGGTGTTGCTTGCCGATTCGTCGATTTCTTCCAGAGAGGAATATTTATGAATAGTCGTTTTTCTCCCATGTTTCATAAAAAGATATAAATCCGTTGCCTTCAAAATGTTGAACGAATTTTACTTGTCACTACACTTAAGATTATGTTTGTCATTTTCAAATACTGGAGAAAGAAATTTTTGCGAGTTATTTCGATTCACTCGCAAACAGCGAGTTATTTTATTCACTCGCAAACAGCGAGTCACTTATCACTCGCAAACTTCTCGCAACTGCATCGCGAGTCACTCGCTCAATCGCAACTCATCACTCTCGAGTGACTCGCAATTGACTCGCGAGTCACTCGCCCACTCGCCACTCGATACTCGCGAGTCATGTCATGTTACTCGAGGTCGGTACTGTAGCTACTAAATAATAACATAACAACATGTTTGCCTTGTCTTGAGTTTATTTATATTAACAGCATATTTCCCTGCTCCCAAACACACGGATGAGGGATATTTAGTTCAAAGGACGTTGAGGGACGTCAGGATCTTTTCACTTTAAATGCGGAAACATTGAGATTGAAAAATCAAAGATGAAAGCATCTGTCGAGGTGAAAAGAGTTTGGGGAATTAAAGAACCTAATGTTTTCAAGGTTATCTTCTGAAAAGCTTGAGTTTTTGACCAGAATTATTAGCTATCAATAATCAAATATGTTTTAAAAGGATGTTTTCAACAATATTCTATTTAAGTTAATTTATGTACGTGTAACGTATACATGTAACTGACAAGTTGATCATGATGGTTTTCACAATTTACTTTTAGCATCATAGCCAGTTTTCACTTTCTATACATACTGATCAAATTTCTATGTTTACAAAGTTTAAAATTTTCACATGATTTTGATACACAACATTTGCCTTATTTTTGAATTAAAAGATTTTAGTTGGCTACGTATAACGATACCTTTTAAAATTAATTTATTAGGTTATAAATTTTTATTTGTATTTAGCGTTGAAAAACATGGAAATGTTTGGGCAAATGTTTTTAAACAAAATTCTTTTGCTAACCTGGTTTTGATGTGGAAGGCGAAACACCCATGATGACTTCACTGTTATTATCATCTAATAGATAAATCAAATTAATTTTTTGCAATGCAATTAAATAACATTACAGCATGATGACAAATTCTAAAACTCTCTTATCTGACCCTTTACAAACGTATGAATGATATGCATGATATAAACGACTCTTAATTGTTTGTGTTTGACTTTTAAAGGGAATGTAAAGATGTTTGTGCAAATGTTTGCTAACAAAATACAATTTCTTACCAAGTACTGCTGTAGAAGGAGTTTTGTCAATGTTGTCATAGTCGTTGTCACTCATGGGAGATGGCAAAGACATCTTTTCGTAAGAAGCTGGAAATTAATGCATCACATTACACGGTTAATACATCATAGCAAGATAAAAGGAATACTTGCTGAGTTATTTCACTCTTCATTACATCTCACATTTTTGACCGTTAACAAAAGTATGTGAATAAGGAAGATATAAACAAATCTCAATGGTTACATTGCATTCTTGTTTGTACTTAACATTTCAAAAGACAATAAAGATTACATTTGTGTAAATATTTGCATATAAAATTCCATTACTTACTAGGTCCTTAGACGTAATACTCATCATGTTTGAGACACCACACATGTAGTTTTACAGCTTTATATAAAATGAATTGTTTGGATTCTTTCAAATAATTTATATCAATTGAGAAATAATTGTATTTTTCGTGTTTGTGTATAAAACGACATCATACTATACACAATGCCTGGCTATTCATGTTTGACAGTGCCTTACATGTGATTTTACGATTTTTATGTGTTACATAAACAAATCTTACATCTACGGGCCATATACATTGAGTTCTATAAGACCTGGAGGGGAAAAGGGGCCTGGACCCGGTCCCGTGGTCAAAAACATGGCGGTAATGGCGGATTTTGGTTGTCAAGACTTCCACTTCGAGAAAAATTTTTAACATTCGCTCCCTCCGGAACCCGGATTTTTTTTACTGCTTATATTAATGACAACCAGCGAAAACCACCACGATACCGTAAGCATAAAATATTGAAAATAATGCTTCAGGTTTTTGTGAAACAGACACACACATTTAAATGAGGTAAATCTACTGTAAAATAACATATATTTTGTCAAGTAATGCTTTAGCTATATTAGAAATATCAAACGGCATTCTTTACACTGTCAATGTGTTGTTAAGCTTTAATGCATAATCCCATGCGCAATACTTGTGTTTTGGACTGTTTGCAAACAGCTTGGTGAAACTGTCTTTCTTGAATAGATGGGTAAATCTTACTTAAAATGTCCAAAAAGGAGTTAGAAAACGTTAGCTTACCCCTACGACTTAAGTCGACTGGAAATATATTATAAGTAGGTATGTAATTTTTTTGAGTTTTTTTTGGTAGGATTGATTCTGGGTGTCTTATAAAGTATTATATATTCTGATAAATCTAATGAGAACTTATGAAGAAATTATCTTGAACTAAGAAAGCAAAAGAACGAAATTCAGAAATTCTATAATCATGTTGCTGGTTCTGTTTTCAGCCTAGATATTAGGAACTGGATTGTCATTGAAAACCATGGATCTACTACTGAACAGAACTACATTACTTTCCCATTGAAAATACGATTTCTTAAATTAAAGTGCATTGGCTTCTCTGACATAACACTTTTCTTATTGATAAAAGTTTTTGTGCTTGGCATTGATATTTTATATAATCGCAAATGTGGTTGTCAAATCCGGATAGGCAAAAAAATTTTTATTTTATGAGCCCGCGTCTTTCCGCTGACTTTGACAACCAAAATCCGCCATGTTTTTGACCACGCGGCCGTGCACTAATAATTTATAGTAATTTTGTTGACGTTCCCCTCCAGGTCTTATAGAACTCAATGGCCATATATTATTGGCGATATTAAACTTAAGTGCGATTTTTAGCGTATCAGTAAAAAAGTTTTTGATTTGATCAAATTATTCCATTTTTATGGCGGTCTAAAGTCGTGAAAATGCCCTTTTTGATGGACGATGTTCGTCTTCAATTACGGGAATGCAATACATTTCCAATGACCAATTCAAAGCCATATGAATAAAATTGTTCATGTATCGTCTGTTTTGTCATATCAAATTAAAAAACGAATAAACACTTGGCGAAGGAAATAAGAAAGATTTATTCTAAACCATGAGCATTTCATATCTTTACTATGTCTCTAAAGTTAAACTAGAGTATTTTGTACATCCTATAATTCTTCTTAAGTCGATATTTATTGATGAAACTTACTTTTTAAATTTGTCTTCGTTGTAAAACGTCTTCCTGCCAAATGATGTAACTTAGCGAGTGTCGGGAATTATGAACAAACGGGGAAACATTACATCCCGGGCGGAGAGAGAGGGTGCGTCTGCGATGCATTATGGTCAGTGTAGTGGATAAAATGGTATTATTCAACTAATCCCATTTATCCCAATGATTTATATTCAGTGAACTGTAATAACAACAATGTTGTGATTACAGTTCACTGTTTATAATTGAAAATGATAAAAGATAAGATTAGAGGGTCAGCAAAAAACGATGTACATGTTGTATGAGTTCATGCTACGTAATTGATCGCTGAATACGAAAACTTTTTTCTGCACTCGTCAAAAGCAGGTATGTTACGTATGTATTCTCCTTTTCGTATTTACTGTTTTTGTATTTAAACTGTAATCAATTTTTGACTTTTAAGTTAAGCAACTGAATTAAGAAACTACAACCATGCTTTTAGAGTGTATAATGCAAAAGGTTTGTAAGCAGAATACAGGAAATGGATAGGACGTTATGACAAAGTTGTGCTAAGCTTTAAGTGCTACCTATTCAAGTTCACTTCTTCTAAATCCAGCACAATCATTGAAGCACTTATGATTGTTTGCCTGTTTCCTTATTTCCTTATTTAATGTAAAGATGATAAATGTACACATTTGTATGATATCAATGCCAATAATTTTAGCATGGACAAACAAAATAGTTGGATAGGGCAGCAGAAAAGTCTAAATTTAAACAGCTCGAATGGAAAAACTGAAAGCATTTGTCGCATCCAAGCCAGTCTTCACCATCATTATCTTTGCAGATTTTGCAAACACCGGTATTTCGTCTACAGCAAAACAAAGAAATGAATTTAAAATGAATTTAAGTTTCTCATCCACTGTATAATGCTTTAAAGACTTTGGTTAAAACATACTCATGAATATCATCATAGCAAGAGCCAAATATGAGTGATATTAGTTTCTCTCTCTCTAATTCCATTTTAAAATTTCTGTTTAGGCTTGAATTTTCACAAATACACCTTGCAAACTGTGAAAAGGAAATTGTTAAAATTAATGTACAGGAATAACCATATATATATAATTATATATATTTATATGCATTGTGATTTGTAGGCATGGTTTGCATTTTGTAGAAATCTAGTGCCATAACTACAAGAAATGAGCAATGTATAAATTAATAGAATGGATTGTAAAATCTCTGTGGGAGTGCTCACTTACAAGGCAAATGAGTACACCACAATTAAAGCTGTCCTGCTGTGAGAAATGTAATGGCTCGATACATGACCAAAATTGAGAATGCCAACCAGTTTTCATGTCAGCAATTTCACTAAAAAATACAGTAGCAGTACTTTAAGTATTGCTTTTCATCAAACTTGATACTTAAGATATCTCTCTGCTCTGCATAATGTAAAACTTCAAACTTACTTCCCTATTTATATTAGACCAATTACATTCACATGTCTTAGGTAATGATTCTAATTTGTACTTAATGCCATGCAAGGAAGCAAGTAATTTGCCTCTTACCCCCCTCAAAGAAAATCCTGTTATGCCTTGTAAACACCTTTACAATATTTTTTTAAATCTTTGTTTAAGTAATCAAACCTTATCTTGTCTATAAGGTCCATAAGATGCGGGTGTGTTTGAAAATCAATTGTTATTTCCTTTTGTCCATTCATGGGGTCAATGAAGTATCATATTTTCTTAGATTTGTCAATTACCTATTGGCAAAGTCAGAAATAAGTGGAAAATTTTTTCTTTATATAAATTGTCATAAATAATTCATATGATGGTAGAAAAAATTTCCTTCAGTCTTGAAGAGTAAAAGAGTAAATCTTTCAGTGTTCTTATGCGAGGACCACAGAGCACATTTTTCATTAAGGGGGGGGGTATGTATCCATCCACCACTAAAGATGCAAAAGTTAATAGTTGCAAGATTTGGATCCAAAGACAAATCTAAAATTTTCAAAATTGAGGGCCATAGTCCCACCTCCACCCTCCCTGACTCTGCATTCCCTGTTACATGTAGTAGTTACTACATTTGCTCACCAGCAATGTCCAATGAATACCATACTCGTTAATAGGAACAAATATTTTTGACACAGAAGAAAAACATTGGCCAGACCACAGCAAACGGGTGCTAGCCCCACGTTTGGCTATTGTTGTCAAAGATGCATCTGCAGCGAAAACATTATATTCCAAAGTCAACATCCACAAAGATGCTTCCACCACCTGAAAATGAACGAACACTAACTTGGTATGGAGGAAAGACTTAATATGTACATTTTATTAGTAACAGTGTATTTTTAGAACCATTTTTCCCTTAGTCACGCAAATCCTACGCTCTATCATGTTCGTATATTTTATACCTTCACTCAGGGCAGTCAGGGGCATCAATAGGGGAAGAAAAATTTGGCAATAACATCATGTTTTCTACATATTGTGTACATTAGATTCAATCGCAAATTCAAAGTATGGTGCGCTGCAGCAAATGACGAGCGGGTTAATTTTTCAGAAATAACCACGTTAGTGTAGTTTGTTACGAGCAATACCTAATACGAGACAGAAAACGATTCTATTACAGCCCATTTTTGTTTTACTACCTAATGGTGATATGAAATTATTCCTAGTAAGATTCATTATGTTATTTTGTTTTCTTAAAGTAGGGGGAGTGCCCCTACTATAAGAAAACAGGGATGCCCCTAAATATAAAGGGACGAAAGCCCCATAGCTACCATTTTCTAACTCCCTGTCTTCACTGGTTATTTAGCCTAGACGCTTACCAACCTTATCAATTAGCCAACCAGGATGGAAATTTGTTAATGACGATGTCTCTAAACTGTGCATACGTGCCACTTTAGGCGGAATAAGTGTCCACAAATCGCCGAGTGTTAGTTGTGTCTGCCGAAATCTAACAATACGTCGTGCAATTTGAACCCCATCTTTGTTGCATTTATTAATCTTGACAAGGGTTCGTGTTTTCTGCTTGATTCAAAGAAAGGATATTTAAAGCTGTTATATACCATAAATACTAGGGAATTATCCAATAAATTGTATAAAAATGGACATTTGATTTATACGTTACCGTTGGGAATGATCACCACAACCCTTATTTGCGTCAAAGTCTTCTTGCGGGAAGCTAGTACGTTGTGCGACTACAATGTCTGAATTGTATAGTGCATCATCCTCAATCCCTTCAATTATGCAAATGGGTATTTTTTCAGTTTTCTACAGAAACAAAATCATACCCGATGGTGAACGATATATTGATTATAATTATTTTTAGTAAATACTTAGCAATGTCTTTTTCATACGGCCCCTTAACTTCTGCTTGTGATCTTGCTTCACTACATCATACGTACCTGAGCTAGTGAATCCTTTTTTCTCCATTTTTTTCGTTTTGGTAGGCTTTTGTGGAAAACTTGATGGTATTCTGTTTTATTGATTTTTAGTTTCTTTTTCACCGGACTACTTCGAAGCAGAATTCCGTTTGCATTTGGGCAAGAAGATATTAGTTTCTGGTGTATTTTGTCTACCGATTCTATAGCTGCTTGAAGATCACCAACTTTATCAACGAGAAAGGACGTGTTTTTTATAGCATCCAGTTTCTCATGAAGAACTTTTCTCAACTTGGGTGTGTCGTGATTTTGAAATTTTCCTTCGCACAATTTAGAATTAAAAGCAGGATGAAAAGACTTTTCGGATTTATCTGCAGTGCTTTCGATGTCGCATTTGGTGTCTTCCGGCGTTTCTATGGTTGTTGATTTTCCTCTGCTGTTTTCTCTGAAATATCATAGTTTATAATGGTGAAATGTTCATTATCAAGTGTAATGAAAACGCTATTTCTGTAGTGATCAGGCAAAGAGTCGAAACTCCACTCTAGATTGGCGGAAAATATTGCAAAAAAATGTTTGCAAGGGTAATGAGTCTTCTTCCAAGCTTTGCAAGAACACTCTGGTTTGCTCAAATTTACAAGATGCCTTTCACGTGGGTTGGCTAAACTTCTGATATGAAACTCCCCCTTTTGGAAATTAACTGCTGAAATATCAGAGGTATTGTACTCTGTGGCAGCATAACGACTTTTAAGGCAATGTTTTACGAATTGTGGAGGTCTGTCTCTTAAATAAATTGGAACGCTTTTGTTATACATTGCATATGCACTACTAAACATAAGGTTTTTTTGCATATAGCCCTGGTGAGAGTCAGGAATGAAACACTCTACAATTGTGATTGCAATGCAATATTCGTATTTAAATAGCTTGTTCATTGCCTCTGTGCCATTGTTAGTGTTGACGACGTTCACTGCTTGTTGTGTTCGAAACGCATGGACCCAACGTGCCGAACACGAAAGCCATGTGTTTTCAGTATATTCTTTAACTTTTTCATAGAATCCAGACTTCCGTAAGTTGGTGACTTCGGCATCATACTCACTCTCTGTGCTTGCAAATGATATTCTCTGCATTTGGCTCAGGAACATTTCCTGTTCTTCTGGTGTTAGGTTGTGCTTCTTTGCTTTTGACCATCTTTGCATGGCTTGAATTCTGTGGAAATCGCAGATGTAGACTGTTATGTCATGAAACTGTTCTTCGATCGCCCCAATCTCGGCTGTTGAATAGTCGACCATGAAATACTTAGGGTCCAATCACGATTCCATGATTTGACAACGTTCAAAGCTTCACTGATAGATTCTCTGTCCTCTGCTTGGCACATGAACTCGGCCACGACTTTGTAGCCAACATTTGTGTGAACACAAATGAAGAACAGGGGTATCGCATACTTCGTTGTTTTGTATGTAGCATCCATCAAAACAAGCTCGTATCCATATCTTGTCAACAAACGCTGCTGCCATTGTTCTTGATGAACAAACAAAAAGCTTTGCTCTGCGGATACTCTTTCGCTGTCGTTATTTCTCTTTGTCGTTTCCTCTCGCATCCTATAAAAAAAATTCGAAGTGGGATCTTTTGCTTTCCACTCGTCAACTTTCCTTGCCAGTGCTTCCTGGTCATCGTCGCAAGATTTGAAAGAAGAAATGGCTCTACCAATGTGATTTCGAATGTCTTGCCGGGATGGATAGTATCGTCGATTTGCTTTTGGGAACCTGTGTTTTGGAACATCTCGAAATAGATCGTTCTCTACGAAATTGTCCAGCCATCGCTTTACTTCAGCAACGCTGGTAATATTTTGTTCGACCAAATCATAGATTTTTTTCACGACACGTGAATCGACGTATTGGCCAATTGATAACTCAGTTCCCACTGGGTGTTTTTGGTGAGCAGAGCTTAGCGGTATCCTTAGGTAAAATCGCGTGGACCTACGGACTTTTGCGTTCTCTTTATTAAAGGCCTCGTTTAGTTTAGTTAGAAGCGTACGTTTGGCAACTTTTATGGCGTTGTTGGATTGACAAGCGTTTTGTCCATGAAGTAATCATCAAAATCTCGATGCAGCGAATTTGCAAAGTTGCAGGGCACTGGAGTTTTCGACTGTTTTGTAGTCTAACTCGCTGTTTCTTTTCATATTCGTGGTCTCCCACTGACTGTACACTATAACCTCCTCTTCCATCCTGGATGTGTAATAAAGCAACGCAATTTTTACCCTATATATATGTAAAAGCCCAAATATTTCTTCTTTAATGTATAGCGAATGTAATTCTCTTTCTTACTGAATAAGATTTTTTAATAGTTAACTCTACAAACATTTTTATAGGCAGTGTTAATAACTAGAAATTTTTGATAAAAAGACTGTTTTTTATATCTTTGATGTTGTTGTCTGGTGATTGATCATTGATGTTGATTTACGTACCTTATTAGGTCCATGGAGACAATGCCGCGTTTCTGTGCTTTTTATAGAGAATGGCTTGCCAAAAAACGAAATTGGAAGATATCCTCTTTTGTCTTCAAAAACTGCATGATCTACGAGAACATGTATTGTAATTCATTCTATAGCTGAGTTACAACATCTGCGCGATCATTGTTTTTCGTGTTTTCCAATCAACCCATTTTTGGAAAAAACGATATTTTCAATTAAGTGTGTTAAGTGGGATTATTCAAGCGTATTTGCGTCGTCGGGATCTTATTTCAAGTAACACATGTATTTGTCCAAAAACTCTGACCAGCCAACAATTTAAAAAAATATAATATAAAACAAATTCTGAAAAAACAGGACACCTTGAGATTGCAAAATATCAATCAAAACAAGACGAGAAGTGAACTGTAAATTTTCGACTTTATTTCAAAGTCATCCTCAGACACGTATTTGTAAACCTTGCTTGCGGCCTAACTAACATTAGCATGATTGGTTTCATGTTATCCGTGTTCATTTAAGTTGCTTGGATGTAAGATTAACGAAGTCAAACATACAGTTTACGGCTTTTTGGCGTACGCACTTACTTGCTTGAGTAAATCTCTTATTACTCATCTCTTTCGTATGATTTTCGACGGTAACAAAGCTAATAGAATTAATTGCTTGAAGTTTCTGCAAAACAGCCTCCAATTCTTTCCCATCAAAGTACGATAAACAATAATCATTTTCAATGTTCACGCCATCGAAATGTTCATTAATGAAACAAATCTCCAAATTTTTCATTGCATTTATCTCATCCATGATTTTATTCGAAGGGAAAAGCCACTTAAACGAATAAGGGAAAAGCCAATATTCATATCAATGATTATTAATCGTGAAAGATGCTTAGGGTTTTCAAAGATTATCAATAATTATCAACTATGATCCACTACACTGACCATTATGCATCGCAGACGCACCCTCTCTCTCCGCCCGGGATGTAATGTTTCCCGGTATTTCTATTCAACGGTGTTTCCATTTAAAAATAGTAAATATTCCTCTTCCTAAACCTAAAGAGTACTCGTTGTCGTAGTCGTACTCTTGCTAAAGCTCCCTAATATCTCGAGTCGGCGAGTCCATATCAACATGAGGAAAACTCGGTAAAATGATGTATATTTGTGTATATCATATTCTGCAAGGGTGAATTGTCTGCTTACAATACCATTCAGTGTATGGTAAGATTGTAAGATATTGCCAGCACACGCGAAACAAAGATACACGCAGGATACTGTACGTGTGTTCCACGCTAGGAATCACGAAGAAGTATTTCTACTGCAATATCTGACAATGGTTACAAGTTGCATTAACACACAGAAAACACACACTTTACTTTCTGTTGTTTATTGAAAGCAGAAAGCATATTCTATGAGTTTTATTCAAACATTTTCCATATTTTTATAGTTAATCGTACCTTTATTTTACTTTTTCCTTTTCATGTCATCCAGTTTACAATAAATCCAAAGGCATAAATGAAGAACTAAATATATTTTACAAAAAAATCAGGAGTTTTAATTCGTTTGTCACTTCTGTCATTATGAATTGAATTTCTTAAGGTCTCATGGGGGGTCATGTAGATTTAAACCAAACGTTTAACGTAATAAAGCTAGAAAGAGTTACACGATTTAATATCAAGCAAATCATATTTTTCTTGTTTACCAACCATATTTCTTTGAGCCGAGAAGGAATATATAAAAATAATTCGTAAATTCTTGATTTGCGTACATTTACTTCCTTTTAACGATTATTTTTTATTAGAATAATTATGTTGACCTATATCACGATAAAAAGTTAATATTTAAAACATACATCCATAAACTTTTTCTAAAAAACTGTCAATAGCTTTAAAAAATGCTTATATCTTGACAGCACATATGAACCAATCAAAAAATATTTATATTAGGACAAAATTACGTATCCATATGCTTGAAATTTATGTTTTGTCACTTTTGTGTAGATCTCTGCTTTAAACTCAACAGATCAACTTTATTATAAGTTGCTGCTACATTGTCTAGAAATGCTGCAGTTGCTGTATTGAATAAAGCCTGCCAGCTTATGGTTTATGCCGATGGTAGTACAAAATTCCTCTTGTTTTAACATTTTCAATCAAGTCACATTCCGGCAAGGAACATTAAAGTTATTGTTTGTAGAACATATAAGGTCCAAGATCATAATGCTTTGCATTGTGCTCAAATTTGTCACAACATTTATCTCTTTGTTTTTTTGTGCAAATTTCACAAATAGTTTGTCTCACAGGGTCACCCTTCCATGAATGCGCAAATGGACAATCCGTGGGGAAGTCTGCTCTTGCTCTGGATCGAGTGTGACGATTACATTCAGCAGATTTTCTAGCTCCTAGAACTACAGCTCCATGTTTTATTCTTCCATTTTTCAATATTTTGATTGGAGGAAAAGTCAGCTGATTTCCTTCTGAAGTACGGAATGTTTTGATATATTGTGAATTTTCTTTAACATCTGCTAATCGATCATCGAATGGATTAAAATTTGATGAAAAACTGGATTCTGGAACTAAATCATCTTTATCTTCTGGAACTGGATCAGAAGGCATATCCAAGGCAACATTAGTTTCTTTAATTTTTTGTCGTGTTGGGGCGTGTTTTGACCATGCATTCCCGAAGGCCATGTCGGCTTTTTGTAAACTATTTTGCTTCTGTTCAAATTGTTTTTGCAATTCCATATAGGTATCTTTCCCAATTGGGTCATAGGCATAAGGTCCAGTAATGGTAAATCCCAAACAAAACCACAAATCATCCCAGCTGATGTGTGGATATTTCTCATTGTCAAAAGGAATCTCGATGCCTCGATAAGTTAAAATTCCCTGTTTGATTTTCTTTCCTAC